CGTTTTAAATTGAAAGAAATCTTCATTAATGGTCAGAAGGTGTTGTCTGATTGTTTTGGTAGTTAGCAGGTAATTTATTACTGATCTGATACACAAACTTGGCACTGTCAAATGATGATTAGTGTTTAATTTATTTTCAGGAAAAAGGGAAGATAACCCATTATCAGCTGCTTATATGTCCCATCGATATTTGAATTTTCGCCATCCCCAGAGAGGAAGAAAATAGTTAGAAAAAGGGGGATTTTGAAGAAAGGCAAAAGGCAGGACCATTTCAACAAATTCTGTTAACTTGTATGCGTTGCAATATTAATTTGCAGTTGTTAGCATAAACATTTAATGTGTCTTTCGACTAGACCTACCACACTTTAAAAAAAAGCCGCCTACACCCCTTTTCACTAGAACCATAATACTGTAAAATATTTGATAGAAATTACCCCCGAGGCATCATATCTTCCATTTGAAAGGGCTGTGGAGGCAGATACATTTTTTACTCTAAATTATGGAATGTTACTTCCAGGTTATCTTATCCTTGCTTATAGATATCTTATAGAGCCAAGTATTTGTTTTCAGAAGCATGGACTTGGATGGTGGGGAATGGTCGTAACCGATCAGCGGTCATGTGAACCACCCTCGGTGGGAGTAGAGCTGCAATCCTCTCTGGGATTGAAACCTGTGAAACTCCCAGGGTAATCAGAGATGCGGTGGCGAGCGTATTCCTAGATGGCGAATTCAATTGAATTCTGGTTATTTTTTGCATGACCACTGGTGTTAAACTTTAGTTATCTATTCAACCTTTCACACTTAGTAATAGATTACCTGCTAATTAGGGAAACCATACCTTATAGCAATTGATTATTAATTCCTTACTGTCTTACACAAGTCAAGTCTGCAACTGCAAGTAGGCCTACTAATAACAGTAGTTTGTCATCTGCTTTCCATTGAAATGAGGGAGCTTGTGAATATTTAAAGAAATTGATAACGGCACACTATCACCACATTATCACTCACCATCAACGAAGTGCTGTCCGCAAACAGTGAAACACATGTAAGATGGCTTCTGGACTTGACACCAAGCAGTTCTGCCAATGCAATAGATGATATCCACATTGCGCGACGCTCCGGATCTTTTGAAATCAGTGGAATATAACTGAAGATCCATTTCGTTGTCTATACTATACGTAGGGCCAACGGAACAATACGAAATAACCATTTTCAACAGCCAAACAAAACGGAAACGTATAATCCGACTTGCAACTGACAGGAGCCAAATGGACGTTTTTGTTTTATTGCCGTCGAGTAACAAAGTCACGTGACCCGTGCAAGTCCTCTATAGGAAGAATTTTTCGGAGGTCGAGGAAAGGTCCCCACCTTTTCATTCAAAATCTGTACGTTTTAAACCTTTCTTGAAATTTTGTTTTGATTTTATCAATTACTTCATCGTCTATTATGCTGATTAGGGAGTCGAAATAAACTTATACTTATAAATAAACTCATACTTTACTATATAGATCAGTTCACATCAGATGATGCTGGCCTGCATAGAGTTTATCGTGGAAAACTGATCGAAGCTGGCGATAACATGAACAGTCAAACGTCAAATGTAACGGATATTTGATGATGGATTCTATAGAAAAGGACTACTTACACAAAGCACGTGAATTTTGATTACTGAAGTTGGAACGCCAGTGCGTGGAATGCTCTTGTCACATTTTACTCCGTTTGTTGTTGTTTTTCTTTTATGGTGCTCTTATTATTGTTGTATTTTGTCCAATAGACCAGGGGTTCTCAAACTTTTTGTGTTGCGGAGCCCTTGAAAAGGTTGACTATTATTCACGGAGCCCCAAAATAAATGTTAAAATTGTTACTTTCAGATTAATATTCCTGAGCAAGTTAAACGTACTTTACTTAATTTAAATGCTGAACCTTTTTTAATAGGGTTGATGCAAGTCATAAATAAATCTCAATTTCAAAGATAAATTATATATACTCTTACTAAAGCTGTAAATTTGACACTTGACAAACATATTAACCTAGGGGTCGAATCTTTTCCCTTTTGACATTTTCGGAAGGCCGCTAATAACGTGCGCGATTGCATTTTGTCACAATCACCGATAGTTTTCGTCAGCATGGCATGTTTTTAAACATCTTTACGCCGGTGTTTATTCTCCCTAAATCAAAAATTTTCTTTGGCATATACATGTATTGTTCCACGATGACGACGATAATTGCTTTTTTGTTCTTGTGGGGAATTATGAGTTTTATGTGAAAAACATGTTACCATATAGTCATCGGCGACGAAGTGCTAAAAATGATAATTAATAATAAAGAGGTAAATCCGCAACGCAAATTTCTTGATTGAAAAACGGCATTCTAAAATATTAAAACTTAAAATAAAAGATCACACTATATGTTTGGTTTTAGCAGACTCACGTCAGATTAAAAACGCTTTTATAGGCATTGTAAATCACAAAATTTGGTGTTATGTTAGGTTTTCTTCGGTTATTCATCGTATAGTAACTGCGAAATCGAAACACAGTCAATTGTGTGCGCGATTTATCTTTTTTTATTCTACCGACGGAGCCGCATGCATTAAAATAAATTTTATTCGTTCGTATTTTGCCCAGATCTTGTGAGTTTTTAAACGGCGATATCTTGCTTAATTATAATCTCAAGTGCAAAAGAACAAATCAAGTTTGACAAATTCCAATATCGCAAAAATACGACTCCAATTTATTTATAGTTGGCAGTTTATCACGTATTTTATGTTATTTTAGAATAGTATTCTTTCATTTCAGTAATCCTGATAGTAATCTCGAATGAAACGTGAGTAACTATGAGTACAATTGAAATATTACGACAAGACACTTTAACGGCCATGCATTGAATATTTTACGCAACAGAAATCTCGTTATCCGTTTTTTTTATAATCGCAAAGAATGTTGCGCGGAAATTTCCGATTCAAATCCCACCTCTTAAGAATCCTGGCTGCGCTCCAGCTTATAAATAATGTGATTTTTTAATTCCGCATCTTTGCCATTTTTCGAGGCTATATTGTTGTCAAATTTTATCAAAGCTGTTATTGCTTCTTTGAGCAGTTACAAAATTAGCCAAGTCATTATTTTGAAAAGTAATCGAATAGCTCACGGAGCCCCTGGATTTCTCTCGCGGAGCCCTGGGGCTCCGTACGGAGCACTTTGAGAACCTATGCAATAGACTATTAGTTGAGTGGTTTGTAATCAAATTAATTTTATTACATATTGCGAACCGCTTGATTGTTTGTTGTATTCTACAATTCACGTTATTATCTTGTACAAATATAGCAGAAATTACAATCCATGTTAAAACTCCACATACACACCCAAGTATTTACACGCCCGATTTATCTTTCGTGTCTCTTTTTCTTTAATTTACTTCAATGTGTTGTTTGATTGAGATGGTTGTTTGCTGTTTAGGGTAAGAGGGCACGTGCACCGGCACGTCTTAAATCTTTTTTAGATTTTGCCAACTTTCCTGATTTTCCTTACAATTGTTTGTTTTTCCATGTATTGCTTTGTTGTATTGGAAAATCGAAATAAACTTACCCTTACATAAATACTTCGCGACCCACCTCGTATAGATTCGCGCCCGACTGCTTGTGAAGCACTGCTTTAGCTCACGTATCAACATACATACATTTTCCGAGGGCCTGTAGTTAGTCAGTTTGGTACAAAATAGAATCCGGATTTAAACTTTGAACCCCATTAGGAAAGAACTGACTCTGATGACCTTATGGTCCTATCACCCCCTCCCATGAAATCATGCATTTCGAACATTTTTTCGGTGAGAGGTACCCAGAAAATATAATACGATGGGGACAAAGTCCGTGAATTCTCAATGACAAGGAAAAACGATGATTTTGAAAACAACGAACTAGTCAGAAATTTCTTCTAATTTGAAAAATTCACCTATTTAACATGTCAATGTAAATATTCTCACGATTGTACTAATTAGGACACAACTTAAAATTTATTTCCATTCAAATACCATTTAAACTAAATTAACAGAGCCAAAACAATGCTGCACCAGTTTTGAACAACTTTACCATGGGTGGGCAAATGAAAAACATCACACGATACAAAGTCTGTCAAATTGAACTTTGCTGAAATATTATAGACCATCTTGCAAACGAATTATTTTGGGAAAGTTTCATTTACACCACAAATGTAATACCAGCCCTTCTTTTCGTTAATTTCGAAAAAGTCACTAAGAAAGACGGTCGAATTTTACAGGCTAATTTTGTTAGCATCGTCGATTGTTCTCTTCCGCGTTGCGTGATTATTTGGGAAATTAACATCGGCATTATGCAAGTTTTAAATTGATAAGAGGTTACATCCAGTGGTGGGATTCAAATTTTTTGTCAGCCGGTTTCTCCACAAAAGTCATATTTTTCAGTTACCAACCAGTAACTACTGCAAAATAAACAAAATACAGCAAGGTCGCAATCAAAATTATGTAACCATGTTATTTAAAAGTAGCAATGTATCTAGGGAGGTGAAAAAAGCTGTTAATATATGCTCTGGGAGATGTCAGTTGCCACTCGCCACTTTACAAAAATCACTAATGCGCATATGCATTAACTGCTATATTATCCGTTTAACCGTCACAATAATATCCGGATATCGGACAACAAAATAACGCTCGGTTAGACGGTTACCCAGTTATCCGGATAATCCAACTCTAGTGGTAAGGTGTCCCTCGGACTGCTACGCCATCGTGACACCATCGACATCTTGCTGAATAGTTAAGTTACTATTTTATGTTACGGCGGTAAACACAGAATTGAGGAAGGGAAAACGTCAAACGACAACGATCACTTAGCGAGGCGAGAAAGATCGTAGGCACATGTTACGGTACCGTAACGGTATGTGTGTACACTGTACGATTTAGTCTTTCTGTCTTTGCTGTAAGGCTGCGGTTGGTCAGTTATGTTAGTACTAAAGTACCCCAACTTTTACCGTATTTTTAAGTAAATCATGCTCCATTTCAGCACCTAGTATTTGCATAGACTATCATGAATGTTTTATATAGAAGAGTATTAAATTCCTGTAGAAGGAGATTACTTAGTCCACCACAGGATTACTTGATTAATACTGAAAAATTCCACAAAGTCGGAAACTTAAAACTTCAACTACCTTTTTATCAACAACATGCTTGTTATTCTCGATTACCTGTCAATACAGTTTTCCTCTTTGTTCCACAACAAGAAGCTTGGATAATAGAAAGAATGGGAAAATTTCTGAAAATCTTACAGCCGGTGAGTTCCATAATGATGGCAAAGAAATTCACTACTTCACAGAATATATTCCATTTTGTATAACAGTAGACAATAAAAAGGAAGCAATCACCATTGAGTTTCTATGGTCTGATGGCAGCACTAGTATTTACCTTTTACTAGTTTATACTAAGATACATAATATTCATGAAAATTATGGATGGCTGAATCAAGCCAAATATCTGAATATTGTCTTGTCCAAAATTGTTTGAGAAGGACTAATCAATAAATATTTTGTAAGGATTCAAGACGTGGGAACTTGGCAATTATCATTATTTTATTGAAAAAACATCCATTTAGGTTATTTAAAATGTGAATTAATTGCAGTGATTATAGGAATTTTTATTTCTTAGAATATAGGGTTTTCAAATCTGAGTTGATTTTAAATGTTGCATTGAATTCATATTTTTATACAGGGTTTGAACATATTAATTCCTGTATTAGACAGAGTTAAATATGTTCAAATTTTAAAAGAACAAGCAATCAAAATTCCGGAACAAAGTGCTGTCACTAAAGGTATATAGTTTTTCATATTTCAATATATGTTTTAACTTGATTTTGTGTATATATCTTTTGGGAAGTGTTTTATAATCTGCTCTGCATCAGTTTTAATTTAAATATATTTCATCATACTTTGTTTCTATTACAGATAATGTTGGGCTGCACATTGATGGAGTGCTTTATGTGAAGGTTGTTGATCCGTATAAATCTAGCTATGGTGTGGAAGACCCAGAATATGCAGTAACACAACTTGCACAAACAACAATGCGATCAGAAATAGGTGCGATATTTTCAAAGCTTCTGGCTGAAAAAATTGAAATCGGCCCAGTGTGTGATTGTAGGTTGTCTAAATAAGTAAAATGGAGCAAAAATAAATTAATGATGTTTTAAAATGATGGTTTATAAATATTCAGATAATGGTATAGAGATTTGTGGATATTTTTGGTTAAAAGTTTTGTAACACCATATGGTCATGTTAAGAAAAAGAAAAATACTTGATATTGAAGTACTGTGAATCAGTATCACATGATAGAGATAAGGAAATCTGAGTTACTTTACTTCTTTCTTTGTTAAAATATTCCAGGTAAATTATCATTAGATGGAATATTTCGAGAAAGAGAAATATTAAATACCAATATTGTCATGGCGATTAACAATGCTTCAAAGGACGCATGGGGAATTCAATGTTTACGATATGAAATTAGAGATATACAAGTAAGTGGAGTCAATTTTCTACACTATTAATTAAAAAATGCAGAAAATGGAAGCAAATCATTTGGCATGTGTGAGATAAAGTTGCAAGTTCATCGAAAGTTTTATTTAAGTTCTACTTTCCACAACACCCACAGGTCCCAAAAAGAGTGCAGGAAGCAATGCAGACGCAGGTCGAAGCAGAAAGAAAGAAAAGAGCTGCAGTACTTGAATCTGAAGGGAAAAAAGAGGCTGATATTAATGTTGCACAGGGGAAGCGACAAGCACAAATCCTATCATCAGAAGCTTTTAAAATCGAGCAGATCAATAAAGCTGAAGGTTAAATAAGTCTATAATTGTGAATAATATGTGCACAACTTTTCTAAAACCAATTCAAATTATCTTTATTATATTGGAACTGAAATAGTAACAAATCGAAATGTGAATATATAAGCGAATGCCGAAAAAAGTTCATACTTTTTTGCAGAAAAAAAAATATTTCATAAAATGTTGAATGAATCGAATTTCCTTATCTGCTTTAATTTGCATATGTTTGTTCCAGGTGAAGCCAAAGCCATTATTGCGAAAGCTGAAGCCAGAGCTAGCTCTATTTTGATGGTTGCCGAATCTTTAGCAAATGAAGTGAGTACATTTTTTAAGAAGGCCTTTTAACCTTTATATTGCTTTTCAGGTTATAAATAGTGATTTATTGCTAGCGAGTATACTGCCCCATAAACATTAGCTCTTTTATGATTGATGACTTTTATAATATCTGGGCCATATTTGATTGATCCATATTCCTCAGAATGTCTTGAACAATACTGGAACCCATTTTACTTCCCCAGTTGATTGCTTCCCAATACTGCTACTTTATATATAAGTTCGTATAGTGAATATTTTGTGTTAATGCCTAGCATGGATCAAGTGCTGCTGGACTCACTATAGCAGAGCAATATGTAAATGCATTCGGCAACCTTGCGAAGGAAGGGAACACAATATTACTGCCATCGAATACAGGCGACGTATCAAGTATGGTCACCCAGGTAACAAAAATTCAATATTGTGTAATTAAAAAATATGGGATACTAAAAACTACTACTAAAATACCACATTTTGTCATGGTTGGTAATTCAATGTTATGTGGAGTGACTGATTCAATATTGCTTCTCTTTTCGAATCTCACATTGAATATATTTGCAGGCAATGGCTATTTACAAAAATATGCAGTCTGTTCCTAATATAAAACTGAACACCAAGGGACTTCTACAAGATGGTGAAATTCATAATGATGACAAAGTAGTGCAAAATTCAACTACAGACGACAAATGATCCATTGACATCGATTGATCAAAATTCAACGAAGTTCTGTGGAAACGATTTTGGAGGCATTGTCATTCTTCAATGGATTTAAAGAAAAGTTGCTTCTCTCTAGATACAAACGTGTTTGTATGTACATGCCCGATATGGAGAATAGTTCTCAGGGTATGAATCTGCATACTCGGTACTTGCTAGTTGTATTGAAATCAGTTTACCTTGATTGCGTATATAATTTTTTTTCGCAGAATCTTCCTGGTTCTTTGGTTTTCTTCAGTAAGTGTAGACAAGGTAAAAGAGGATATTAGCCTATCCTAAATCACATTCTTGACATTTGAAAATTTTGCCATGAACACAGGACTAATCAAATTATTCTTCACAATCCTCCACCGACAAATAAAACTGCCCGCACGTTTTGTTTGGAGTGTAAAATATGTAGAGATCATAATATCGCAATTAAAAATCGGGCAATACTTCGAAGCAATTTGACATGAGAAAATACACATATATTTACCGCAATTTTTAACACAATAGTGAAGATTTAACAAAAGATGCCAAAACTTCCAACCAAGGTTTAAAACAAGAGACATGATAAGACAATCTCCAATCGAGATTTAGGCGTGTGAGCATTGTGATAAGAGAGATTTTAATTCCACGAACAATGAAAGACAAGAAGTATAGACATAGTATCCAATTTACACATTGTTTTGTGCAGGTTAGTATGCGGCAGTATTCTCTTCTTAAAATAAATTCCTCTCTATCTGAATCTACAAGACCGTCGAAAGTTATCGGGGCTCCAGACCACACTTGCTCTGTGCCTGTAATCAAACTGTCAGAATCAGTTGCTACACAATGTAGAGTACCGACAGTCAGTGAAATAATTATCCAAGTTCAGAATATCTTCCAACATGGTCTGACGTCAAGCCTCCTCCCAACACTCACACAATTTCACTTCATTCATCAATTAACAATCTCAACACAACCAAACAAAACGACAAGCACAATGCAAGAAAACTAAAAACACTCTGAACAGCACCGACGACAGCCAATTCCCTGAGGGAACAGGCTGACAAAAAATTTGAATCCCACTGGGCCTACGCCCTATGGTACCCGAACACGCCACTATTGTTAATGGTATTTGCGCGTCTGGTGCATATTTATAAAGAAGGATTCAGTCGCAGGGTGATTCTGTGTTCTAGAGTGAAAATATGTCGATGCTCTGATTTATGAAATATGATATGCCCTTCATAAAAAGCAATCTCTCTATTTGCATAAAATGTTTTCGAGCAATTAGCTGATTCCAATGGTACCGTACCGATATTCTTTATTCGTGCAATATCAGTATGTTTAGAGGTGGTATTATTACCTAGACAGCGTTTCCCAAACTGTGTTCCGCGAGCATCATCCAAGTGTTCCGTGGAAAGGGACTAAAATTACGACTAAATTGGTCGCCATGGCTATCTCGTGATCGTGAAGTTGTGTTCACAACTGGCGACCGTTCAATATCGCGTCACGGTCGGCCTAAAGCGGACAAAGGCAAAAGTTCACCTCTTCTTTCTCAAGCTCTGCCTGGTTTTACATGGGAATGCTGAAAAAATCACTCATGTTCGCTAAACTCGATTCAGCAGATAAACAAACTCCAGCTCGCAAAATTGCACCAAGTACTTCTAACTCCATTATTAGGTAACATTAGAGGCAAAACTACGTGATAGAAAGTAAACGACAGAGAAAGGTGAAATGAATTTATTGATTCAGATACACAGCATTTAAAATAAGGAGCAATAAACATTTAAATGCAATATGCAAAATATTCGCTGATTATTTGGTTTCTGCGAGACTAATTACTTATCCTAACAGTGTTAAATTGGTCAGGAGCCTTGATGACCTTCAACGTTCTTGCATACTGGCCAACACAAAACAATGTGTAAATTGGACTACTTCTATTAAAATCATCGATATTGTTTTATACTGTTTTTCATTGTTTTCATTATAGTCTAACTCTCTAAAAATTATCAATATTATTTAATATTGTTTTTTCATTGTTTGTGGAAATAAATCTCTCTCTCTTTATCCTTCTTCTATGTATTTGTGCCGGTGGATCCGTATGCATATATTGCAAGGATGCTGTAGCAAGAGTAGAGAGTAGATTCAAGAGTCTTGCTATGCTCATTGTGCACACTAACACAAATATATTTCTGTAACGTTTCGTCTGACCAAGGTCAGACTTCTTCAGACATACATACACAAATATTCAATCATATTTTAGTTATGTTGAATACACTTTTGTTAGTTTTCGCGGCGCATTTGGCAACTCGCCGCGGCGCACTAGTACTGTAGTAGCGCACCTTTTGGGACCGCTGCATTAGGCTACATCATTTTTCTTTATCAATTTTACCCTTTCATTTTTAGTGTTCCGCGAGGCGAGATAAAAAGCGTAAGTGTTCCGTGGCCAAAAAAGTTTGGGAAACGCTGAGCTAGAAAAACGATAATGGACCTTTCTTTGACCTTTGACCCCCGAAATATTTTTCCTATACTTTACCATTGCAAAATTTCCGGGGATATTTAAAGAGTGCTTTTGCGAGTTAACGCCTTCAAGAGTTCAAAAGAGCGAAACAAGGTAATGTTTACGACCCCGCTTGAAAATCTGTCTTAGTGAGAAAAGTGTGTGAGCGGATGTCAAAAGGGAGCAAAATTCTATCAAATTCATAGGCCCTAAAATTTGGAATGATATCCCAGACATTCTAAAAACATTCTCGTACAAAAAATTTAAATTTGAGTTCATGAAATACATCATATCCAAATATTAAATGCAAAGTTTAAGTCCTCCAATTTCAATGGGATGCTGATGTGGACATGTGTATAATATGCTTATTTTAACTTGTTCTCCATGTATTGGTTTAGTGGATTTACACATATGACTAGTGCCTGATAGTTCATAGTTATTAATTTAATAACTGTATACCTACTTTTGGGCCACCCTGTATGTGTCATTGTATAGTCCAACTATATGGCTAACAAATTGCAAGTCAATATGTTTTGAAACCTAGCTAGATCTTGAAATTATGTAGGATACATTTTTGTAGCATTTTGTGATATTTATTCACTCTATTCTTCTTTCCAAACCAAGGTTCAAGATTTATCAATACTTGCTACATGCTCTTCATGTACGGCATCATATATATTTACATAGTGGCTTAGACATTCCTGAGATGTACACATACATGTGCAAATTTTAAATATGTGGTTATTATGCTTTTCAGTAGTCAATGACCTGGGCTAACTGGGTAAATCTGAAGGTGAGAACCTAAATGAATTTCATTATACAATCCAGTATTTCTAATTCATTTTAATAATTAGATGTGTAGTGTAATCAGAATTTCATATTGTGAATTTCATATTAAATCTCATATGTTATAGTTAAAAAAGCATGCACTGTTGAATGTGAATCACAATACCATTTCATTATAACAACCAGTTTACTTTTGACGATTCAAGAATTCATGGTTTGTCTAAAATTGATATTCATAACTTGTTTAATTGCATTTATATAATTGTTATATAAATTTTTTATTCTCTAATCATAAAACTCACTTGCTACATTCTAATATATTCCTCCACTCCTTAATTGCGGTTCATGCTGCAATGGCTGGAAACTGGCCTCTTTTGGCCCTACAATTAGACTATAGTGTACTTGTATGTATTATTCTTGGTCTATCCTGCCAAATTAATCCATCGTTTTATGTATATTTCATTCCTGTCATTTATTATTCAGCAAACAATTCTAATCATTTTCTGATATCCCACCTATGCTCAACAATAAGTTTGATATTATATAATTACTGTTTCAATTACCATTATGTAGTTGTTATGGTTTATTTAATCACATTTATCGATATTGCAATAAATTAATAAATTTGGCAATTTTTGGATACCCCTACCACCAAAGTTTACGTTTGGGAGTAACCAAATTAATCCACTGTTTTATATATATCTCATGCATTATCATTCTGCAAACATTTCCATTCATTTTCTGCTATCCTATCTATGCACAACATTAGGTCTGGTGTTATACCACCCTAGTAACCCAAAACTGCTCCGCTAAGTGACTTTTTAAATTCATGTGATGCTCCTCAATATAATTACATTGTCAATTACTGTTAAGCGGTTGTTATGGATTATTTAATTAACTGTGAGTGTGATTAAAATTTATCGATATGCGATATCTTAATAAATTTAACCATTTTTTTATACTACTACTACCAAAGTTTTCGTTTGGGGTAGACTATGAATTTTTGTAAGATTTGAAATGGTTTTTGGACTATTGTAACTGTCTCATCTTTGTCTTTAATAAATCATATCTGCTTAAATTTGCATATGTCTATTTATGTACTATTGTAGTATTATTTTTTTTATTTTTTCATAGTGTTATTATGATGTACTAATTAATTCTCATATATAGGCTCATTTAGAATTAAGTATCTATTTTGGAAATGCACTCCTCTTTTTCTACCATTAAATTAACTTAAAACAAAAACCACATTATGTTACTGTTATAAATGTGTCATTTTTCACAATAAATTCCCAACCCTGATTAGATGAATCCAAAATTTATCCTCGTTTTGTAAATAGTGTAAATAGTTCTCTATAAACTGAGAGTTAAAAAAAAAGAACCTGTGTCAATTTATGTATTTATTCATGTGTTGTATTGGGTGGTAACTGACTCAGATGACCGTAACTGGTCGTATCGTTACCTCCCAGTCATACCGAAAACTTTTGTTTCACTTATTATGTTATTATTATATTTAATATTATGTGTTTTCTGGTTGACGAAATAATAAATTCTCTCTCTCTCTCTCTCTGTTACGTCACTTTTTGCACCATGTCACGGAGTAAACAAAGAAGTCGATGCTCGGAGAAAGGCCCATAGACACCAAAATCTTGCCAAAACTGAACACAGTCACACCTTACGTCACAGTCATTCGTCGATGTGACGTAGCAACAGATTTGATTGACACTTGCTCCATTGAGGTCTTTGTTCCAATCGCAGAATCGGGTCAGAAATAAGTTCAGGAGTAGACTTAATTTTATTTCTGTTTCATAAATCGGTAAATGGAAGAATGGCGATTCTAGTGGTTTGACGAGAGTTATGAGTTTGAGTTTACGGTAAGTGTTACAAAACGAATTAGACAGTGGAGAAAGAGGATTTTCATGGAAATAGTTAACTTACCGTACGTACCGGTACCGGTACCTACCGGTATTTCTGTATTTGTTTCATATCCATACCGGTATACTTGAGACGCTATCAGACATTGACGTTAAAATGCTTTAAACAATCAGTTAGTTATTTTTGATATTCTGCCCAAAACACATAAAAATTTCGGCGCATGTTCACTAAACGCCATAATACAGTAATAAGTAAAGTCTAGTAAGGTCTACTTCTAGTAGGCCTACTTCATTTTTGCATATAGTATTCTTAACCCCCACCTGACTACGTCATCCATATATTACCTCAGTACGACGTCACAATTACGTCATAGAGCTTGCCAAATAAAAGCTATAATCGCCCGAAATGGCATCTCCGCTGACGATAACGAACTCACTAACACTTCGATCGCTCTCATACAGTCATATCTGCATATAGCAGTACAGCAGTATGGGGACCGTTACGACGAGAAAACGAGAGAAATAATTTGATTGATTCCGGGTGATCGTTCGCGCGTTTTGGTCGACCATCCGTATATTTTGGCAGGCTTTATTATGTCACTATGTCGTTGTAGTGACATAAATTTTGGAGGCGCAGTTCTTACCACTTCATGGCAGCTCCTGCCACGAACGAACCGCGGCAGCTCTTGCCATGGTTTTATAGCGATATTCAGTAATCAGTATTAACGGTATACTCACAAATTAATGTACCAGATTTTAATTGATCATGTGGAATTATATCTACTTAAACCCTAACCCTAACCCCAAATCAATCAAAGCTGTATCCATAAGAGAAATTTTACCTGCCATTGGTTTTCAATTTGCTGCCGCGGTAACGGCAGCTCGACATTGGTTTGTGGCAGCTAAATAGTCAGTTGCCATGAGTTTGGCCGTAGCGGCCATGGTATGGAAATACTGCCATGGTTTTGCGGCAGCTGCAGATGCCACAGAATACTTAAAACTGCACTTGAAATTTTGGATGAAGTAGTCAGGTGGGGGTTAGGAATAATGTATGAAAAAATTGTTTTGCCATGCCCACTAGAAGTTATTGCAGTATTGGGGTACAAAACTACACAAGACCCTGACATCTGTACATGGCCTAAAATGAGGTTAAAACGTTGAACAGCTGCGGTGTACCGAGGTATCTTTTTGTGTTATAACATCAGAGTCATTAATCACTTCAAAGCTAAAATACAGAAATACAAGACTGTGGGATTAATAAAACGGAGTCAGGGAGTCACAAAAAGTATTTTGTTTTATCAGTTTATTACTTATCGATTTTAATCGGTAAGTATGTTGATAGGTATTTGTCTGTCTGTCTGTCTGTTAGATGCACGCGATATCTCACGAAAGTGAGATTGGATCTGCTGCAGATTTTGCATGTGCATTCATCATATCTCGTACCAGAAGCCTATTGATTTTGGGCAAATTATGTCGTATACCTAGCGAGTTATCAATTAATTAGTGAAAGGACACAAGGTGTCACTAATGGGTAACAGCGCTGTTTTGGGGGATCCCCTAACTTTCGACCGATAAGTCTTCGGTCTCTGACCGATATTCTCGTTTTTTTCATTACTAAATTAGACATAAGACCGAATTCTTATAAGATTGAGAACAACCTAATTTTAGTAAAATTTCTAACCATGAAGATCCATGGACGTGTGCTCATCATGCTAAATGATAAGACCCATAATAATAAGACATAAGACCCAAATAAAAAATATAGCCTGGGAAAGTTTAGCTCGACTTAATTTTAGCACAATTTCTAACCGTAAAGATCTATGGACGTGTGCTCATCATCCACTCACAGACTCAGCAGCCAAGGGTGTAATAAATGAATTAGGCACTAGACAAGATAAGGATGTGTTTTCATCGCTTCATTGGCCTATTTTTAGCCCAGGCATGAACTATTTTATAGTTCTACAAAGTCACCAAACAGTAAGAGGTAATTTACATTATTACTTATCGGTTTTAATCGGTAAGTATCTTGATAGGTATTTGTCTGTATGTTAGATGCACGCGATATCTCACGAAAGAGAGATTGAATCTGCTACAGATTTTGCATGTGCATTCATCATATGTCGGACCAGAAGCCTATTGATTTTGGATGAATTATGTCGTATAATTAGCGAGTCATTAATTAATTAGTGATGGGACACAAGGTGTCACTATGGAGTAAGAGCGCTGTTTTGGAGATCCCCTAACTTTCGATCGATAAATCTTCGGTCTCTGCCGATATTCTCGTTTTTGTATTACTTTGTTTGTATCTTCCAGGGCTGGGGAGCTGGTTTGAAACCACAGTCTGACAGTAGCTCCAACATCCATTATTTCTTTACTTCTGAGCTCGGCTCTGGCTCTATAGCCAATAAAGTTTTTTGGTATGACCACTACCAGACATAAACCCAAATGTAGTTTAATGGAAGCGGGAAACTATAATATGGTGGTTTCAAAATTTAAATATACAAATTTTACTAGGAAACTTTCAAATGGGTGTAGATTTTAATAGTTATATAAAGCATTAGAAAATGATACATATGAAAAAATTAATAGATGGTTAGGGCTTGTGTTGCTAAAAACTTCAGCTCTATCTAATATGGTAAGCTTGGATCCAACTCCCAACTAAAAGGTAAGACCCTGGCACTTTAATAATCCCAGATTCTTCAGTCTCATACACTCAATATGATCGATTTCTACTAATACAGGAAACACATAAATCAATAAAATACAATCACTATTTTACTATCTATCAACCATGGATGATCTTGAATATGATAGTGAAGATGAAGTAGAGGATGAAGATTCTGATTGGGATGAGTATCAATATGATGAGGGAGTAGAAGATGACCACCACAATAAAAACTCTGATGGATTAATTCCATTTTCCACTGATGGGAACATTAATGATGGATTTGCGTATGACAGTCTTACCCCGGATGGTGTCGTGGATTTAATGAATGTCACTGTACACGAAGTGGCTGAGATTATACCTATGGATAAAACTGTACTTAGAATATTACTCGCACATTTTAAGTGGGACAAAGAAAGACTTTTTGAGAAGTATTATGGATGTGAAGGAAATGATCAGAAATTTTTTGACGATGCTCATGTCGTTAATCCGTTCTCCTCACACCATCGAAATGCTTCTAGTCAGTCCGGTTCAAATGGCGATATGACTTGTGAAATTTGCTGTTTACCTTTTTCTAATGATTTTATGACTGGTTTAGCATGTCATCATAAGTTCTGTAAAGGCTGCTGGACAGAGTATCTTCGCACAAAGATTATGGATCAAGGAATGTCACAGACTATAAGTTGTCCTTCATATGGTTGTGACATTGTTGTCAATGATGAAATTGTTATGAACTTAATCAGCAGCAAGAAAGTTAGATTGAAATATCTTCATTTGATATCTAACACATTTGTTGAATGCAATTCCTTGCTGAGGTGGTGCCCAGCTCCAAATTGTCTCAATGTTGTTCGAGTTAAATTTTCTGATGCAAGGCCAGTAAAATGTCAATGCGGTAAAGAATTTTGTTTTAAATGTGGAGAGTCATGGCACGATCCGGTACTATGTATGTACTTGAAAAGATGGATCAAAAAATGTGATGATGACAGTGAAACATACAATTGGATAGCTGCCAACACAAAAGAATGCCCAGCATGTTTTGCAACCATTGAAAAAGATGGTGGTTGTAATCATATGGTGTGTCGAAGTGTCAGCTGCAAACATGAGTTCTGTTGGGTCTGTCTGGGACCATGGGAGCCGCATGGTTCTTCTTGGTACAATTGTAATAGATTCAAGGAAGAAGATGCTAAAAAGGCTCAAGATTGTCAAGAGAAATCACGTCAGGCTCTACAACGGTACTTGTTTTATTGCAACAGATATATGAACCATCTGCAGAGTTTGCGTTTTGAACACAAGCTTTATGCGCAAGTGAAAGTCAAAATGGAAGAAATGCAAAAGCATGGAATGTCCTGGATTGAAGTGCAGTTTCTAAAGCATGCTGTTGATGTGCTTTGCCAGTGTCGTCAAATGCTAATGTACACTTATGTTTTTGCTTTTTTTCTCAACAAAAATAACCAATCCATTATATTTGAAGACAACCAAGCAGATTTGGAGAAGGCAACAGAAGTTCTCAGTGAATATCTAGAACGAGACATAACCACTGATGCTGTGCAGGACATTAAGCAAAAAGTACAAGACAAATACAGATACTGTGCTAATAGACGGAAGCTGCTCCTTTCCCATATTTATGAAGGATATGAAAGTGATCTGTGGGATTTTAATGACAAAGTATAAACTGTTTTGTTATCATATTATGCTGATGAATACTTTATATGCACATTATTTTTGCCTTTTTCACATAACTAGAAATGTGTCATACCTAACTGGGTGACTCAAAAATATTGCTATATAAGACAGCCCATAAAATCCCCAAAGCATACAAATTCATTAATATGAACATCATGACAGTTTATTGTAATATGCGAATAAGAATCAGTTTGTATCTGCCTATATGGATGGCTATATGAGATTTTTGGCAAATTGTTAAAACGTGAACAATTATAAAATAATCTTGAAGCAAGCAAATTTTTTAAGCTACAACGTATAAAATGCTCATTCACAAACATAATATCTACCTTACTTCTTTTTATAAATGCTTCTCATACGGTCTACCTACAGTTTGGTAGCGGCCAACAATGCGATGGGCTGTGAGGATGATCGTATTTAAATAAATCATTAGTCTAGAATCTATAGTTTTCTGATACTATTTATTTCAATTTCAACGTGTTACATGTTTTAGAACTATCTAATCTGCCTCAAAAAGGTTGAATATGGTGGATATTCTGTTTGTTGTTCAGCTTTTAACTCCATTTAAAACAAGCGATGGCTGGCAAATTCTCAGTTCCTATACACAATATATTATAGACCAGGGATGGTGAACCTACTTTGTTGATTGGGTCATACATTATTTTTTTTTACAAATAAAAAGAATGTCAGCCATGCATTTACATTGTTTTAAACTATAATTATAATATTACCAGAAGGTTACGCTACTGCTTTCCAAGCTTAGTTTGTAAATTTGGAGGAATACGATAATGGATACCCTGAAAATCTTCTTTTGGCCCCGTTAATGGACCTACGATAGAATACCACTGTCTTAAACAGAACGACTTGCCACGAATAGATTCAACCCTGTGGGAATTTCGGTTCGTCGTATTGTTATGATGTCATAACAGCATTATTGCCTGCAGCATACTAATATACCGGAACTACTATAATAATTTATAATTTAGGATGAAATTAATTATTACAAAATTTTTATCACCAAACTGTTAGTACCTTCTTTGCAACACTAAATTTTGACGGGTTGCTGAAAAATATTGCGGGTCAATTTGTGACCCGTGGGCCAGTTGTTCGCCATCCCTACTATAGAGACTAACTTGATCTGTTTTGTGATCGTTACTTGAGCTGTTTTTTTATAACTGTAATTGAATGAAATCACCCTCTTGTTGGATATTTGTTGGTATTTATTTGAAGAAGATTGACTGTTAATCTCATTCTGTATTCTTGTTATTATTATAACTTATCGCACTATGATTTATACTGATGTTTCATTCAAGCTATTGCCATATTTGATAAAAGACTTTGGATTGGCTTGGGTTAATGATATCATTAACTAATCATCAACAGTTTATCATATATCATTGCTCTGACATCTAGTACACAAATAAATTGGGAAATGAAATCATATACCCTGATTTTGGATTAAGAAGTATAATGCTATGACAACATCGAATACCGGTATTCTAAATTGTTATGCTGCTCTATAAGAAGCATCTTAATTTCACTCCGCCAAACAAGCATTTTACATTTGTTAAATTTTAAGTCACATTTGTATTAAAGTGATATTTCATTTTGTATGTGCATGAGCAAGAATATTTTCAGCCTGATTAACAAAATCCAAGATTTTAGATTACCGTATGTCTCATATATTGTCCACACAATAATACCAGCGGTAACTATCAGAAAACTAATCTCATCTATGTGGTTATGACAAGTAATTTTGAGTATTATAAATTCTTTTAATAATTGATAGATGATCCTAAAATGAAAAATATTAGTTGCTATCCAAAACACTGGGACAGGTTTTGCCTCTCGGAATACAATTTCAGCGTCCTTCGAGTCAGGGGATTGTATTACCAGTATTTACTAAATAAGGATATTTTTTCATTGGGCTATAGCAGAATGCTGTGAATTTTATATGATTATTATGTCTACTGCATGCTGAAGAGCAATATTTATGATCTAACTTTATTTAAACAGTTGTCACAACATTTGAAACTTTGTGTATTTATGATGAGACATTGCATCATCCAAGTGTCTTTGTTACATTTTGAAAAAGGGACAATGGGGATATAATTAAGTAGGGTCTATACTAGTCTTATTTCGTTTAAATTGTGCTTGTGACCGTCGGGATAGTTTATATATGTTTAATTAAGAAACAAAATTCTTAAAGAGTGTGGGTGTACGCGCATAGGACTGTATTCTATGTTGGATATTTTGCATAACATAATATGACCTTTGTGAGGTTAATGTTAAAGTTCTCTATTCAATAAGACTGACATATGATATATTCATGTATAATCCCAAGACCATTCTTTGCAAAAAGTCATGTTTTTTTTCTGGTATTCAAAGTCTGATTGGACATACCTTTTTATGTCCTTTTATTGTCAATGTTGTAATTTTCATTTCTTATTGTATTACTATGCTTTGGTCACTGAAATATCAATGTATTACTAGTTCAATGCTATCAAAAATAAATTGAATTTTTAAAGACATTGACTGTTTGGTATTTTTTGTTTGTTTTTGTATAGCAGCTAAGTATATCTGTATATAGGTTGTTAGTTGTTACGATTTTTTTTACTTCATTCAACTATAATATGGATGGCAAAGCGCAGTCAGAGGTGAGCCTATTTCATTTAGATATATATGTTAATAATAATGCTTATGCATACTTTAGGTATGGATCTGTTTTGAAATAACGTAGGCTCATACCCAAGAATAATTCGCCATCGCGATTGCATTCTCTCGTGTTATATACTTAATAATGAAATAACGAATATATTCTAAATTGAGTTAATAGACTACTACATAGACGTTAATACATATTCAATGAGTTTGAAAATGCAATTAAGTTAAGGTGAAAGTTGGTTGTCTATAGTTTTTTGAAGACATATCGAGAGACCTCAATAGCCTAAAATGAATATGATAATCTCTCAAGTGAAACTATTCAGTTTCCGAAACTGCAAATTGAGATTAAATGTAAGGTTCTGACTTGGGGTTATTTAGATGGAATAATGATATTAGGCTTAGTATCCAGGTTTCACATTAGGTGCTAAAATGCTTACCGGCCGGTATATGTGAATTCACTCTAATGCCGCGCTGTGAAATTACAAGTATCCGTATTTGATACAATCTTTCTTTCAGGGAGGTAAGCTCTGGGGTGGCAGATTCAGTGCAGACAATGATCCAATAATGGAAATATTTAACAAGTCAATTGATTTTGACAAGCGTATGTGGAGGGAAGATATTAAAGGAAGTAAAGCATATGCCATTGCATTATCAAAAGCATCATTGATAACGAAAGATGAAGTTTCATCAATGCTAAAAGGTACAGGGTAAGTCTATTACCGACAGTGTGTATAATGAACACTAGATTAGGGTTTCCTACCGAAGAGTGCGAGAACCATTCCTAGGGGGGCAGGAAGGCTGAATTGTTAAATTTGGTTAAAAATGTGTGGCCAGTATAAACATATAGCATGGTGGAAAGTTAATGTGACACAGTAAAAATTCATGTGATATAATTATTGTCTGCTTATGTAATACTGATTCGATTTCAGTATTGCGTTATTTTAATGTGAGTTATATGAAAAAATTTCAAATTATGCACTCATTTTGCTATTTATATATGCATAATGCATGCATTATTATGCTTATATATGGGGTGCGATAATGTGTTGATGATTTCAGATTGGTGCCTGCGTAAAGGTTAAGAACCACTGCCCTAATAATGTCTGTCAATCAATTATCAGAAGCATAGATAGATACTAAATTTTGCATGAAAACTTTTCAAATCTTGCCTACAGTAAAAACATATTTAATAGGTCATTGAATCACTCACAAAGGATTGCTTTTTATTTACCTACATTTAATATTCGATTGAGTTTTCTACGGCTTTTAAAATATCTCCATCAATTTCAAACCTGTTGTGTTTAGGCCTTGATGCTGTACATGATGAATGGGAAGCCGAATCTTTTAAAATCGAACAATCTGATGAAGATATTCATACTGCCAATGAACGACGCTTGAGTGAAATCATCGGTCCTGAAATTGCGGGAAAGTTGCATACTGGAAGAAGTAGAAATGACCAGGTAAAGTTTATCAATAATGGATGTTTCCCCGACCCTTGACCCCAGAAAAATTCTTCCCATACTTTACTATAGCAAAATCTTACACTTGCCAATAGCCGAGTTTACCCTAGTCCATCGCATCATTTTTGAGACGAATTCTTTCTTATCGCAACTAAACTAAAGCCCATCGGAAGACATAATGACAATTAAAATAACTCAATTACAAATAATTTTTGAAAACACAACTGAAAACTGACAAATAACGTGCAACACCACGAGAACGAGGCAATGTTTACAACCATGCTTGAATATATGTCTGAGCGAGAGAAGTGTCTGAGTGGGTGCAAAAATTACAATTGTTATATCATTGTTGACTTTGTGCTAATTGGTAATTGTTGCGGAAATAAACAAGGAAATCGATGCTTGTGGAAACATCCATAAACATAAATAATTTAGTTTTATGTCTAATTGAATAGAAAAGAATGACATTACTCCTGATTTTACTTCATAATATAAATATTTACAATTCTTAATAACTCACCCCTCTTTGTTGAATGACAATGCCCATTCAGCCAAAAGTTCAATTTGGCATCATGTTATAAATTTGTATTGAATGTTCGAATCTAATCAAATATTCGATTAAATTGAAAATAAAATTTTACTCACTTTTTCGATTTCATGATTTAGGAATAATTTAGAATAGATTTGATGGGGTTAGAAATTATTTTTAGCAATTGAAGTTTCACATTTTGACCAAAAAGAGCGGATACTTAAATAGTAGAAAATTGATTCAATTCAAGCTTATTGAATATACCATTTATCGGACAATAGTACAAGACCCACTTTAGAATATATGCGATATTCTCCTGTCTGAAAATGTTATTTCAAAATGTATATGTAATGGTGGATTAATCAGTTCTGGCGATATGCTGGTGTATATTCCTTGTTAGCACAGTATTAAATTAGCACTGTGCTGTCCCTTTTGTCTCTAGGGATTGGTTTGATTAATAAATTATCAATAATTTGCATTAGTCAAGTTACTTCTGTCAGTTTCTATTCGATGGTGTTTATTTCTCAAATGAAAGAAATGGTGCTTTGGTATTTAATGGCGGCGCTCCCGTAGTATGTGCACCGAGATGGCGGACACCGGAGTGTAGTATGTGTACCAGGTTAGGGTTAGGACATAATTTTATTCTAATTTTTCTTATTTTAGTTCTATTACGAGTTCTATTACGGGTACTAGCCAAGTGACTCCCAAAGTATTTGTACCTGAAATTATGGCCTAACCCTAACCTGGTACACATACTACGATCCGGTGTCCGCCATCTTGGTTCTTACCACTTGCTCCCTTAATTTGATGGCTTGTATAACTGTTGTGTAGTTTCTTTTTTTTTTGCCCATCAAAGCGGGAATATCGAAAAGGAACTAAATATTTGAATACATTCATCAAAATTGGTTATATTTACAATAAATCCTTTTTTATGAATACGGTACATGAAATTTGAAAATACAAAAAATTGAAAACTTTTGTCTTTACAGATTCTGATTTTTGACGTCATCCTGTATTAAGCATTTGACATCTGATGGTCATACAAAAAACAAAATTTTTCCTAATTGAATATTTAAATATGGAAAATCAGTCAAAGCCATCAATCAACCAACTATTGCAGTACCATAATTGAATTGCAATTAAGTTACAATGGCTTGAACAAATTTATGACAATGACACAATCCAGAATATATTTGATATTTCGTATCTGAAAATGTTTTTTTCCTAAAGTATATTCACTGAGTCCCTGAGATTCTGAAACATTTATAAATCGCTTGATTTTGCACTTTTAGTGATGTAGCATCAGGATTTTTGTATGTAATTTGTGCAAGTCACAGAGTTAGAAAAGGCTTCTATATTTCAGAAAGCTTCAAGCTCATAGTTTTCGCACCTCATTCATTTACAGGTTGTCACAGACGTCAGGCTATGGATTCGCCAGGAATTGAAAACATTTTCAAACTTAATGAAACTACTTATAACATCAGTAACTGAAAGAGCAAAACAGGACATTAATGCTTTAATGCCTGGATATACACATATGCAGAGAGCACAACCGATCAGGTATATACCATTTTTACCTCAAAAATAACTAGCTAACAATAAACTACAAATAACAGATCGTGAGGCGAAAGTGTGTTTTATTCAAGAACACTTTGAGAAACGTAAATAATGAAATAAATGAAAAGTTTTGAAATGTAAATATCCAAAATAAGGCAAGCAAGATCAAATATAACAAATTTTTTTTTTCGAGTACGGTAGCTTGTGGGGCGCACCACCGTTTGAGAACCACTGCTTTAGATTATTTATTTTCTCAAAAATGAATTGTGCGCCTTATAAGCTGATGCGCTTATTAATGTATGGATCAGGTAGTGCTTTATGCTTTATTGCCTATACTCAAAACCAGTATCAGTACTGCTTTAAAAGCTGTTGCTTCTTCTAGCTGCTGCGTATGAGCCCAATCTAAGCAATTTCTTGACGGTATGCCTCATGGTCCGTAAAATATGGTGATGTTTATGAGTGTGTTACCTGAATTGTGATTACATGAAGTGAAGTGGACCTGTGGATTCTGCCGAGTTGTTATACATGATTGTGTTTTTGCAGTTGTAAAACTAAAATTAAGTTTTTTTTTACTTATTCGACCAATTGCTTCAGATTTTTATTAATCAAAAATGTATCTTAGTTACAAAAAACTAATTTTTTGTAACTTAGTCCTCTGAGCTGAGAAATTGTGACATCACATGAATTTTATAAACAATTGATTTTAGTTAGTTAGTATGCTAATGAAAAAGCTATGCTTGTGGACATTCTTATATTCGAGTGTTTCTCATTTTGTATAAAATAATTAATAATTATGAGTGAGTCATCTGAAAAATTTTTGATGTTCAGATGGAGTCACTGGCTGATGAGTTATGGGAGTGCATTTCTACGAAACTGGCAAAGCTTGATTCCATTACATGCGAAAATCAATATATTACCATTGGGCAGTGGAGCTTTGGCTGGGAACCCGTTCAATATTGACAGAGAATTTCTTGCAAAAGAACTTGGTTTTAACGAAATAAGCTTAAACAGTCTTGATGCAACAGGAAATAGAGATTTCATTGGTAAGTCTTAAGGTTTTCTTTCACTAACTTTGCATTACATAGAGTGCACGTTTGCATTATTTATGCATGACAACTGTAAAATGAGAAGGGTAGATGAAATGTATTATATTATTTAGAATTCTCTATTACTGACACCTTATGCGGAAAAAGTAGTGGATATTGGAAAACAAAATTTAGCAAATATTGAATTTGACAATTAAACAGTCAATTTATATTATAATTTAATTTAATCTTTTGCGTAAATCAGGGTTTTTCAATCGGAAAAAGTAGTGGATGTAGGAAAACAAAATTTGGTAAATATTGAATTTGACAATTAAACAGTCAATTTATATTATAATTTAATTTAATCTTTTGCGTAAATCAGGGTTTTTCAAATCGGAAAAAGTAGTGGATGTAGGAAAACAAAATTTGGCAAATATTGAATTTGACAATTACACAGTCAATTCATATTATAATTTAATTTAATCTTTTGCGTAAATCAGGGTTTTTCAAATTGGAAAAAGTAGTGGATGTTGGAAAAAGTAGTGGATGTAGGAAAACAAAATTTGGCAAATATTGAATTTGATAATTAAACGGCCAATTTATATTAAAATTTAATTTATAATTCGCCTAAATCAGGTTTTTTTTAAACTGGGTCACTAGGTACCACTCGCGCGATTACTTTATTGATTTAAAGTGAATTGATTGTGATTTGTTTAATTCTTTGACTGTAGTTCTTTTGCTTTCGTTTGTTGGGTTTTGGTTTTTAATTGTGGGACATGAAATGATCGAAACATGTTAATAAAGCTACATATTTTTATTGGAGAGGGGGATTGTCTTTTCAGTGGCGTGTTGAGAGAACGAAATTTGTTTGTTGTTTATAATTGTGGTAAATGATTTACAGTGGCAAATACGTTAATTAGGTGAGCATATCCCAGGTATGTGCTAAGTATCTTAGCAGTACTGTGAGGTGTGAATTAATGTAAATTGTGGAGTATTTTAACAACTTACTTTTACTATTAGGCATAGATTATATATGTATACCAATCCATACTTATCATCAATGTAAATTGTCTCAAATCTTGCTTTATGACATAATTCTAAGGATCAAATATACCAATGAAAATATACACTGGCGCTTGATTGTACCATGAACCCATGCAAAATTACTGGCAATATCACTTTCCTTTATATATCAATGCTCTCAATTGCTTTTTAACACGCTGTTCATTCTGAAATTAGTTTTATTTTATTTTTTTAATATCACTCAATGTTTATCGAAGTGTGTAGTTAGGTGTAATAAAATTAACAAGAAGCTTTACCAGCAGTTTAGGGGGGGTAGTATGTATTACCTTTTAAGGTAATATCTCTTATCTACATCAGTGTTTCTCCAACTTTCATGATCTGTGGCTCTTTTCCAAAGATTTTAACTCATGTGGCCACCTGCTGTTCTATAATAATACCTAATTCTGCTTTTAACGCCCCCAGAGGAAGGCTCCGTGGTTGTCATCAAGGGCCCAATTTGTGAAATCATGATCTAAATTATTTAAATTGTGAACATTGTAAACCCGATCTCGGGCTGTATTGGCCGCCCTTATTCTATGGCCAATCACTTATATATATTTTTCGTTGAAATATTTTTGTATCGAGTAGCAACAAAAATTAGGCCTATAGTTAGGGTGGAAAAGTTAACCCATTCCATTATTACTTATCAAGTGAATCAAAGTATCGCCTGACATCAGTTATTTACAAAAAACGAAGAACTGTAAATTGTGTTCTATTTTAATGGGAAAGCAGCCACTGTTAGGTAACGAGCTAATAATCTCAGAAAGGGCATCAATTTTTCTGGTTGAGCTCTGCATACTTACGGTAATTTATTCAACCTGCGTCCAGTGGTGGTAATAAAACTAATATATTGATTCTTTTCAGCTGATGTTTTGTTTTGGCTGACACAACTATCTTGTCAATTAAGCAGATTTGCAGAAGATTTAATTCTTTATTCTACCAGCGAGTTTGGATATGTGAAACTATCTGATGCTTATAGCACTGGCAGCAGTTTGATGCCCCAAAAGAAAAATGCAGATGGTTTAGAGTTGATTCGAGGGAAAGCTGGAACAATTATTGGAAGGGTATGGATATGTACTTTTTTATGTTTTTACACGCCTTTCAAAATATAAGGAGCCTGAATCTTTCCTATTTAGCATTGCCTGCTCAATTTATTACACTTTGGGTGAGGGGGTGGACATGAAATTTGAACCCAAGGTTTCTAAACTGTGATGCCAATATTGTTCAATGCTTCAACCACTTGGCCATTATTCCTTCTGTGTATTTGAAACCAAAACTTGTGAATTAGCTGTAGCACTATGATTTTATTTGTGAATGTTTTGGTCTGATTACTTTACCAGACACTTGTAATCATTGGGCCATTACTTGTTGTTACTTAGTAAATATTACTTGTTTACATGTGGATTGATGTGAGGGTGTTACTTTGGTGATGGTGTTTTATAGTTTGTAAGGGGCCTGGATAAAGGACCTGTATATGTGTATCTGCCTTGAGGGCAAATAAACTTCATTATTAACCGTGATTGTGTTGTGCAAAGACAGAATTATTAGGAAATAAGATTTATGACCAGATAATTGACTGTGCAGTCAATGTTCAAAGTGCCAAATTTGAATAGTGTGCGGCCCACAAAACGAGCTTTTAATTTAGTTTCATCTAGTGCGCGGGAGTTATTTCAATCATTTTGCGCGGCAAAGCCTATACCTGAGCTTGTGCGAAACGAACCACGCATGTCATAAGATCATGATAAAAAAGTGTATATCAATCGCATGTCTTTAAGAAAATTTTCAGATTAAAAAATTTATAATAAACTCAAATTGATAATTTTTTTACAGTGTATGGGTTTCATGGCAACAATGAAAGGATTACCAAGCACATATAATAAAGATTTACAAGAAGACAAAATTGTATTGTTTGATGTCTGTGATGCCATGCAGGATGTTATACAGGTTTTATATTTTATAGATTCAAATACTGGTAATTTATTTTCGGCATGTATGAAACATTGTGAATAATAACAAATAATAATTGATCAAGTGAAAAGAACAAAAAACAGACACACAATGTTTTGGCTGCAATTCACGAGGAGCCGTGAAAGACTATCGAGTCATTGTGTCAGCGACACTATAGAAGATGTTTCTTATAGAATTTCAATAGGTTTCTGTATATATGGGAGTAGAAGAAAGCACAATATGTAGGGTTCTGTTGATCAATTCTGTCAGGAATTCGAATCTAGTCTGAATCAGGATTCTTTCTCAAAGACTCAAAGTGAGTTGAGCCACCTGAGCAAAAGGCTCATATCAGACTTGACTATCCGCCAGAGTCTCTTAGTAGTGGCAGTGACTCGAATCGACTTGGGCTCAGACTTGACACTTTCATTATTTTGGTGTAATTTCTGAATTGATCGAAGTATTTTTTTATCCAATATATAATTGCATAGTAAAAGTGTAGGATATAGGCATAGATCATCAAATTCTTGTTTGGCCCGATTGGTTGAGAGGTGACTATATTGAAGCAGACCTTAATATAAAGTAATTGCATCCCAAGATCAAGTTATAGTCTGATTATTAATATTAACTCAGTAATATAATAATCCTTCTTTAAATTTAGTAGTCTGATATCTAATTAAATATAAAGCCTTCATTAGTACTACACTCCTTGGCATCATTTTTATTTAAAATATGTATGATTGATACTAGTGATGTGAAATTTTATGAAAAGTTTCATTTGGAAACCTATCCTTTTGGACAACTGGTTCTTTTGACATTTTGAAGTCTTTCATTATAACCAAAAACTCCTCTATTTACGTTTTGAAAACAAAAAAAAATGGAAAATCAGTTGGAGCTCTGTTTATTTGATTAGGTTTTCCTGCTTTTCCAATTTAAACTTATCAAATACAAATTAATTTCCCAATTGTCTTGGTTGAACATGATTCTATTTGAATAGTTTTAGCCAAGTTTTAGCTTGAATAGTTTTAGCTGATCGTGAAGGCTGTCTACATGTTTCAATGTTGTCATTGAAACTGAGATTTATCCTCTCTTTTGTTCTTTAAGATTGCTTCTGGTATCATTGCAACATTGACCATAAATCCAGAGAAAATGAAATCTGCACTGAGCTTTGATATGCTAGCGACAGATGTTGCATATTACCTAGTGCGTCGGGGAGTAAGTAATAGACATTGTTTTTATGATCATCGCTCCAATAAAGCTGAGGCTTGTTAGTTCGACTACTGATCCACTGCCAGATTTGTGATATTTTTCAAACGTTTTTATAATAGATGAATTATTTATAAAAAAAAACTTCAGATTCACGTTCTTTGTCAAATTTCCAAATGTAATTTTGTATACAAACCAGTCAAGATCCACTTTTCTGGTATAGGTTTGAAATGGCATTCCTTTCCTCAGTTTTGTGATGCCTCTATCTACTCATTCATGAGAGGTCATCAGTCTTACCTCCTTTATCGATGCCAGGTTATCAAATTGCCGTGATTGAGGATATTGTCACCAATATAGTTTTGAGTGAATGAATACATTAGTTTATATTATTTTGGGGTTGTTTTTCTAATGTATATTTAAAGCACTGTAAATCCAACCTGTGATAATTAATTTGTGGCGAGAAATTGATTTGAACAGACTTCTCAGTCATTAATTATTATTTACTGTAAAGATTTATGAATAAAATAAATTGGGCTAAAACTGACCAAAGCCACTTAGATGTAAGTTTATTCATAAACTGAATTTTGTGTTACGAAATGACAGATTGCGTTCAGGACAGCTCACAATCTAGCTGGTCAGGTTGTAAAAGCAGCTGAAACAAAAGGATGTTCAATGGATAAATTATCATTGGCAGAACTGAAAAATATAAGGTATATTATGTATATTCCTTAATTCAATCTCTGCCTTTTATGTTTTGAATATTCAATTGCTTATGTATTGTCACCCTCTCATTCATATTAAGTTTTAACTCGATATGCTTTCACTTGTGAACAATTGAAAATCTTGCTGTTTCGGATTTACTGCCTTATTATATTACTGTTTCCATTGAGTTTTGTAATCTTGAATCGGGGCTCCCGAAGTATGCAAACCAAGATGGCGGACATCGGAATGTAATATGTGTACTTGGTTAGGGTTAGGCCATAATTTTAGGTATAAATACTACGCGAGGCTCTTGGCTAGTCTTCGAACTGATAATAGGACTAAAATAAGGAAAATTGGAAAAAAATTATCGCCTAACCCTAACCTGTTACCCATGTTACGTTCCGATGTCCGCCATCTTGGTTCGCATACTTCGGGAGCACCCTTGAATCAGTTTTTAATTTAGGCATACATTTTTGAAGGTGTGTGACTGTGTGTACCAGGTTAGGGCATAATTTCATTCCGACTTTCCTTATTTTAGTTCTATTACGAGTTCGGAGACTGTCTGTGTTAGTCAAGTGAATATACCCCCTGCCCATAGGCTTCAGTCCCGTTATACAACTTGATGTAAAGTAGGCGAACAAAATTAGTTATCTCCATATTGGAGCTCCCTTTTTTCAAAGCTATTAATCACCGTGGAGGTAATAAAACCGATATTGATCTAGTAAACAGAAAATTCCTACTGAATTTTCATAAAATTCGTTAATTATTTCTAACCAAGCAATAAACAGCGTCATTTTTCATTGCAGTCCAAAATTTGAAGAAGATGCTTCACAAATTTGGAACTTCGAAAACAGTGTAGAGCAATATGCTGCTTCAGGTGGTACAAGCCGATCGAGTGTTCTGAACCAGATTGCAAAAGTTGAAAAGGAAGTCAAAGCAGATATCTTGATATGATTGCTCAGCAGATACCAAATAGCAATATCTATTTTTTTTTGCTGTTGTTGTGACAATGTTGTATTTGGTTAAGAAAAAATTCAGAATATACACAAGAAGTAGTAAATTTTGGAAAGCTGTTCTTTTGGTAAATTGGCAATACTTTTTAGTGCACTGTGCTGATGCATTGGATGTTTGAATGTACTTTAATCCATTGCATCTTTGTGTTTTTGCTGTAAATTGAGATACTTGTTTTTCTCATAATACTGTTTTATATGTGATATCTATGAGGTGGCGTGTATATTGTGTATTTTTTTGAATTCATTCAGACAACCTTTTCCTGGCTTATGGTACAATAGGCCAGTAAATCCAAAAATCAATTATAGCAATCATAAGCTTAGTTCAATCATTATCACTGCACAGAATCGTGTTTTTAGTATTTTAACTGATAAAAAGTTCAATGTTGTTTGTTTTATTTTGTGTTCTTGTTTTTCGGCTGATATTTCAATAAATTGCTTCAATCAATAAAAAAAGGTTTTGCAATGGTAGGGGTAGCTAGGGGCTGAGAATCTCAAAATTTTGGATTCAGGCAGCTAGACATTTGAAATGTGCTTCAGCAGTCCCATAAATAATCTCTGGGTAATAAATACTTAGTTTTTGTAATTCTGTTCGAATAGGAGCTGTAGTGAGAAATGCATCAAATTAGTTACAGTTTGAAGGCGATGAATACCATGTTAGTGTTTTCTGAGCTATCACAGAATCAGAAAAATTATTGCGATAAATAAAATTTGGAATTTTTTGGCTCGAATCTAAATCTGGAAATATTATTGATTCTCGAATATATTCCATATTGGACCATGGGTCGAAAGAAACCATAATATTACACAAAATATAACGCATCTCTAAGGCCTAAGCACTTATTGTATCAAACACTGTCGAATTGTGCCCTGTAGAGCATGTCCCACTGAACCCCGGTCCATTGTTCCCCATAAGAAACAAATATTTTCAAACCATCCCACGGCGAAATTCGGCAGGCACATCCACTCGCTAACGTTATGAATATTTTACAGTGGACTGACGCTAAAGAATGTCAGACGATGGTTTGTCTCGTTGGAAAGGCTAAACTAAAAAAAAAGAAAATACTGGAACAGTGAAATTTTACTTTCGACCTCCCAAAACCAATTTCACCCCATAGCTTGCGCCGCTCTACCCGTCCGTTGTCCGTTCGCGGGGACGTTGTAACTCACCGAAGGGCGGATTGAAACATCGAACCGCGGACAGGATTGCGAATATAGTATCAGTGTGAGAGCTGATTTTCCACTGTGCCCCATGTCCCAACGTGCCCCACCTTCCCCTATTGCTTTCCTTGAGATTTTTAGATGGATTATTACCGTGGTTCTCAAAGTGGGCGTCGTTTCAATTTTGATAGGCGTCGCGAAACTTTTTTCTTTTGCGGAATTGTACCTATTTTGCGGTACGTAGAAAAGCCTAAATATAAAATTGCACTGCTGAAATGTACACGAAGAAAAAAAGATACTGAACAAGAAAAGTCTAAAAAGAAAATTTCCGACTTTGGAACGTTCAAGTTTCGGGTAAAAAAGTTCTGTGGTTTTCGTTGCAATTTTACGAAATGCCGCTCAGGCTTCTCCAGTAACATGCCCTTTTTGGCCAAATTCTTGCCGCAAACAACACATTGCGGCTTTTCTGTGCCCTTTTGTTGAACGGAATCGATATAAAAGGAAATTTTAATTCTCAAAATGTAATGAGTTTCTTGATTTCCTTTGATAACGATTATCTTTCCTTACCAACCCCAACCTGGTACACACACTACGGGAGTACCAAAAAAAGTTATGCATCAGGGCAAGTTGCGCTAAGCAGTCGAAAATTCGAGGAAAGAGTTGGGAAGTATAAGAACGAATCTATAAATATTCCAACGTGTACCCGATGGCAGAAAAGTTTGGGAAACCTTGATCTACAAGCAAAGTTATTCCACCACTAGATTAAAACGTCCAAAAGCTTTTTACCTCGGCGGGACACAGGTCGTCCGTCATCTCACATTAAAACCCCAATTGTATCTTTCAGCATACAAATATCTTACGTAAACTTGAAGCAACCCATTATACTAACTTTCGAATTACGTTTATAATCAAAACAGAGGGCTATCTATTATTTATTCCCAATATACAACAGTTGAAAATCTGGCATAGTTTCCATGTTTTAAGAATGTTATCTAGGATGCACGACGTGTTTCCCTCGTTGAGTCCTTGCTTGTACTGTTCATACTGATCAAAAATGTCCTAATGCGATCAGTCATACTGAAACCACACAAATAATAGCTTGTCATTTATTTTCATGATTTGACTGACAAGGCAGGCAGTGAAAGAAACGAATGATGAAATCACTAAGCAGCTACTTCGATAGACTTCTTTTTCTTCTTTTTGTGTTTTGTTTTATTTTGAATCTTGTCACCTTTCGAATTTTTTGATTCTGCACATAAAAAGATAACAATATTATGATTAAATGGTAAAAAATAGGAAGTGGGGTATAATTACTAAAAAAATAGGAATACCCATCATATCTTATGATTTTGAATTCGATTAATCCAATTACTATACTAATCAACTATTACTATATTAACACAAAGTTTGGAGGTAATTTCTTTTTTTTCCTAAACTTCTTGAAGAGCACCAGATTCAATAGATTAGCCTAGCTGAAATAAATCTTTTGAAATCATTCTCCATATGAATTACTACATAAACCAATACCATTTTCATCAGCCAGATTTTCATTTGTTTTTGTTCCTTTCTTCCGTCGTTGTCTTTTCTCCTTCAAGACTCGTGCCTTCATTTCTTTTTTAGTCTCGACCTCTTCATCTATACATTCTGTAATTACAGAGAAAGTAAGACAAAATTGTACGATAGTTCAAAAAAATTTACTACTAATGTACTGACGAAATAGAAAATGGAAAAATATTTGTCATAAAGCATTTACGATTTTTTCAAATCGTCAAATGAAACCCCTGATCAAAATTTCAATTACCTTCTTCAACAGACTTTGATTTAGTTTCCTTAGTTTCTTCTGATTCAGATTGAGTCTTCTTCCGTTTCTTGGTTGATTTCTTTTTCGACTTTGAAGAATCTCTCCTGTGGCCAAAAAATAAAGACCAATGAAATGAAGAGCAACCGAATTGAACATCACCATTTTTGCAAGATGGTAGCAACCTCAAATATACTGACACAATAGCTGGACATATGTATCTATGTATATTTAGGTGAGCACAGAGTTTGCTGAAAAGATCAGGGAAAGGAGTGATAGAAGCAGTCAAGCATGACGAAATAAAAAGTGTTCCCTTTTAATTTAATTAGAACAGCAAAATTTTAGATGAAATATTAGGGTCTCACAGAGCACAAAGTTATTTAAAAAAAAATTAGGCATTAGCTCTCCAGCTGCTTCATTCATTTTTAACTGAAAATTTGAAATTGATGGTTTCTTTTATTGTGGACAAAAAATCAGCCACTTTGTGTCAAGTAGCAATATGGCTTCAACTAAATATAAAGCATAATATGAATGCCTACTTTAAATTATATGAACAACATATATCCCAACAATAGTATCAAGACTTTAATTGTGGAAACAAAAACTTACACAATCCCAAATTCACTTAAAACTTTCCAACCCCAGTTGGTGAGTTCCTGGGATTTTTCAACGTCTGGTAATTCCAAAAATTTCTCCAAAGATTCGGTAAGAACAGATTTATTCAATGATTTCAATTTATCAGTTGAATGCAGTATGAGTATAGCTTGATGATAGAGTCTGTAAAAGAAAGTAAAATTTTGGAAAAAATTTTTATACAGAGATATAAAAATGTCTCTCTCAAGAATGAATAAATTCTAAACAGACTGCACAATCTTGTGCTGAGTCCAGATTTATGTCAACTTAGTGGAATAACCCCAATTAGTGATTACTGTCAGAAAAGATAACTAGACAATTTTTTTTATATCTCGCATTCTTTTGCATGTACGCTTGCTTCTATTTGTCCAAATTCAGCTTTTGTTCACTTTCTAGGATTTTGATAAAAAAAAATTGCCAAGTAATCTTTGGCCAACCGAGAGATACACATATGGACTTATATGCAAAAAAATTTGGTATATCATTTTTTGACGAGCAGGAAATACTACATTAATTGAATAAGAACTAGCAATTACAGTAGCAAGTGAGCTAAGCTAAATTGGTTCAACAACATGTAAATAGCTCACCTAAAAGCAAGACTAAACATGCATGCTAACTTTACTATTACCTCATAACTTCTACAAAGTACTTTGTCTTCAGGTCATGACCAGACAAAGTTGCTGCCTTTTCAATCAGTTCATTGGTTACAGAAACGAGTTGATACAAAAGTACTTTACATTTATCTCTTCCAGCTGGACTCTTCAAAAGTTCATACAACATGAAGCAAGCTCTTGACTGTTAAATAAGACATTATTAACAGTTTGAATGAAATAACTCAAACTGAAGATTGTGAGTTTGAAGGAGATAAAAGTTCAAAAATTATTGGAAGCTTTATTAAAATGACCATGTTAAGGTGTGAATAATGTATGATCTGAAAATAGTAAAAATATGAAAATATGTTGTTATAAATGCAAACTAATTAATAGCCAATCTAGAGTAATTTGAACAACCTTTTTGTAAATAATAAAATTGACATATTAGGGATAATCTTGATCAATCTCACGCTTTTGGTCAAGTTCCATTTTTCGTTGAAGAGATGTTATGGCAAAATCAAAGAAGTTAGAATAACCAACATACCCTTCTATAAACTTGAACTCCATCTTTCGTGTATTTGAGCAAGTCAGAAGCAAGATTTGCTGCTAATGCTGGAAATCTGGGAAGTAAAAATTTTCAAATTTAGTTCAATAAAAAAAATTTGGATGAGATTTACAAAACAATGGTTCATGACAGAATTAGAAGACAAAAAGGCTCTTTTCACAATCAAGTTCATAACTGGTTCAGGTATTTTAGTAAAGGCCGTGGCACGTGGTTCGCCATTTTATTTGCTGTCTCACTAATTCACGTCGGCTTCGAATAAATAGGATAGGATTTACATATTTATCCCGGGGGAAAGCAAAGCCGATAGGTGACTAAATCATAGGGCAAACCACGGACTCTCGTCCGGTTACAAGTCCATGCCGGGTATAGGATTAGTTAGCCAGTGTTTGGAAGCATGGACTTCACGGTGGAGAAAGCCGCAACCGACCAGAGGTTACATGAACCACCCTACGGCGGCGAGAAGTTCAGCAATCCTCTTGCACATAACTATCCCCACATGGGATTCGTACCTGCGAACCCATGCAGAGGTGTGGTGGCGAGCGTGATCCCAACGCTTGGCACAATGCGCTACACCCCCGACGAGAAAAATCTTTTCGTAAATGTTTGAAAACCTGTGATGACAGCATATGAACTAACCACTCTGCCTTCATATTTACTTCTGGAGATGAAGTAGAAGGATGGCTTAGATTGTAAGTTTATATTAGAAGCTGATGGAATCTCTATGTAATTAAATCAACATACCTTGAAATAAAATCTTGCATAACACAAGGTTGAAGGTGACTTTCTCGATGCGTCATGAAATTTTCTAATGCATCCTTGTATATCTTCTGTATTCTTTGAACATCAACAACCCCAGTACCTTGATCTTCCCTGTAATGTAATCATAAAAAATCATGTGTTTCTGTTTGGGCAATATTTATGCAATTTCGGCTGGTTTGTCTTTGCACTTTTCATATAGTTACATTGTATATGAAGTAAAACTGAAAATAATTAAAGACATCAAAGGAAGTGAATTTCCTTTTTTCATATCAATATCTACACCATAATATTCACAGTTTTTCACTGTTTTCGGAAGGTTTTTGCTGGTCTTTTCACAGTTTTTTACTGTTGTTGCACATGACTTGACAACAGTCATCTAGGAAACTGGTCATGCAGGGTGCCTAGCACTATCACTCGTGTTCCGGGAACATCTCAATGATAAATTACTAAACAATTTGGAGAAAATTGACTGTATGAGCACTATGAGCACAACTATGAATAAGGTCTAATAGTTGTTTTATTGTAAACAACAAACTTACCCTTCTTTGGGTGAATTTCCACTTAGAACACGAATAAGGAACAAGCAGCAATCTGATGCAAGTTGACACATAAAAACACTTTGTGCCTTCTTTGCTATTCCCATCATGGCCTCAATATCATCATGACAACGTGAGATAGTCTCTGGCTGAAGATGTTTTGGATATCTCTTCATCTTGCAGATCTTGACTCTGTGTAGAATAATTTATGACAACCGATAGACAATGATGATATGTATAAGTTCATGGATATTTTGAGGGGCGTGAAGCTAATTAAAAATAAAAATATTTGTTAGATGTAATCTTGCCCGCCATATTCTGGATATTTACATTTACCGGCATTTCAACGTTTTTGTTTGAATAAAACATGCTTTCGCCTTACTATCTGTTACTTGTACCTCATTATTTTATTAGCTAGCTATTTTTGAGTTGGTGCCAGAGACTTGACAAATTTTAAAAAGGGGACGCGGCCTAAAAAGTTTGAGAACTACTGATGAAGATATTGAAAAAGCCTATATTTGATATATTGGTACAAGTTGTTTCATTATCCTCACTACAACTAAAGCTTTGGGCGAGCACACACAGGAAAGTAGAGAACCCCAATTATTGTGGATCTTTCGACCTACCTAACATACCTAATTTATTACACAATGGTAAAGGTGGTGGGCGTAACATATGAACCATAGATCATTAATAATCCGTGATATCTATGATATGGTAACTAATTTTGTTCGCCTACTTTACAGAAATTTGTGCAAAGGAACTGAAACCTATGGGCAGAGGGTATATTCACTTGGCTAACACAGACAATCTCCGAACTTGTAATAGAACTAAAATATTCTCAGTTTAACCAAAAAGCTTAACGAAAATCAGAATAAAATTATGGCCTAACCCTAACATGGTACATATACTATGGAAGTACCATGGAATTATATATTTTGTTGCAAAAAATAACAAGTCAGCAATTTTGTGAGTAAATAGTGAATGTACATCGCCATACACAAGTGGTAATCCTTCACAAGTCGTAATCCTTCACAAGTCGTAATTCTTTACAAGTCGTAAATTCCTCTAATTAGGGGAAGTTTTTAAAGTTTTAAGGGGAAGATCATATGCCAGAAGATTACTCACATTGCTAGCTTACAAATATTAAATAACAATACTGATAAAACAAAATATTGTGTTTTGTGCTATAATTAGGCCAAATGAATGCAATGTAACCAATTCGCTCAAAATTCTCAGCATAAAATAATTTTCTATTTAATGTTGAACAATGAGATCACAATTAACCTTAGAATTTACCAGAACGCATTCCATAAGATGCAAGAAAACTTTGCATAGGTAATAACAAGTCAAATATCATAATTATAATGACGTATATATATGCGTCAACAAAAGTCAAACGACGTTCAGTGGAATTAATAGAGTTTAAGAAACATCGCAGAAGATTGCAGTATTATTGATCGATGACGCATTAAACAATTGGCAGAATATTATATGTCACATGTTTAATTGCACAACTTCTTGGAATTTTATTCTATTTTTAATCAAGCTGTAGACCGGAGGACAATAAAACGTGATTCGATTTCCAACACCTATATATAAGTATTTGGTAAATTTTTGCGCTTGCATTTAAAATTTGTAGAAATTATGCCATTGTATTTAATATTACGAAAATAAATAACTATATTGTGGTAGAAAAAAGATTTCAGAATAAAACAATATGTAGCGCTGGACTAACTTGTCAAATTTTCGTGTTTAGTTCAGATAGATAAGACGCCAAGAGGATTAATTGTTTTTACATAGTATATTGATAGGGAAACTCAAATTGGAATGCATAATAGTTGTACGTATATGAACAATTTGTATATATATATAGGTTTGGAAATGATCAGGCTTCCTAATTGATTGAATAAAAGTCCAATATTAAGTTTAAGTATATGTTCTCATATAACTTTTTGAAGGTTTTGTAGGTTAAGTTCTTCAGAAGTTTGAGATAGTAATATGAAAAAAAAATAGAATGATAGTCAATACTCAAAAAGAAAAGTGAATATAGTAAATTTACTCTATACTTAAATATTAACCAAAATTATTTATTAATTATTTATTACCATATAAATTTTAATCTTATGCATATTTTCTGGAAAGTATTTTTGTAAGCATTCAAACAAAGGATTTACAGTTTCTATTCATTCAGAAGTCATTGTAAACATCGAAAACTGTAAAGAAAAGTGTTTTGACAAACTAATATTTATTTCGTGAAGTAAAATATCAAAGATGCTATATGACAAAAAGCCATTCAATAATGCTTGATTAGAACTCAAATTCGAAGAGAATTCCGCAAAATATCACTATATTATAACAATTGAAAATCAAAATCCAAAAAATTTTGATGTTATTTTGAATAACAATTTTTGTAAATTTACATATTATATCATTAAATGTTACAAATAATGCATAAATTACATTCAGTTAATCAGGAATGAACTTGCATTGATTCAACTTTTTTGTTTTCAATCGGATAATATAAATTTGAATATTATTTAACCACGGTATATAAATTGCACAGAATATCAATAGCATATTTATTGATAAGGAAACTCGCGCATGGTTTTCATGTCTGGAACGAAATCTATTAATCTATTCTGTATAGCATAGAAGTAAAGAAGATCGAAAAATCAGACATTGCAGCAATGACAAAACGTGACAGATTAGTTGTGTATTGGGAAAGTTGGAAACACAATGCAGTAAACTTAGGAAATTTAATGTCTAGGAAAATTCTATAATAGGTCAAATGGTATAAAAAGTTAACTAGTAAAAGTACTATGATAAAAAGTAGTTTTCAAATTAGACAGATCAGAGGAATTTCTAAGATTATGATATTAGAAAAGTAAGCTATGCGTCCAGGGATGCCAGAAACCAAATACCTCACGATTCAGAATTCAATATCAAATCATATTTTTGAGTATGTAATGTCCAATATAAATTATAAAATGGGTTATAAATAATAGAATTCATTTTTGTAAAGTAATAAAGAAGAATTTGGTAAAAGTAGAATAATTGAGATAAACATTGTCATGATTTCTATTTATATCAATTCGAAAGTTAAATGAAGTCTATTGTCAAATAGTCAAAATGACAAATTTTTCGAATAGAACCATATTAATTAAATTATTACTAAAGTCAGAAATTTTAATACAGAATTAGTTTCGTGTTGGTTTAAATATTCGATTCATTTCAAACATCACTGATATAGAACTCTCTGGATGAAAAAAAGTTAATTAGTAATTTTAGAACATCTCTGCACGATAAAATAAGCACATCTACAGTATTTCAAATTTAGGTGTAACATGATGAGACGGCATCCATTAAAATATAAATTATTAGGCAATAGCATATGTGACAATGAGTTCTCGTTATAAAAGTTTGATTAATATAGCATAAACAGCTAATGTGCAAACTGCTGTCATTTAGATAAATACCAGTACTAATTTGCTTTCATGTTTAATTGTTTGATCATTTGTTTTTCTACAAATCACAAGAATCAGGTTGATGTAAATACAACTGTAAAATAAAAAAATATTTTCGCATCTTCGACGTTTTTATAAATGGACTAAACAATAGTCCAGTGTTCTTATATAAATTGCAAATGTAAAAGTTTGTGCGAAAATTTTCAAAGGTGTGGCTGTCATGTCGGTCATTTATAGAATGGATTGTTGTTTAATCGTTTGATTAAGCAAACAATATTAAATTGGAAATCTTTCTCTGAATGATGAATGTGTCGGTATGTTGATAAGAATTTCTGATATGTTATTATGAATTGGTGAAAAACTGCTCTGAAAAAATAAATTCGAATTATCCCTTGCCCATGTATGGCCACGCTTGCCTATAATTGAAACTAATACTTTTTTCTCACAAAAACATTCGATAATATATATAAAAATTGAATCATATATGTCTAAAACAATTCTCGCTTCTCGTACTCTTTTGCTTGACTAATTTTGTTTCAACAGCTGGCTAAATAAATAAAAATAAACTCTAAAGTATTATAAATAGTCTTGAAGATATTTGGCACTGAACTTTTGCATGACTGAAAACTCATGTATGAATTGTTATTATTCAATATAGTTTTAACAACTTTTAATTTGCCAAGAAAAAGACATCAAGAAACACTTACAACGTAAAAAACAAACACTGTTGCATTGCACGCTATTAAAACTTATGTAAATTGGATACAAGTATCAACTATAACATACAATGAAAACGTATTATAAAAGTTGATTAATGGCTTTTTGGTTAGAAGCTCAAATTATGTTCATGCCGTGTACCTGGGTGTGATAAATTGGGTAGGTAATTAGGTAGGAAAAGCAATTGTATTTAAAAAATTGTTATATAAAGTAATATATCATGCATGTGCTTGTATATTTATGTACATACGTACAATAATTGGAGTAAAAGTCTGTTTTATGATTTATTATTTTGGAGTTGACCTTTGAAGTCGAATGAAGTGTTTTTTTTATCTGACAATAAAGCAAAAGCAAAATTTCAGATGCAATCATTCAAAAATATTCCTAAATTATGGGATTTTCAAATGGACACTACTAATTGATTCTTTATGGTCATGCATGGACCAATGACAGATCATATTTTGGTACTCCCGTTTGGTGTACCAGATTAGATTTAGGCCATAACTTAATTCCGATTTTGCTTATTTTAGTTGATTACGAGTTCAGAGGCTGTCTGTGTTAGCCAAGTGAATATACCCCATAGGTTTTAATCCCTTGACAAAACTTGATGTAAAGTAGGCGAACAAAATTAATTACCTCCATATTGGTACACATACCGTACTTCTGTAGCGCCCATATTTTATCTAAATTTATGTTTGATAATGGATTTATTTTCGCAAGACCACATGAAAGCACTTCAACAATCTTAAGCAAATCCAGAATAGACAAGAAATTGATGTAATTTTTATTAATCCATGTAAACACACATTCAGACAACAAACCAAACAATAAACATTGTGTGGTCATCTGTTTATTCTATTTGAAGTGGACGATGTAACACTTTGTAAAATAACATTTCGTCAGACGGGTTTATTTGTAAAGGCATTCCTTGACGAAAATTCAAATAAATGTCTCTAAAAATTAGGTCGGAGATTGTGAACATTGAATATATTTTGTAAAATAAATTAATATAACCAGTATTGGTTCCAATTTGCGTAACCATTTGAAACAAATAGTTGTGTAGGTGTGTGTTTGATTCATTGGTATATGACATCAATTTAATATGTTATATGCTATATTTGTCAAACATATATTGCCATATAAATAAAGAGTATGAGCTGTGGTATTTTTAGTTTTTCGATAAAACTATGACTGAATATAGGTGGTTCAGGTAGAAAATGCTGCAATTTTTTCTTCATCAAATTTTCGATTCTAGGACTTCAGATAATTTGAATTACACTCATAGTGTTATATTTAGAATAATTGGTAAATGAAAAGGCTAAGATTGAAATATCATAAGGAGTCATAGCTATAATGAATGTCATTTATGTAGGTCATGAGTGTGTGTGTGTCCCGTAGTCTATTAAGATTTGTACAAATATAAAATTGAAAATAAATGAAAGGACAACAAATGCGACTAGATTTCTGCGTTCAATAGCAAAAACACCCAAAAAAATATTTACTTACTTGTACTTTACTTACTTGTACTTTACTTAATTATATTCAAATAAGAATTGCCAAGCCTGTGCTATAGATAATTTATGATTTATCCACAGGAAATGTTTGAAGAAGGATTATTTTAATACATTCATCAAGAACCTACAATGACCATGTCTTTTCAATAATAATGGGTGATTAGAAAATTATACAACAAAATTTTTGTTCGAAATTTAAATTTTCAGATGTTGGATAGTTTTCGGACCATTTTCCCATGATTTTTTCAAGTGGTTCTAAATGTGTACATGGTTGATTCTAAGTACAACAAAACTAGAAACCAAATAAACAAAATTTTCAGGGTTTTCCTCATTTTGGAGATCCATCATAATATGTACAATTTCCTCAGACGTCAAATGCAATTCAAACTTTCCTATTAACTTGTGAAAACAACTAGTTTCGGGCATTTTGAAATAGAATTCCACGTAAAGAAGAAATGTAAAAACTGTACAATCTTCGAGAATTCAGACTAACTTAAGTTTAGATTAATAGTTTATGATTGGTAACATATAGCAGAATCATCGGTTGAATATATTATGTTACATGCAATTGTAGTCAGCTGGAATATAGGAAGGTATTGATCTTAGGCATTTAGGACACGATTTTGTTTTTGTATTAATATCATTGAAGAGAGATGAGTTATTAAAAATATTTTAATCAACAGTTGTTGATATCATTCGGCCAAAAACCATTTTCTGAATATGATATTTGATGAATTTATTTAAGCAAAGAAGTCAGGTATACCGGGACAGGGAATCAATTTTGCTACATATTTATACCAGACATTGAACATTTTTACTAGATTTAAGAATTACCTTTTATTGAAGAGTAAATATTCAAATTGAGTATAATATTTAACAGCATTGTCACTCAGGAAAATAAAATTTTATTATGCATTACGCAAATCATCAATTTATACTCCATATTGAATAGGATTTCTGGAATATTAGCTCTCTCATTGGGCATCTTCTCTAGTTATAAAAATTCAACCATATGTAATATTATTGAGACATTGTAAAACAAATTGATTTAAGAGTAACTTATACATTCACCGGTATATTGCAAGAAATTCAGGCAAATTCATACTTGAATTGAAAATCAAGGTAAAGCATTGTTTAAATATGCTTTGAAAACGGATCATTGTTAAGTCACAATGAAACTAGATTTTGAGTAAACAACTACTAATAGTACTGTACAATAAAATATGATGGTTCACATTCATTTGTGTAATAGATACATGCTTTCATTCTGATTTGAAAGAGTACACAACAGCATTTCTGTATTAATCAAAGATCACACAAAATCGTGGATTAACAAATACATATTATCATACATAGCCCAGAGGCTTCATTTAAGAATGTATGCAACACTTCAAGTGCTTCTGTAATTTTATAAGTTTTATTTAATAAACCACAGTAAAGCAAAAACTAAAGCACTTGGCTTTAATTATAATAGCAGTGGAATTTTCAGTACGCAGTAATATAAGTTGTGTTTAAAAGATACGCATGTCGTGATGGAAACACCTACATACAAAATCCGTAAGCATGATGGTTTCAGCCATTGAGTTCCAGTTTAGTGTGACAAGGTTTCAGTATTGTGTAGATGGGTGTGAGGTAACATTAACAATCAGTCAGCTATATAAGAATAACTGCTGAGTTAAGCTGTTAATTACATTTCTGGTTGGCGCTAACAAGGCCAATTCAGAGGGTGTGATATTTAGTAACACTATTGGTTAGTAGTGATCTAGGTCAATCAGAATAATGGAACATTAATCTAATGTAATTGCTTAGCAGAAGCATTCATCAATGTTTACATTTATTCTTAAGTGAATATAAATATTAATTTATGAAATTTGGGACTTAAGACAAAAAATTTTCTTTATGATTGGATTTAATAATAATTAGGTAGTAAAAATGGGGAATACACCGTCAAGAAAAAACAGAAAACTCGAGAAAGCGATCCAAGCAAGGAAATTGAAAAGAGTGAAGAGGTGGCTGATGAAAGGTAATTGCTTTTTATGAATTTTTTTTATACAACCCTAATTCTTCCTGGTTTTCACCCTGAACAAGATCCTTTACATGCGCCACTGATATTTTACGATGTGTAAGGAGTTACCATTTTTCGAAAGCAACCAAAGCTCTCCAGTTCGGCATTGCCTCCCTATTTATAATAACCAGGGTGGGAATAGGATTTGTGCCCGAATATATATCTTATTTGTTACTATTTTTAACTTCAGGTAATCCATATGTACAGATTCCACAGCAAAATTATGATATATTAAAAATTTCAATCTATAAATTCTGACATTACTCATAATTCACAGCGAAAGTAAAAAATTTGACAAAAAAAAATCTGAACTTTCGAAATCCCAGAAAGTCTCCTAATAAATAGCTTCAAATACTTAACAGGAGCAGATCCAAACTCTTACAGCAAGAAATCAAACTACTCGTTATTAAGCATGGCTATTACATTAAGAGAAGAAGCTCTGGTGAGTAGCAATTAGAATTAAATACTACATAAATATTTGGGTCATTGTGCATTTTTTACAAGAAATAGCCTACTGCAATTTTTCAAAAGAACTTAATAGGATAATAAAGTAGTGAATGTTCCATATGAAATAGGTGACAAACAGCAGCCTTTGTCTCGCCGCTGCTGCATTCTACAATATAGTGAAATGAAATTACTCAAATGCATTTTACAGAGATACTGAAAAATGGATTACTATCTCCTTTGAAACTAAAATATTACATATATTATAAATATTTTGATATAAAAAATTAGACAAATTTATATTTGTATACAAAGACTGAATTTAAAGAAGTAGCACAGGATTCTATCTAGTTTTTATGCTTTTCGACAATTGAATCCGCCTATAATCTGCCTATCAAGATTACAATACTTTTAAATATAGGTCACTGCATTGATACAGTATGGAGCAAATCCGGACCAAAAATCTTGGCTGACAACAGGCAAGGGAACTTTACAAAGAAAACAAGCAAATGATGATGAATATCCTATTCATATAGCAGCATCACACGGCAGCGAGAAGATAATGAAGGTAAAGAAAACTAATAACAAAAATAAACAAGACTGAAGTCTAACAATAACGGTTGTTTGGGGGAAAGCAAGCTTTAGTTGGAAGGAATGTATCCCTAACTCAAACTCTAAAATAACTAACTTCTGCTCATTATGTCCAGCTATGATTAGGTTAATTAGCCTTAGATACGGATATAATATAAAGGATTTTAGAAAATAGTGAAATCGATTTAAGAACCCATCACCATCACTTAAGCAATAATGCTCCACACTCGACACCTTTCACATCTTGAAAATACTAACTTAATTCTACATGCATATATCTCTAAAAACAGGGCTCCATATGTGGTTTAAATACAGTATTAATTCCTCTTTAACATGTTCAGAAGCTTAGAAATTATATTTTCATTTCAGGCACTTCTGAATTCAACAATAGATATTAATATTGGACAAGACCATAAGTTGGGAACAGCACTTCATCAGGCATCAAGATTTGGACATTCAAAGGTAAGATGACTTCTTAGACAAAAGATGGTGGGATTAGAATCAAAGTATAGTTGAAAATGGATTGGGTATACCAAGGGCTGATTATATTGCGACCGACCACAGTTTCTAATGAACCAAAACCGATGTATAAGAGTGGTTCCCAAACCCCGGCCCGTCTAACGATTTAATATAGTCCTCCAAACTCAAGTGAACTAGTTTGACACTTTGTTTTTCCTTTTAGCGTTCTAAATATCGTCAATTGTTATGTCATTATCACAGTTTGAGTATGTGGCACGTTAGCTTAATTATACATACCGGTACTGGTATTTGTCCCTTGCGGGTGCCCCCTATCCTGGCCCGCGAATATCCTTATGTTTGTGATTTTTGCCCCCGGTCAATCAACTTAGAGAACCACTGCCTTATAATTACTACTCACTACAGAAAATTTAGTTACCACTGTCATTTTCATAGAGAGTAATAAAATGATGAGCACATGTTAAAATGCAATTTGGCTGATCCTGGTTTTTCCTAATGATTTAAAACTTAAACTACAATTGCAATCCCAATACATTTCTTATCAAGACTTTTCTTCTGAACTGATTAAAATTAACAAAATAATTAATTTTGGTATGAACTATTCTCCTACCTCCTCGCATACCCCTGACTGTTTGCATATTTACGTGTGGATTTCAGTCCCAAAGATATTTACCACTTTATGTTTAACTGAATGTAATCTTGATTAATATATCTCTACAGCTTGCTGAACTTCTCCTCATGAATGGTGCTGATATAATTGGTATAGACAGTAGATTAAACATGCCTCTACACGTTGCAGCTACTTATGGACAAACTAAAGTTGCTGAAGTTTTACTACGATATGGCAGTCCTGTGAATATATCAAATATGAAAAACTGGACTCCTTTGCATTATGCCTCATCAGAAGGTGCAGTCTCCATGGTAAGATTACTTCTAAAACATGGAGGAAATCCAAAAGCAAAAGACGGTGCGGGAAGCACACCAACAGACTTGGCAAAATCGGAACATGTGTTGGAAGTTTTTCTAGAACACGCAGTAAATAATCTAGATGAAGATGAAGTATTTGGCGGTGAAGATACAGACGCTAATAGCAAAACACTAAATCAAACAGGGCCTCCTAAACCAGCAAGAACTTTTGCTTTATCTTCTTCTGCACTGAAAGGTAGCTTTGTGAAAAGAGAAAGATCGCATTCACAGGAAATGACATTGGAACCAAAGAGTTCTCAATTGGAAAAATCGAACACTTACAGTAATTTTGGTCACTGGAAAAGAAATCGAAAACTTAAAGAAACAAGCGAACAATCAAAAGTAATTGAACAAGCTGAAAATGAACGCAATGACACCGCACACTCAAAATTCCGCAGAACAAAGTCAACTCCAACGCGAAAGAAGCGAGCAAAACATCAACACAAGATTACTCTAAATGACAACACGCACAGACAAGTTGAAAGATCAATGACTCAGTATGCTATTGGTAGAAAAATATCTCGTCAGCAAGAAAACCTTGAGCAAGAAAAATCTGTAATAAAACCTAAAATAGAAAAGAGTAATCAAGACAAAAAATCAGTGACAAATTTCAGACGAACAAAATCAACTCCTATCAGAAAGAAGCAAGGAGAGAATACTCAAAATGACAACACGCATAGAAAAGTTGACAGATCATTGACACAATATTCTAAAAGTAGAAAAATACCGAAGAAAAAAGAACTTGAACAGGAAAAAGTTGTAATAAGCTCTATAATGGAAAAGAGTAGTCAAGATGACAAACCAGTGACTAATTTTAGACGTACAAAGTCAACTCCCATTAAAAAGAAGCATCGCGATCGAAGAACAAAACCTCAAATCAAGCCCATTAAAGAAACCGTTATACGAGCAAATTCAGTGCAAATGAAAACACATGAGCCGGTTGAAGTCAAACGCATGTATTCTGTAAGATATGCCAACAATCATTCAAAAAATATGAAAAAACTGCTAAGTGTATCAGAAGAAGACTTGCCAAAAGTTCACAGGAGATCAAAAAGCGTTCCATCACTATCAAATGAAAATAACAAACAAAATTGTTCTTTCAAAAACGAAAAAACCACGGACCAAACAAAGACAGAGAAAAACAAACCTATTCAATCAGAAACAAACATTGAATCTTCTAGCGCATCAGACACAAGTCAAAATGAAGTAAAAATCCAAATACATAAACAGAATTATTCCCACTCATTGCAGGATTTGACAATCATAACAGAGGAGACGCAGAACGGTGATACCGTAAGAGATGCCAATTATAATTTCAAACCAAAACGAAAGGCAAACCGAACGATGTCAGACAGATTTTCATATCGATTGAACAATATAAAAAATAGTTTTGTAAAGCGAAATCAGCATAAAAAATTTATAAAACAATAAGCAATTGATTTTTATATATTTCCATTTTTATACATATGTTCATAATTTTTATTTTTTATGGCTTCTAAAAGACAAGTTGCAATTTCATTTTATAAATGTTGTAGATGTACAGGAGTCTTTAATCAACTTTCAGTTTCCAACAAACTAAGTTTCGATTATTTTTAGAGAATCTCTCGATTTTTAATTCGACCTCGTAAAATCTAATTTTAGCTATTAAAAATCCTACAATAAAATTATACATTCAAAAATTAGAAAAAAATAAATAAATTCGCTTAAATTCTGAATTTGCAAGTAATTCCCTATTTTTTATGGTTGAGTGTTGAAATGACAAGACTATAAAATTTCAAAATTAGTTTGATCTGTTCATAATGAAACACCTTGTGTGTTCCCATTTCATCTAAATTGCTTTGCCTGTTTACAACAACATTTGTCTATGAACTATCCCTCAAAATCATATCTAGCCTAGCGCTACTTTCCAACTTTAAATATTGTTTATTACTTCGTATATTTTTTGCAATTTTTTCAAGTGTCCTTTTTCTTCATTTAAGACAGCAATACTTGATAATACACTCACATTCCATAAATGTCTTTTGTGTAAGCGAGGTGGAAAGACAGGTAGGTCAAAACACAGATGTTGAGGAGGATATCATTACAAGTTTATGACCTTTAAGGGCACAGGACTTTATATAGGTAATTTACGCAATAAAGCAGATTTGAGTAAGCAGAACCTTTTGAGTTATTCAAGTAAAAAAAATCTGGAAATTGATAATCTTAATATATAAAATTTTTGTCTCTACTAAAAGTCTCTACTATAGCACCACCTGACTTCATTACCACGTTTGCAACGAATATTTTCGAAGGAACAGAAAAGATTTTTCCAGTCAAATAATTCAATTTTTTCATTAGTAGGCTATTTGTAAGTCGACAACCAAGGCTTTTGTAGCGGATATTCCTTTCACTCCAAACATAGGCTAGAAAGCATTTCCGCAGTAGGAGCATAATAAAGAACAATTGCGCAACAGGGGAAATAGAAAGCTGCTATGTGATAAGTAGTCACATTCGGTAGTGTGCTCTTGCCTGCAAAAGTTATCTCCTATACAGGTCAAATTACACCCGTGGGATAAGCTTACCTACCCCTAGTTGATAACCTACACTATGCCAATCAGTCACATAATCATTCACAATTTACAGTAACTGTTGATGGAAGTAACCATTTACATACCTTAAAAGAACTGAAGCTTTCTCAGCCAGCGTCATGTCAGTCGCATTTCTTGATGCATGTTGGATCGCAACCAATAGAGGTCGAACAGCTTCTAAGATAAGACAGTCAGAATCGACAACATCATGTTCCTGTGAATGTCTCCTATTTGCCATGATTTCAATCAGATCGAGACAACGTAGTTGAAAGACCAGTAACTGCTTGTGAGAATCTTGCTCAACTTTTCGTTTGGATAGCTTTGAGAAAAGAAATGAAAAAATACAATCAATGCATATCCTTATCCTGAATTATCCAAATTTTGCCTTTTACAAGACAAAATAATAAAAAACAAACTTATTATTTAAAAATGAATTTCTGCAGAAATGAATATTTATCTCTCCATGTTTTGTGTTGGTGGATCCGTATGCACATAATGCAAGGTTGCTGGAGCGAGAGTGAAAATCCCTATTCAGAGTGATTCAAGAGCCTTACCTAAGCCTTCAAGAGAACTACTTATCCCTCTAAAACGTATTCATTTTAACGTGCATCCACTGTCACATAGACATTCGTAAACGAGATAAAGTCATGGATTCACGCAATAGCAAATCGTAATTCATTTTAAACCTTAAGAATGGGAGTGGAAAAGTTGTTGTTGAATGATCCTTGCTTTTAGCATCTGTGAGGTAGACCTTTGTCACAGAGCTACATCGTAGGTAATAATTGATTGTATGAGTTATCACCAGTCGAGAACTTGGCAAAGATTTACCAACATGAGCCCAAAAAGTTTGAGAAACCCTGATTTAGACTCATAATTTGCATCTAAATTGCATGTCAACAAAAACAAACATTGCTGTATCTGCCTGTGTGTCCGTGTCTGTACAGTATAAGAGACCAGTTTACCATAACAAAATATGTCATCCAACCTTTTTCTGTCTGAATACTTCAGCCAATACATTATCAATTCTCATCATTGCTTCATCATCCATTTCAGGACCAGAATCAGATTCTTCTTCATCATTGTTTTCTGCTTCCTGTTCTTCCTATATTAAATTAGACGATTTATGTACAATTTGTCAGTTGAAATAAATACCGGCCAATCTTTCTGACATTCTACAAGAAAGTGGCACGACAGAAAACTGCGAGGTTGATAATCAATAAGCTTGAAACAAAACAAGTTCTCGTTCGAAAATATGTGAGAAAAGCCCATATTACAAAGATAACTGAAAAATTTGGATCTCTCTTATAAAAAGCAAAGAGAAAGCTACCATCTAACCGATGAACAACACTTTACTTTTTTCATTGATTGACTATTCATAAAGACGGATAATAGGAAATGTAGTCTATCCACTTTACCTCCGATGACACCGCAGCATCACCGAGTGCTTGTTTGACTTCTTTTCTGAACTTGCTGTCATCATCTACTTCATCTTCTTTTATTTCATCCGAAACATCTTCATCGTTGAATGCAGAATCTCCAGAATCACTTGATTCCTCATCTTCATCTTGGAATGAATGATAACAATAGAAAATAAAAAAATAAAAAATGAGTTACACAAATTAAACAGTTTTTTTAATAATGAAAGGCAAAATACAAATTGGAAGATGTCTTAGTAACATATATACCAGGGGTGGGTAATTACTTTCCAGAGTGGGCCAGTGTACAACAGACACCCATTGTACCAAGTGGCACAATGATCAATGGGGCTGATGTAGACTACCGTAGTCGAGCAAAAGCTTGTTTAAATCAGGCTCGAAGCATCTTGTGCTGATTCTCTATACGGACTGCTCTTAGGTTTGTTTGAAAGAATTAAAGGAAATATTAGGTTTTGGCTTTTGGTAATCTGCATACTTCGGAATAATAATTCAGATACGTGAGTTCGAGGTATTTATTTATTTAAGCTGATGATTCTTTATTTTCCTGTATATTTTCGATAGAATACCAGGTCCCTAAATTTCCTCTATATTTTCAACACCAGGTCCCTAAATTTCCTCTATATTTTCAATACCAGGTCCCTAAATTTCAGCAGGCACAAGTGGGCTGGATGAAACACTTCAGTGGGCCATAACTGGCCCATGGGCCGTAATTTGCCACCCCTGATATGGACAAACTAGGGTTGGGTGCATGTGGTTGGCCACAGCCCTTAGTTCACCACCGGTTGGATGCCATCCCTTTTACAACATGCTTTGCGGCGCTGAATAAATCTGTCTTAATAGACAAAATTACAATACCATATGTAAACATGTACCATATTTGAATTTATTTTATTTATAAATCTTACTGTATTTGTAAATTTGCTTTGTGCTGCCAATACATGCCCGCTCTGCAGTACATCTTTGCATAATTGTTAAAGGTAGAAATGACATAAAAAACTGGCATTCAGTGTGAGCTGAGTTGTCATCAGTAATATGACAATAGATATCATCATTATACCAGTATTTATGTGAAGTAGGAATCAAACAAAGTGACTAGGCCTATTCAAAAAGTCTACACATTGATGGCATTCCATGATCTAAGCCAGGGCTCTTCAAACTGGGGTGGGACGCGATAGGGGTCGCATTTATATATGCAAGCACAGTTTATTTACAAGAGCTAGTCCAACACCTAGGCTAATGTTTATATAATAATCAGAAGCACAATGTAACAACTGAGGGTCATTATTCATATCCATAAAAAGCATAGTAGTAATTTCAGCAGACAAAAGTGGGCCAGATGAGACACTTTGGCGGGCCGGATCCGGCTCGCTGGCCGAAATTTGCCCACCCCTGAGCCAGGGCATTCTACTGAAAAGATTTCGGTTCATCTAGAAGTCTTATAGCAAAGCAGCTACTTATTTAGACAATAATAATAACTTGAATAAGTAAAATAAGTTCTCTCTAAATATGGCAATATGTGACATTCCCAAATCAATTGAGAATAGATGAGAAAAGTCTGGATTTCAGCCATAAATTCAGCAATTTATAATACCTTCCATTTCATCATTGTCATCATCTTCATTACTCTCATCGTCGTCATCCTCAGCATTATCTTCATCAAGTAAAATGTTCTTTTTTCGGTCTGGGTCTAACACCTGAACAATCAACTCAAATTTATAAATTCTCTGATCCAGGAGGTCCCCAACCCACAATGCATGATGCTAAAGCAGGGGTGTGCAAGCGGAGAAGTGCAAATTTCAATGGTGTGCCCGCGAAATGAGTTTTTAGTTCAGGTAATCTGGTATGTGCAAGCAATTCCAATCTTTCGCAAAGCCCATACCAGTATATGAGTGTCACTGTCATATTAGCAAAACAGGCTAGCAAAATCCTGTTGCAAAAACGTGTTTCTCGCTGAATTCGTTTAAAGTCAGTGTAACAATAAATTTGAATAGCAGTTTTCTTCAGAAATTTATGCGTTTAACTCATCATTTCTGCATAGACCTCTAATAATGTTGTAAGATCAATAACGAATAGAAACAATTTTTTGTGCCAGCAACTACTAGAAAGGCTATCTTAAATAAATGTGCTGCCCGTGGCTTCACCCAGTAACTTGTATCTGGCTCTCCAGTAATAAAGGTTGCACCCCACTGCTCTGAAGCATACAGATGATGGTATATCACATTTTCTGAACAATTTCTGCAGTAAATAGCACATATTGGGATTCCTAAAAAAATGATATTTCGATGTCCATGGACTAGATTGTTACATCAGAAATAACCATCCTGAAGCATTAAATTTGAATTAATACAAAATTGTATAAGTCACAAAATGTGAAATCTCACAAATGAAACAGCAATACCATAACACTTACATCAAGTATCAAATGAAGACCTTTCCTTGTGAGTTGTATGCTTAATAATTTGAACACTTGATCAGCAACAGATCTTATGCTGTGTGAATTTTGTGATAACATACTTAGTATAGTCTCAATGATAACCTGGTGAATATAAAGTAAACAATTAATGTGTAGAACAGAAAAGTTTACATTAATACTTTATTATCTTTGAAATATTTAAAAAACAATGAGCTAAGATCAAAACAAAAATTTTACCACAAGTCAAAAAGGGCTTTCAACAGGTTATAAAAAAATTAAGACAATATTTACTTTTTTCTACAAAAAACAATGCATTTTCAATATTTCCATTTCGGTTAAAATTATAAAGTCTGATCAGAAATTTACCTCCACCCACGTAACTTCAGACAAATTGTCATCATATGCTGAAACAAAAAAATGATCCACATTTATGTGATAGGTTTAGGAAAAAAGACAATGAGTAAAAATAAGTTAGAAAGTTTGTTCAATCAGAAATAATCAACAAATTAACTAAAAGACCTCATTGAATGTGTGAAGAAATACTAACATTGTCATTTAACATCGTGACGAAAGTAGTCAATAAATAAAATTAAAAAAAATATATTACCAATTTACCATAAAGTTAAACAACTTTCATTATAATGAGTTGAATAGCATAGACCAAGGGTGTGCGAAATGTGGCCAGCAAGCCAAATGCGACCCACAAGGAAAAATTGTGCGACCCCCGGAAAGTGCCAATTTGGAATCGTGTACGACCCGCGAAACGAGTTTTTAATTTAGTTTAATCTGGTACGTGCGACTAACTCCTACCCCTTTGCATTACGAAGCCTATACCTGAATTCAATTATTATCTATGCCTATGTTGTTTCATTGCCCCAAATTCACGCACCTGTAGCAACTAGAAAGCCTGTGTTAAATAAAGGTGCGGACCGCGGTTTCACCCAGTTATTTGCATCTGGCCCTCCCGTATTGAAGGTTGCACACCCCTGGCAAAGACTTAAAATACCGAGGTCCTAGATGCATGCTATAGTTTTTTATGATAAATTTCAATTCTGTGATCAAAATCAATATTCACCTTCAACATTTCCATCTCCAAAACGTTCATCAACGACTTGAAACAAATCAGTCAAAACTTCACGAGCACTAGCACTTTCCTCAACAGTTGTATTGAGAAGTTTGATTCCAATATGAGCAAGTAACAGTCGAAGAGCTGTACCCTCTGTTTTCCTGGGTTCATCTTTTTCTAGATAGTAAATATTTTCAGAAAAGGTAACAAAATACAAAACGAGAATATCGGTCGGAGACCAAAGACTTATCGATCAAACTCCGGTTTCGATTCATGACTCCATAGTGACACCGCGTGTCCCATCACTAATTAATTAATAACTCGCTAATTATACGACATAATTCATCCAAAATTCATAGGCTTCTGGTCCGAGATATGATGAATGCTCATGCAAAATTTGGAGCAGATTCAACCTCGCCTCCGTGAGATATCGCGTCCATCTAACAGACAAACAAACAGACAGACAGACAAATACCTATCAACATACTTACCGATCTTAAGATCGATAAGTAACAATTATATATAATCCAGGATAAAATGATACAAGGAGATTATGGACCCACAAATTATATTTTTTTTACAAGAAAAAAAATGTTATATATGCTAGCTATGATGGTTGTAAAAATGCTAAACACGATGAAATATACTTCATGATAAAAGCAATTGTAAAAGTTAATGCTATCAATATTGTGAAACACACAAAAACCTAGTTTTCAAATCAAAAAAGTTCTTTCAAGACCTATTTAAAAAAAAAAGGTAACTCAACTATCTCAAACTCTCATAACTCTTGACATTCAACTCTTGAATCTCAACAGAGCAACAGAACTATAATGGTGTTTTATATACAGATAACAAATAGATGGGCATTTTTCATCTGGCAAATGAACAAATGATATCATTGAAAGAAAGAAAATCACTTTTATCACCAGTATCTGCTAATTTGGTCAACATCAAATCCATACCAAACAAAAATATTTCGTTTGATGGCCAAATAACCCATTTCTAATTTCTAAATATGTCACTGTAATTATTCGAAGATGAATAAAGTGTAGCATGACTGAGACATGATATTAATATACCTTCAATTTTTAATATTTGTTCTATTTTTTCAATCATGTTTTTCCACATTTGTTGGCATGTATCGTCCATCGGTGTGATCAATCTTGCTTTGTGTTTCAACAGCAATTCATTAGTGAATTTGATCAGTTTGTAAATAAAGAATTCTCCATTACTATCTGTCCCATTGAATCTGTGCTTTGAAGAAGCCTACACAAAAATATAGGAAAGTTTGACAAAAAAGAGAAGAAAAGCAGGTTAAAAAATAGTCAGCATGGCATGTTTACAAAAATGGCAAACACTAACACACTTTTATTATGACATATTTATGCTTATGTATATTTATTTGATTTCCTTTTCATAGGTTTAAATCATGTGGAGAAAAATATGTGCGAAAGGCCGAAAGGGTTGATGGACTCCTCACCATTGTAGGGTGGTTGATGAGTGCCCATAATTTAGTGTTTCATCAGATGTCCTGCTCTAAATAACTGTTAAAGGTAGAAATGGCAAAAAGGACTAGCATTCAGTGTGAGCTGAGTTGTCATCAGATAATATGACAATAGATATCATCATCATGCCAGTATTTATGTGAAGTAGTAATCAAACGAAGTGACTATTCAAAAAGGCCACACATGGATGGCATTTGATAATCTAAACCAGAGCTCTTCAAACTGGGGTGGGACGCAAAAGAGTTCAATGGGGGTCGCGTTTATGTATGCAAGCACATCGGTCTTATTAAGATATTATCAATTTTATTTTTGATATTTTCTGAATTATCAAATTTAAATTCCTTCCGTTTGAGTTCCTGATAGTCACGAAATAAATTGGCCTTGCCAAGTGGGTGATGAAAACAGTTTGGAGAACACTGATCTAAACCTTGCTGAGCAAACCTGTATAGCTCTGCAATAAATGCCGGCAACTAGCAGCCGTGTCAAAGTTTTATCGATAAGGCAAATCAGAAGACAAGCAAAAAGATGCATAACCGAAGTACTGCAAGACAAGTGACCCAAACAATAGTGCATATCGAGCCAGTACACTACCACACTCTACACATCCAACCACACAAGCAATTACATACATGTCCTTCAATAACAAAATACCTACCCCAATCTGTAGGGAAGGCATACTGTTTATTGCATTCAGTGCAGGATCAAGACAATGTTTGAGATGCTCTCTAGTCTTTCCAGTTATTGGAACAAAAGATTCATCCATACCAGATAGATCAGGAAGTTTTCCCGCTTTAATACTGCAAACTGTCAAGTAAAAAAGATAACTTTACAAAAAGGCAAAAACTAACATATCGTACAGTACTTTGAATATGAGGTTATTGTACTTGTGTATATTTGATTTTTATGCATGGATTTATAGGTTTGAATCCGGTTTGAATATTATATGTGAGAAGGTTGATGGACTCCTCATCGCTGTAGAGTGTTTCACAAAACAAAAGGTTAAGGCTAGAAACGGTATAAGAGACTGGCATTCAGTGTGAGCTGAGTTGTCATCAATAATATGACAATAGATATCATCATCATGCCAGTATTTATGTGAAGTAGGAGTCAAAACAAATTGACTATTTGAAAAGTCTACACATGGTCATGGATGGCATTCCATGATCTAAACCAGGGCTCTTCAAACTGGGGTGAATGCGAAAGGGCTCGATGGGGGTCGCATTTATAATATATGCAACACATCAGTCTTGTTAAGGTATTGTCAATTTTATTTTTATTCATATTTTCTGTATTATTGAATTTAAAATTTTTTTTAGTCGATTTCCTTATACTAAAGATAAAAAATTGGCCTTGCCAAATGGGTCGTGATGAAAAGAGTTTGAAGAACACTGATCTAAACCTTGCTGAGCAAGACACCAAATAGAACTTTATTTTAAATGGCGACAATTGGAGCTAAAAAGATAACTCAGTACAATCTTTTTAAACAAAGTTACAACCTTTTACGCCCACAGATGGGCGCTTTGAAAGTATTTGAACCAAGATGACGCACAACCTGAACAACCCTAGCCTGGTACATATACTATGTTCAGGTTGTGCGCCATCCTGGTACAATACTTCCCACAGATAGTTGTAGAAAATGTTTGAAATTGATTTTGCTGATTTTGATTTTTGCTAGGTGACTTTTTCATGTTTTAATTTGTTTCTAAAACTATTAAGCAAGGCAAAATAGGAATTATGAAAATTATTGATTTTAAACTAGAACGTGGCTAAATTTTGTTTGGAGGGAACAGTGAATTTATACAATAATACCGGTAATATTAAACATTTTTAACATGATTTTTGCTTAGTGACTTTTTCATGTTTTAATTTATTTCTAAACCTATTAAGAAACACTAACTTGGAAAAACAAAAATTAATGATTTCAAACTGGAATGGAGCTAAATTTTGTGTGAAAGAAACAGTGAATTTACACAATAATATTATTAAATATGATTGATACATGATTTAAACAAAAAACACTGTTCACAGTTATGTATCGCAACAAACTTTAGTTTTTGAATTAAGTAACAAACGATGAATATCAAAATGGGACTATATCCCCAAAAAGCCAGGACTTACTGTCAAAATGATAATGAAGAAACAAAAACTTGAAAGCTGAGAAAACCCATCCATCCTTTCTTGGTAAACGAGAGTTACGTATAAGATGTGATAACTGAGTCATACTCCATCTAAATTAATAATATTCATAGTATATTATAAATTATACCAGTGGTTCCCACTGGGAACTTTTCAAGTGATACGCGTGTAGCTTTGAAATATTGCAGCAGTTAACCTTTGAGTTGGCTAATATATGCCGCAACCCTTTCTTTTTATCTCCCATACTGTATTATTCGCTGAATAGCGTTTGTAGCGCTACCAGTTCTTTTTTAGAGATCGCACTCATCCGTTTTGCGTGTTACGTCACAGAAGATGTTGGCGCCACATTGTGGAAATACTCCCATAGACCGTTTCTGGTGCCATTGTTCCCCACCCCCAAACAGGGGCTACGCCCAAACAGGGGCTTTGTCGGTGGTACGTGACCAGAGTAAAAAACAGTGAAGCGGTACATGGTCAGTAAAAGGTTAAGAAGAACCGTATAGTAACTACTGACGGAAATTTACGAAAATTTAATGAAGCACAGGAAAACTAGTAGATGTGATAGCCTGGGGTTAAAGCGTTAGACTTAGCTGTGTTGGTTTCGGCTCACCTCACCCAGAGTGTAATAAATTTAGTAGGAAATGCCGAACTGGAAAAATAAGGTTCTTTTAAAATATACTAGCTCCTTACATATTGTCAGATATCAGTGGCCAGCTTTTACAGTGCCTTGTTTAGAGTAAAAGGTGTGAAACTGGTTTAAACTGGTTTAAACAGGTTGAACTACAAACCTTCTTGCAGTATCCAAAGTGACTTCCTTAATTCCTTCATAATCAAGTTTCCCCGACATGAAAACCTTTTTCAACCATTCAATATACTTCTCTACAGCATCGACATGAAGAGATCCTGATACAGATTGTAAACACCGTGTATTGGTGTTTTCATCCAAGAATAAACCTGCGGGACTGAAAAATGTTGCTTTTTACTTGATGTTATAGGCTTACGATTCACATTGCTGCTCTAAATTCTATACTTAGGCTTTTGATCTCTCTGTATGAACTGATATTAACTCTGCTTTTCTTTGCAGAAATAGATCTATACATAGTCAGTTCTTAGCAAATAATTTGATTTTTGTTTTCAGCAATTTTTAAGCAAAGCCTTTGTCTCAGCCTTAAACTGGTCCATATTAGCCGTGAGCCAGACTCAAATATGAATGAAAGCATGTCAAACTCTTGATTCCTCAGTCCTGTTTAATTATCAATTATGTATATGTTGTAAAAGAATCCAGGAAATGGAATAAGCCCAAGAACTTACCTGGTCAATAACTGGAAAAGCACAGTAAGTTGCTTCTTCATAGTCATTTTTTCATCTTTAATTTTTTCTGATAATTCATCAATAATTTCTGTTTTGCATACCGCATGTAAAGGATTTGTTTTATTCACCAAAACATAAAACAAACTCGTAACTAATCGAGAGGACCATACTGTAGAAACCTAGAAAAGATTAAAAAAATTGCGGTACAACAAAAATGTGATAAGATAAATATAGAATTGGGCCAAAATCGGGCTCATGTGTTGGTTCATATTGCGGAAGTACGCAAAATCATAATTTTCAAGTATTTTTTACTGCTTGCCATAAAAGCATCACAACATATACTGTTCGTGAGCAGTGGTGTTTGATCAAAGCTAGCATAAATCTAAAGTGTAATAGCATTCTGTTGCTACATACTTTTAAAAGCATGTGTAAAGATTTATACAACAGTAGTTTCTCAACACTGGCATCCATCATACAATCTGATGTTAGAAGGAAACACTAAATTATCCTAGTATAACTTCTCTTTTTCTCTTTAAACTTGTATCATTGCCTAATATTTTTGCTCACTTTTGTATAATTTTTATATAGAATATACTCTGGGTGTGGCAAAAAAAACTTGATAGTTATTGATCGCTGATGGACTCCTCAACTTGTAGGATGGTTCATAAGTTCCCGTACCCGCATGTAACTGGAGGATAGACTAATAATTAGCTAAAAAAAGTTCCAATCAAAAGACCTCAATATAGAGAAGAATCAAGTAAACATCCTAATCTGCTCAAATTAAAACGGAGAGCGAAAGATCTCAGTAAGACATCGTAAAACTGTATTACAAACAAGATTTTGGTGCCATTAGATATTTAGCTCTGCTTAAAGTAGAAATGGCCTAAAGGACTGGCATTCAGTGTGAGCTGAGTTGTCATCAGTAATATGACAATAGATATCATCATCATGCCAGTATTAATGTGAAGTAGGAATCAAACAAAGTGACTAGGCCTATTCAAAACGCCCACACATGGATGGCATTCGCATTCCATGATCTCAATCAGAGCTCTCTAAACGATCGTTTATTTTCTATATTTATGTCAAGGAAAACTTATAAATTAACATTTAATCACCTGGTCTTCTCGAACTAATGGAAGAGTGAATATCGACAATTTGAAAGCTAAGTATTTTCTTTCAGGTGATGAATCAAGCAAACCATCATCGATAGATTCTTTCCAAAATTTTTTGAATGTTTCTGTGTCAGACTTCACAACGTTTTCTATAACTTCATAACACAATGGATGAATCCTAGGATGACATTGTGTGGTTGAAGAAAACATCTTTCCAAGATATTTGTAACTGTGAGAACCTGTCCAAAAGAAGTTATCAGTCAATCTGAGATAACCACTGGTAGAATTTCAGGATATGAGATATTTTTTATCTCTAATATAGGAAAGTCAGCAAGATGGCCTAATCATCTGGCAAACCACAGTCTCATGTAGGATTTCCGGTCGAGGGGATGTGTGGGAATAGATAACCAGTTGATCGTCACTGATTGATAACCCCAGATAGTGGAAGAAGCTAAAAGCTACCAGGTGGCATGTACACGATTTACCCTATAAAAGCAAAGTCGCAAACAAACGCCTTGTATGATAGCCATCTAAACGCACACACTTGTACGGTGCTACTCATCACTGTTATACCAACGATTGATTCGTCGATGATCAGCAGTTGAGATAAAAACAAAATATTCTAATTACCGTATTTGCTCGTTTTGTAGCCCGGGCTCATATATTTTTTTTAACCAACCGACTAACCGGGCCTTATTCAAGCACAGGCGCTTGTTATTTTCAATCGTTACAATAATTAATATATTGTTATTTCCAGTTCTCAAGTATGATTTAAACAAGAATAACAAAAATTTTGACTTTTTCTACACACCGCAAGTACAAATCCGCAAAAGAAGAAAAGTTTTGCGACGCCCTATCAATACTGAAACGACGCACTTGGGCGTCGCACGCCCAGTTTGAGAACCATGGTGTTACGTAATCAATGCTATCTGTTATGTACTTGGACGCCTAAGGCGTGAGTGTTATCTACTGGTGCTCAAAATTCAACAGCGTGGTGACAAAAGCGCTTCTTATTTCCTATTGTTATCTACCACTGAAAAATCAGCTTTTACATCGGGCGGGTATTCAAGCACCGGCCCTTATTTATTTTTATGTTCTGTTCACACGGGCGGCTATTCAAACGGGCCCTTAATCAAGATCTGGCCGTAAAACGAGCATATACGGTACTTTATTATTCAAATCTACATTTCACCAGCAAAGAAAGTAATGAAAAAAAATCTAGCTCAAATAATCTCTTATAGCTGCTTGTAATGATAAATAAATTACCGTACATAGTTTCATAATGCACGGGTATAAAATGCATTTGAAATATTTCCATCAATGTCAGATCGAAACCCATAATTTAATTGCTGGCTCCCGACTCCTGCTCGCTTACTCGTTTGATCAGATGTGAGATTAATCAAGAGTGTGAAAAACAAAGAAATTACCTATAAGCTCAACCTTCTTGGACTTTTGACTAATCCATTTATTTGCTTTAAGAAAAGATTTTCCACAAGTTTCTGATTGGTAGTTGCAACAAGACTGCAAAACTTCGAATATTTCTGCATCGCATTTTTCCCATCCATCCCCAAGTAACTGACTGAGAGAATCCCATATGACTGAATCAAATATGTCATTTGAAACCTGCAAAATAGGTGCGGAAATAACTGAGAGAAGGAACCACAAGCAGAATCAATGAAATAAGATGGACTGAATGAAGATGAATTATTGACATTGGGCTTATTTATTAGTTTTTCAACCTGTTGAAGCTCAGCAGTATTTCAAGTTGTAAGAATATTTTGAAAAAAAATTTTGTTGAAAACATTGGTTGGAAAATGAAAAAAAGAGTACAAGTACTACAAGGTATTCAATAACGTTTTATCGAAGGCAGGTAGTTCTAAAACTATCCCAGTTTCACATCATTTGATTAAGAAAATATATTAGGTAAATGAATATCAATTCATGTACCTTCTCTATTAACTCTTTAATTCCATGAAAACAGATCTGCCTCAAATATGATTTGAAATTGCTGTATTTCATCAGTCCATCAAACACAGTTTTAACAGACTTGGGAGCTTTTTCCAGTTTGCATGACTGGATAACGGCTAGGTAAGCAAAAACTTTTCCCAGAAGAATTCCTTTTTCACCCTGTGAAGAATGATGTCACAAACAAATTACTTTTCCATTTTCTACTCATATTAGTTGAAGTGGGAATACTAGATAGCCAAATGATCTGGGTATGTAGTGTGTACAATGGCGCCAAACTTACCATGGTAGTGCTCGTATTACAGACCTATGATAATTCAAACATACAAATAGAGCCAAAACAGCACCCAGGTCATTTGGAGCATATACAATGAGAAATATAAATTTTGTGCATCCTTCGTGTTCGAGCTTCAAATGAAAAATTTTTGTTATTGTAGAAGTAATCAAGAAATTTATAAATTTTAAGTTGTCTACTATAACAAGTGCTATTAGATGCATAGCTTTATTAATAAACCGTGATACCTAACAGATCCAAATGATGAAATACACAATTCTGAGTTGATAGTATTTACATTCATAAAGAGAATGAGTATTTTATAGTTTCTTACATCATCAAGAGTGAACGTTAAAAGCATAACGATTTGGTGACTAACAACAGAAAATAACTTTTCTCTGGCCAAGTTTATAGCTGGATAAGGTGGTACTGAATCGCAATAGCAATTGTCAGAAACCGCTACAGAAATGGGTACTCCTGTAGTATGTGTAGCAGGTTAGGGTTAGGCCATAATTTTATCCCGATTTCCTTATTTTAGTTTTATTACGAGTTCGGGGACTGTCTGTGTTAGCCAAGTGAATTTTCCCCCCTGCCCATAGGTTTCAGTCACTATACACAACTTGATGTAAAATAGGCGAACAAAATTAGTTATCTCCGTATTGGTACACATACTTCCGGAGCGCCCAGAAGTGTCATACTATTACAAAAAAATTTCATATCTCTTATGTCTTATGATAGCTATACACAAATTTATTATATGTATTCTTACACTCCCATCCTTAGATGATTTCAGATTTTCTTCAACTAATTTTAGGACTTTTTGAATTGTTGGATCATCATTAACTTCGAGTTTTTTAAGAAGATGAGTGAGTGCACAAGAAAATCCAAGCCGAGAAGCTTTTCTCTCAGATGCAAGTCCATGAATTAATCTCCCTATTGCATATTTAACATCAGCACACCAAATATTGTCCACGTCATCCTTGGAATAGTAAAGAATATATTATATATTTGTTTTATACAATTCTTATACGCACGTTTCGCTTTGAACGAGGCAGCCACTTATATCTAACAATGTGTAAAAAGCTCCTCTTTTATTTGGAATCATCTCTGATAAGATTTATTGGTTGCTGAAACATATATGAATCCAAGTGTTCATCAAAATCAAAACTGTGTGATAGCGGAAATAATTTATGTAAATCGGTATTTGATAATGAAATAATGGTTTGAAATAACAAGCAATACAGAAATAATTGTAGAACTCGTTATGCATAGATGTTCATTTAAGATCATTTATGGATTTTCCGAAAAACCAAGTCACCAGTCGGCTTTATGCATAAGTCATTATATACTGAAGTACCGGTATGCATTATGTATAATGGTACCGGTAATAAAAACATGTTGACAATTATTGAAATTGGAGTGTTCACAGGTTTCCCGAACCTTTTAAACTAAATTTGCAGTGGGCAAAAACTGGCGAAAAAGTTTACTAATATGTACTAAGCAACTAAGCCTATTCATAAATATTTACTGAAAAACTTACATCAGGGACAACGTGACGGTTTTGACATTCTAACAAAATCAGAACAATCTTTTCGGATGCTGAAATTCTTGTTTTGTCGTCGGGAGTTGAAAGCTTCCAAAATAAAGTCAAAATTTCGTCTCTATCTGACTTGTCGGGCTTCATACTTCCATTCGACAGTTTCAACCCACAGCTTATCGATAAAAAATTTGGTAATTCTGTTACGGTATGTTGATAATCAAAATTTTGCTTCTTTTTTAATCCTCTTACGGCCTTAGTCTTACAAACTTAGTTAACCGTACGATATCTCTCGGGGCTTCGGCTAAATCCGAACCAACAATACCAGAGCGACGAACCTTCACTGCCTTGAGCTTCGAAGTGACACCACACGTGGAATCGAAAATTCTGGTAATACTAACAACATTGCCAAAAGTTTTTACTCGTGTTCAAGTGTAAAAATATGATAAGAATTTGAATTTTTGCGAATAATTTGCAACAAAGTCTTACATACATTTAGCAGACAGAATACATCGTTAGTGTACGATACTCACCATATCTTATAGAAAACAAGGGAAAATGTGGGAAAGTTTAGGACGCGTTATGAGAAGCATGCGCTTACTCACTAAACCGTACATGATTTTCATATGCATTCCGATAAGAAGGTAAGCCGATACAGCGCCTTATCCTATGACCTCGCGTCCCATTACCAGCGCATGTCGGGTGAAATAGTTATCCAGTTATTCGTTTCAGATGCATAAAATATATTTTTTTTCTTAAAGTTCCACGTTGTGGATTCATAACAGATGCATAAAATTTATGGCCACCAGGGGGGAAGCCCAACACACAACACCATCCCAATGCTACCAGAGACGAGGTCAATCGTCAGGTCACTCACATAGATAAAAATACATGGTGTTTTTGAAAGCGCCATAACTTATAATATTAATAACATGGTGTTTTTTTGCTCTTATCGATACGTAAAATCTTGCTCCGTTTTGCACGTTGCCTTTTAAACTATTTTTCGTTGTGTACATGGATAAAAAAAATTTGTGTGGCCCAGCTAGATGTCTGAAGTTATAAGGCCCACCACCAATAAAATTACACACCCCTACGATATAACATAATGTTTATTTCCTTGTGTGCATTGCTATCTTAATTCCCTCCGCATGTGCAGAATTTAAACAAAGAAATTCGAAATAGCAAGGTACTCTTCTTTATTGTAGCGATACGCAACATCCTACGCTGTAGTCGTAGAACTTGTCACGTATCGCGAGCTTGTGGGCGTTATAAATACGTTCGAGGTCTCTTTCCTCAGCAACTGTGTCGAAATCTCGCACATAGATACGTACCTGAAGAAAGGGAAAAAAATTATCAACTCAATTAGTATGTACAGACATATCTTATATATATTCAATATTCTAACGTACTTGTCATCAAATTCGACTGGGGTTTAATTCCTACAATTCAATCGGTGAAGATGTAGACAAAACAGAAACTAAGTGAACTGCCTAGAATTTACTACCTCGGATTCTCAAGACCCCGCAAACCTAAAATTAAAACCTAAATTCAGTTTAAATCCATTTTAACGGACTGGCTAATATTCATTTGTTATGGAGGGTGAATTTTTTTTTGTATAATGACATGTCTCGTATCGGTAATATTGGCTATTATATTATCCATAACGCCACTGAATAAGAATTCAAATTCACTAAACCCAAAACTGATCAATTTTAGACTAACATGTATTTATAAAAATAGGAAAAGTCTTACTTTTAGTGTATCCACTGAGCATTTATCATTTTCTCTTAAAATTACAAGTTTTTCGATAAATTTCGTTGATATGAAGGCGTTTATCTTCAAATAGTACAATGATTTGCAGTGCTCAATTAATGCTAGAAATTGGCTATCGAACACCTCGTAAGTATCCGGTAGATCTGAAATTTAAACGAAGTGTAACAAAAAAAAATCATTTTTTCTAAAATCATAAAAACTCAATGCAAAAAAGATGCACAGAATTGTTGTGTACCAAGTGTAATCTTTTCCAATGTGTTACTGTAATGAGGCAGTATGGTTGAAATTGTAGGTCCGATTTGCCAATCTTGTTCAGCAAAGTAGCATCCATCAAATGTAATCTAAAATGAGAACGAAATAAAAGTGTGAAGTTAAATATATTCATGCATGGTCAATAAATTTACGCGCACGTGAATAATAAAACGTGCCAAAACAAAGTCAGCTTTGTATTTGTTCATAAGATGGGAACAATTTTCCGATAAAATACAATGGAGATGATCTTGCTTCCAAACTGGCTTTTTCTGTCATTCAGTTTCAGACTCATTTCGCTGTGTCTTACCTGTCTTAGCGGTATCTGCGGGCATAAAATTCGAAAATGTTCTTCTGAGCTCATGACACGTTCAAATTTCATATCAACTTTACAGTTGGGACATTTATTTCGAAGGACGCTCCAAAATTGTCCCTGAATAATTTGGTAATGAGGATCGTAAGCGTGTACTTTGATGTGTAGCCGTTTTAGGGAATCATGAGAGATGTTTTCCGCTAAAGTTTCCAAAAAATCTTCCGAAATATAACTGTAGTTGATGAACAAATCTCGCAGATTCTTGAACTGTCGCATGCAGTCGACAAATTCTGTAAACAGAAAGATGGGTCTTCTGTTGAAAAAGAAGTCCTCCAAATCCAAGTATGTCACGGTATCACCCATTTCATATCCAAGTGAAAACAAAACTTTGTACCCATCATTCAAGCACATTTTTGCACTTCTTAAGTTGACTCTTTCTAAAGTATGCTGACCTTTGCAAAAATACTTTGCAAGCCATGTGGTGAAGTCTTCTTGAATGGAGTTCCATTGTCCACGATCTAGCTGTAGTCCTGGAATGGAGAGTTCTTCCAGTCTCGCCTTTTCTTTTATGAGAGTGATGAAACATACTCGAATAGCCCTTTGAAACTTGCGACAGACACTCGATAATGCGGGATTATATAATCGAAATTCCAAACGACGTAGATATTTTCCAAATATTCGGACATATTGAGTAGCATTTCGATAAGGAAGGTGCGTCGAATCTCTTGGATCACGCCCTGAAAACCTAAATGACTTGACACGCCACAAATTTCCCGTGTGCCTCATCACTGTATACCATCTCTTGCAAACGTACATTGCACTCGGGCGATGCCTTTCTGCAAGGTGAACAAAAATGTGCTCTAATATCACGTGAGGAACAGTCGCCCATCCGTGAGGATTGTCTTCATTCGATAAATCGTCGATGGAAGTCATAGATTTTGACAACGTTTTGCCTGTTCCGTCTGACATGAGACTTCCTATATCAAAGTTATTAGAGTTCCGTCTCGTTTTGGCCGACGTAGCACTTTTGCTTGAATCCAATTTTAATTTTTCTGAGTTTGATTCAATTGTTTTTAATTTCGGTTTTTTCGGCGGTACGGGACCATCTTCTTCCTCGAATTGTATCATTGTTGAAATAAATTAGCGGTGCAACGTCTTACTTCCCAAACCAGACAAATTTTCTTATATGCAAATATTTGTAATCAAGTCAGAAATTAAAATCTAAGACGGGTATAATTGTTGCGTCACAATGTGGTAATATTGAAAACACAATAGTTGGCATATTATAGAATCGACCTTGAAACCCAGAAAATTTCTTTCCCTACTTCACTACTACAATTTTGTATGTCTTATTTTTTACGTGTTACGTCCTTGAATTATTTATTTTCTTGCAACCTGTTCAGGCATATCCCATCAAAAAATAGTGGTAGTTGACAACAGCGTAGTGACTAGTCTTTCCACCCACTTCTCGGGAAGTTTATATTGCAATTAATCTAAAACTCGAAAAAAATTGAAAGTCACTAAATCTCAGAAACATAGAATGACAAAACTACGAAAATGATTCGATTTTCAAATTCATGATTGAATTTCAATATTACGTCACAATTTATTTGATGCGAGAAAAACCAGTTATTGCCATGTTTATCGGACGTGATATTCAGATATTTGCATTTTGAAGATTTCCTAATGACATTTCGGTTTCCAGTTTGAATGACATAAAATTGTATTGCAATCGTGTCGTAGGCTATGGACAATTACGATCATGTTCCAAATTAGATTTGCGCAGATTCTTTGCACCACTGATGGACACAAATACTTGACACTGAATGGTATATATCCTGACTCTGATTGGCTCAGATTCCGGGCAATGTTTGCAATCTAGGGGTCACCAACTATATATATACGGGTTGATAAAACTAATCTGGCTAGCAGATGTGTATTACATATCCGATAAACTCATACGTCAGAAAAATAATTTAACACCTTTTTGTGGTATTCGTTTCAACTGATCACGGGTTAATGCCATCCTCGATGACGTGCCAATTTTGCACTTGCAAATTCGGAATACTTCGCCGAGGCGTACTAGGAAGTAAAAATACAATTTCAAATCGTTAAATAGTAGTTCGCCCTTGAATGTCGAGGAAAGAATTGGTAAATGTGGGTGCGAACCAGTGGCTTGTCTAAAGGGGGGCAAAGGGGATACCGCCCCGGGCAGCACGTTATAAGGGTTAGTTTGTTGCTTAGTTTGATGATTTAAATATTAATATTAAAAACATTTTACTCTTACTTGACCTTTAATTTATTTATTCTCATGTATAGCAACTTTTATAATTTGTTTATCCCCCAAATTATTTTGAAGTTAGGTATAAAGGACATCTTTATCAGAAACTCGCGCCGGGCAGCAGAAAAGTTTGACACGCCACTGGTGCGAACGTGTTGCAACTTTCCGCTTGGGCCTGGCTAATAGGAGATAACTTACCGTGTTCCCCCGAAAATAAGACCTAGCCTGAATTTTAAAAATGATTTTAATATAAGCCTTCACTTTAAAATAAGACCTAGTCGATAGCGCGATTTTTTTGACCTAGTCGATATGAATACAAGACTTTCTAGAGGTTGAGACATCGTCATTTTCAAATAATCTATGTTTAGCAGTTTTTTTTTAAAAAAAAACGTGTTATTTATTAGCAACTGGATAACGGTTTTCATATTTGTAAATCTCGTAATTCTCTACTTTGTAATCATGCTTTTGACGATTGAAAATAGAAGACATCACCCAAAAATAAGCCCTGGTGTTATTTTTCGAAAGAAAATTGAAATAAGACCATGTCTTATTTTGGGGGAAACACGGTATGTAATGTGTACTATTATAGAAATAATGGAAATTGATTTATCTGTAACGAACTTGCACACCTTCATATGAAAATATTTCATTTTGCGGCACCCTACAAACGCGATAATATTCTTTTGACAGTGAGAACTAGAACAGGGGTGGGCAACCTTTTTCGGCTCGCGTGCAAAATCGACTAAATTAAATGACAAAATTCTTGCCGACCAAAATTTTTGAGAACATACTACTGCCATTCTTACAAGTATATATCGAGTGCCTCGAACAAATGAAAACTAGTCCTCCAACAAACAGTGAAGACACAAAATGAACGAAAATGAATTTATTCACCTTAAAAACAATGCCTTGCTACTTTCTAATCAAAAAATACACAATAATAAACCTTTTGAACATGTACAGACAGATTTACTAATCTGGAAAATATCAGTCCGATGAATAGATTTAATTACTTTTCCCGTTTTATATCAGTGAGACTTCTGCGTTTATATTTTGTAACTTTCAGAGAAATACACGAACCACTTGTTTTATCTTTCAGGGACTTAAATAAAGTTCATAACTGAGAACAGGGATTCACAAGCATAATGTAGATGAAAACATGGAGGGTAATGCAGTTGCAAAGTTTTTCAGACACGAAAAATTTTCGGAAATGGAATACCAAGCACGCAATAATTCGTTTTCTGCACTTCTCTCTTGTATTCCCTTCTCTAATCGCATTTTTCAATATTTTCCAACTCAACTCTAGGTTTAATGAATTTTTGCTTCCAAAATGAGCTACTCAGAAAGTCAATCAACTGCAATTCAAAATTTCTCCTGGTCTATCGATAAAAAATTTTGTAGGTTTATTTTCTCCCTTTTTATATTGTCCGCAAACCACATGAACTTTGCGGTCTCTTCAAGTTCTCTGAATTTTGAAAATCTTGTGACGAACTGCTGCTGCTCACCAACTGACTTGATAATGTTTATAAATAACACCTGGCAGATTTGAAGATCTGTTCTGTCATCACTTTGGAGATCCCAAATATACCTCTTGAGGTTTAAAGAAATATTTAAAATTTTTATCTGCAATATCTTTCTCATGTATCATGCTGGGGCGCCATCAGTTGTAACAGACACTTGCATATTTCGGCTCCCGTAGTACGCTCAAGCAATGTTAGAAGGTCAACCATCGCTTCACGTATTTCGCTCCCTTTACAAAATCGAGAAAATATTACCAGCCTAGCTGATGATGTTATATCTGTACTTTCATCAACACAAATAGAAAAATATTTGCATGAAGACAAATCCTGTGTCAACTGCTGAGTAATATCACTTTCCTACTTAGAGATAAATCTTTAATGCGTTGAATAATCTTCTCTTTTCCTGAAAACTTGTCGAAAAGTAACGGCGCACACTGTAATCAAACTTCTTTAATATAATCTCCATCACTAAGTGGTTTTCCATGTTGCGCAATTACCTTTAATTAAAACTTCGAAACTGGCAGCAACTAAGTTGGTAATGGATTTGCCTGATATGAAGTACATAGAATTATTAGCTTGTTTTCTCGCTTTGCTGATATTACTACTGATTAATTCTCTCTTTTTCTCCTCAGATTTATTGTTTGTGTTACCATGAACACTTGCAAAATGCCTCTTTACAGACGATGTTCTACAAACAATCGTTTAGAAACAGAAAATCCATGAAGCTTTGTTTTTTCTCTATTACACCAAAGCTTTCAGTCCAGTATTATTGGAATATTCTGACATCGCCAAATAAACGAGCTTACTATGCTGATGTCTTGACATCATAGAATCTGTAGACTGACGGCAAACAAGAAACGTACCCAAACTATTTACAAAGAGGCAGTACCAAAATACTACTGCAATTAAATTTTAATGAACCTTTTACCCATCTGATGTCACTTTTATTTTTTCGAAATCAATTTATAACAGTAAGTAAGTAACTTTAACCAACATGAGCTGTACAACTTCATAAATCAAGCAGAAATTATGAAAAAGGGTGGCACAGACGAACTATACTACGTAAGAATGTAGCCAAATAAATACTGCGACTTTCTCTACAAAATTTCTCGAGAGCTCACTCATTTGTTATGTCATATAAATATTTTGGTAGCAATATGTCATGGACGGACAAAAAGAGTTCAAGGCAAATGATTTCGTTTCCGAGGCCTCGCTCGCGTGCCGTTAAAATGGGCTCGCGTGCCAGGGGTTGCCCACCCCTGGACTAGGACGTCATTTTGCTTGTCACCTATGTATAGTATGTGTGAACACAGATAGACAATCCCTAGACACCGTGTGCTCATTAAAGGGTCAATAAATTTATGGTATACGTGCTGTTGATATGATTGTGTCGTAAAGAATTATCATGTATTATCTTTGGAATAAGATCTTTGCCCCTTGACATTTATTATTTTCATCTGCTACTCTGATGCGTTCATCAATCCAAACGAATAATTGTAACAGTTGATCAATTGGGGGCCTCGTCGTGAATCAGTCGCAGATTGATTCGCATTAGATTGTTCCGTAGGCCTACTGGACTCTTCACGAAATTCGCAGTCGTTCAAAAAGTTGGTTTGATAGCCAATGTAGACATCAGTACGACGAAAATACTATTTACCATTCGCTGCCTATTCAAACTCCTCGGCTTGAAAAATCACCGTATCAACCTGTTCGCTGAAGTGTGGCGATCCCGTAATAGTAACTTATCCGGGTATTTTCTCGATAGCTTTCGACATAACACGGATATTCATTTGCCTGCGGGCACGAGAAATGTAATTTAGAAATCATGTTTCACTACCTTTTGACGGGAGTTTTTTCAGCGTATACGTGTCTCGAAAGGTTCGCATATTAATTTAATGTAGATTGGCAGCTTAGCGAGACCTGTGAAACAATATTTGTGGTTCGGAGTTGAGATTACTGTAAAGCTTAATAAATATCCAAGAACTATCCTGTCGTTGTCGCACTAGATTCTGTTTATCTTCGGTTAGTTAAGAATAAGTTACGTCATTGCGTCAGAAAACAAATCAGAAAATCAGTGGTGTGACAATAACACGATAATTAGTACCAATGTGATGTATCACAACCTGGCACCAGGACTACCAGCAAATTTAAATATTTTATCTACGAATTAGGTTTTAAACAAAATGTTATAATACTAAACCCTAATGATATTCCGCAGCAATTCTTAGATCGAATTAAGAATGTGTTCAAATTATCATCGGTGTCTTGTACTGGACTATATATGTTGGGTTGATCGCGTGCTCACATAATATTATACAGACACAAGGCTATTTCCTCGTATCGGTGACATAGAACAATAGTAATTTGCTGCATAAATCGTGCATGCGAGGTACTACATGAATGGGAATATATATTGTGCGCTCGCAAGCATAAGATTATATTCATTTTTCAATGAGAAACAGGTAGATTGTGTTTTTCTTGTGGTTGAATCTGTTTTTTATTTATATTTCATCCGTTCTCTGATACCGATTGTGAGTTGGCTACACGCCGCAATTGCTTCTGAAATGAACCGTATCTGCTAGAACAGGAAACAGATATCGTACAATAGACCTTTTCCGATTACACGTTAGCAGCAGAATATAGGCCGAATTGTGCTTGTCTGTGTTATGTAGTGTCTTGTTAGCATGCGAATTAGTCTTTGTCTGAATGTTATTTACGGGCAGGTTAATGTATCACAGTGAAATATATATTATGTGTCCACAATGCCATGTTTCTAGTTCAGGAGATAGGAATGCTGAAAAAAGAATTGTTAACTGACTGTAGTCGTTTTGATGAAGCTGACTCGTGACAATGTCGCATTTTTATCAAATTAAATTATACCTAATTTTTGTTCATTTTTTCAGAATATATATAAATAGCTGTATCATTCTCCATAATTAGAGCTGAATACGAAAGTATCTCAATTATGGGAAATGCTTTGGAAGCCTCAGCTGGTAGGGCCGAGGTGATGATTATTGGTGGTGGCCCCACTGGTATTGGCGCAGCTTACAGGTATAATTTTACTTTTTTATTATTATGGAGGATGACAATTATTAGGCTCTTGCTTATCCCACTTAAGCACTGTACAATTGACAGATTTAAACATAATAGGCGTAAGGCCTACTTAAGAATGTAATGTGTATACCACATCTTTTCGCAGGATACTGTGAAAGTTTGGAATGTTGGCCGCATAATATTTAGACCTTTTTTGAAAAACTGTGATATTCAAGCCAAAACTGCCCGACATATACATATATTTCCCAATGTAACATACTGCAAAAATACTATAACAAGCATGTATGTAACAGTACATGAAAATATCCACCTCAAAGTATCGATATTTTCATGCCGCTATTCTTCGTTTCAGGTTGGCTCAACACGGCAATCGAAATTGGATATTATTGGATGCCGAAAAGCATCCAGGAGGTTTAGCGGGATCTATTAAAACCCACGAAGGTTTTCGCTTTGATCACGGGTACAAAACATTTTGTAGTCGATATGATTATTTAGATCAACTGATAGAAGATTGCTTTGGTAGCCCACCTAAAAAACTAAAAGAAAAGGCCCGAGATAACTACGTATATGTTAAAGGACGAATGATCAGGTTCCCCTTACAAAACAATTTGTCTGGACTTCCAGAAGCGGATCAAATAAATTGTGCTTTAGATTTGGTTCGCGCTCGCATAACCGATAAAAAGCAACGAGTGACAGAAGACGTCATAAATGAAACTGACAAAGAAAACCTTGAACACAGGGAAGATGAGTCATTGACAGAAAACAGCAGCAGTCCTATTGAAAATACAGCTGTGATCGGCGAAACCTTGAGAACAATAAGTTTAGAAAACAACGAGCAAAGAAACGGTGAACACGTTGAGACCTTAGATGAGTATCTTGTGCGTAAATGGGGCGAAAGTCTATGTAATATATTATTCAGGCCTTATATTTTCAAATCATTTGCGTATCCGACAAGTAAACTAGTAGCAAATTGGGCTGAAAACAAAATACCACCACCACAACTTGGCGATGACATAGAAAGAATTTTGAACAACGAACAACGTGATCCCGGTGAGTATACTTTGGGTTTATTTTTTCAAAAAAACTAAGATCGTTAATGCAGGCAATTTGAAAACAAGGCCTTTGATAACATTGAGAAATTTTACCAAAAAAGCGCAAATTTTTGTTTCCAATTGCCTACATGCTTACCTATTTGAAGACACCTAAATCAATGTTCCTTTTTAGCTGTTGATATTGATTCCACCACTTTGTATCCATCTAAAGGAGGTTTGGTATCATTTTGGCGAAACATAACTCGACATTTACCAAAGAACAACGTTCGATTCAAAAGTGAAATAATTGATCTTGATATTGAAGAAAAGATGGTCAGAACAAAGGATGGGCTTGAAATACAGTATGTTAATTAAATTATAATTTTGCATTGAAGCGTTTGGGGAAAACGGTTGGTAAGTGTGAATAGTACACTATAAACTTAATGATTTATGTGAAATATGACGTTCAAATTGAAAGCATTGTCTACAGTAGTCAAAGGTATTCAGACGTTGTCCCTTATCGATTCCTCAAAGTTTATTTTTATATCATGGCGCTAGGTTTAGATCTAACTCAACATGGCAACCAGGATATAAAATGTGATTAACTTAAATAGGGCGTCTGCAGCAGACAAGGGTATCGGAATAGTGATTTATGCCCAGCTTTTACGTCGCAGCCAGGCTATACCACATTTTGTTAAAATCAAGGCCGGATTTAGACGATAAGAGACCCGTAGGCTCATTTGCGAGGCCCCCTCCCACTAACAATGACGTCATAAAAGACCTTAAAAAAATGACATCGTATTGTAGGGAACGATTATGTAAAAACGCCATACAAAAAATATAATGAAAAAATGTGTAACTTTGAAGTTAATCCTATCCTATAACAATCCCGTGGAGAATTACTCATCTTCAATCCCAAGCATTTGTCACAAACTTCATGAGACCTTACTTTGACTGTTATCTCTTATTTTGTTTAGATACGATACCCTAATAAGCACCATGCCGCTTACATCATTACTAGAACTTGCTGGCCGAACAGACCTTGGAGCGACACTGACCCATTCATCTTTGTACATTGTATGCTTGGGAGTTCGAGGCATCAGCCCACACAGAGATATAACTGGTAAATATGTAGTATATAGGCGTTTTGTTGGCTTTTGATATGGTTTGCGATAATTGTGATGCAAGATGGCACATCTAAGCAAAATACCACATGAGCGACAATGATATTTTTCTCCGCTTCCGTGAAAGTAAGGTATACATGAATAAAAATGTTTTATTGTGCAAACAAAACACATCTTTGAGGCCTCGGATAATCGTTAAAGTTTATTTGCAATGCTCTTAGTGCCCCAAGCATGGTTCTATATATAATTAATCGAATTAGAGAGCTCTGAACTACACAATCGTGCTTGTTCTGTAACCGCATGAGCAACCGGTATGTATTAAAATAAAAAATAAAATATACGAAACTGAGACATTAAACCTACAATTTCAGTATAATTAGATAACCAATACCGATATTTGTAGTTGAAAAAAGTTGATAGTTGATATATATATAGTATAGGTATAGTTGTCCCTAGACGATAGAAAGTGAATCGTATTAAATTATTAACCGGAAGTTCTACAAAAGTCAATATGCTTATATTAGTGCATCGGTTTTATTTAGAAAAACTAATTTAGACTCTGGAAAAATCAAAATAATCTCAGGTGGCCATTCAAATGCCGAATTGGATCATATTTTTGATTGGACCTAAATTAATCTTAATTTAAATTTTATTCAGGGTGCATTTACTTTCCGGAATCTGATACCGTTTTCCATCGAGCATGTATATTTTCGAGTTTCGATCCTGATAGTGTACCACGTAAAGATGAACAGATTCCCACAATGCGACTTGCAAAAGAAACAGATGAGTTACAATCGAGTGGCAATCAGTGCGGTCCGTATTGGTCTCTACAAGTGGAAGTGAGCGCGGGCCCACTCAAAACCGTATCGGATGCAACTATAAGTAAGCTACTTCATATTCGGCAATTTGTATTTCAATTTATATAGTGCTGTTTTTCCGTCAACACCTGAAAAACGGCCGACGATTTTATCAGCACTTTTTCCACCGTTAGGTCTGGTTCACGGTATTGCTCTGACCACAACTTGTTGAAATATGAATTTAAAGCTTAAAATCTGGTATGTTTTCTTGTATGGAAATCGAATTACGTTGGTAGAGAAATCAGTGAATGTTACCACACATTGATAAATAAATAAGTAAATATTTTGCACAAATTTAATTTAATGTAAAAGTCATAATCAAATGTGTTTAAATCGCCACACCTTCAACTATATCGAATTACATGTTGACAAGGATGTGTTGTGTATGAAAGTTGAGGTAAACAGCCAGCTAGGGCTAGCTTATGCAACATAAATTATATAGATTTAACTTAATTCAAATTAAAAAGCTTACAAACTATTGTCAAAACAACTGGGGTCACCCCCCAGCGACCAGTTTTCCAAACATGTTTTCAATTCATATATTTTAGTCACTTATTTTCGAAAACTAAAAATAACTATGCATCATCAAAACATCGGGGGTTTCCGACGACCGCTTTTAAAACCCTAATAACTGGAGTGGATCAACTATAACTCTGCTATTTAAAATTCGCCGTTCAATTTTGAACACCTTCAAATTGTATGGTATATAGGCTACTTTCTGTGAAATTATTTGTTTCCAATAATAGCTAAGTAAGTTGTTATAACAACAATGTTCAAATTAGGTCCTTAATATCGTTCGAGGCATGTTTGTTCCATAAACTAGACTAGACATTCGTCTTTATGTGAAGATTTTTGCTGTTAATTTCGGTGGTGAGAAGTATAAAAAAACCTGATTATCGGTTGTCACATTTTTTATTGTCGATATACATGCATTACTGTGCCGCATGGAGTAATTATTAGCTTAAAATTCAGACTCAACAAGACCTCTTTGTACTAATCTCGTATTTAACGTAAAGTCAGGTAAATAGCCCGGCAGGCATTGCAAATTTGATCCCTTGATATATATAGTACAGTGGTTCTTAAAGTATGGGTCGCGACCCAAACATGGGTCGCGGAAGGTCTAAAAATGGGTCGCGACAAGGTCGTCAATGCAAGGGCAATCTAAGAGGAGAAGGACGAATTTTCAGCTTTCCCAATGTTTCAATTTAGCTTTTAAACTCTGGGGTATTTGCAAATAATGAAATATAAAATTTCATTCACGGAAAGAACTGTCTTGAGCTCATTGTTACATCACAATTCTGATATGCCAGTCACGTGTATTATTTTTATGGTATCGGTAACCATGCACGTCGCTTGTCGTTGTGTTGACCGCGTGGAATGTCGTCTTAGTGGATTAAAATAACCAAAAATGGGTGTCTTTTTGGTAATGTAAATTGTAATAGACGACGCAATAAAAAAGCTCGCTTCTCGACATTAGATTATTCAATATCTAGAGAAAATGTGACTTCATCTCGAGGCACCATTTACCGCGAACGAAGCAGTGTGTGCACATTTGATGAGTAAAAAGTTGTATATTGCGAGAGATACCGAAGGCCAGCTAGGATGTCGTGTTTGCGACGGACAGCGGACGCCTTTTCTGCTACAATTCGCGACAAGGCACTTGTGCGAGCGAGGATATTTGGCACTGACGGTTATCAAAACTAAGCTCGCAATCGCCTCGATACCCGTGACAACTTGCGTATTGCGTTAAGTAAAATAGAGCTGTGTATTGAAGATATAATGAAAAGGAAATTTCAGTTTCACCAATCTCACTGAGTCAATGGACTGTTCCTAATAAATAGTTGTCTGTATTTGAGTCAAACTGTACTAACATTAAAAACACATTTTGCGTTATTTAGGATTGGGTCGCGAGTATTCATAAAACTCAGATTTGGGTCGCGCTCGAAAAAGTTTAAGAACCACTGATATAGTAGGTGCTTGGTACCAAATCGAAGATGGTTTAAAATAAAGAGATGTTGAGCAACATTATAATGGCCCGGACGTGACGTGATTTTGAAGCACCTGACAAGGAGATAACTTTCGTTTTTATTTAGTGATAATGATCCACGGAATCATTCTTATATATCGAAGTATAAAGTCGTCACATTCTAATTCAATTATTACTTCACAGTGGATGAAGTTGTACGAGACGCTTGTTTGGTCGGATTACTTCGACCCAACGATGAAATTGTCTCGATCCACATAACTGAAATGACGCATGGACAACCTTTGCCAACTATAGAAAGCGAACAGAAAGTATGTATATAGGTCATATATTCACACTTGAGTGAACAAATTCATAATATAAAATGAGGTTGATTCGCAAAGTATTTAAAACTCATGATAACACATTGACGTGATGGATCTTGGACGACTAGAAGATGTTAGTTTGCTACTTTTTATTCGACACCAAGTGTACGTGTGGGTCGTTTTGTTGAATTTATTAGCGTTGTTATTTTTGTATCAAAAAAAATCTTCAACTATTGTAACAATCAATTTTTGAATACTTAAAGATGGAAGAATTCGCTTACAGGTTATGACCTTCTTTTTTCTTGGCCTATATCTCTACATATTTCAAAATGAAAAACAAAAATTAGAAATTCAGTTTAAATGATATTGACTAAACTTCATTGTGTCAAAAAAATGAAAGTATAAGAACAGTTAACGTTTTCCGATACCTAACTTTATAACACTGCAGTGCAACTCGGTACAATCGTTCCACGGAGTAAACAGTATAATGTCACGAGATTATTCGGCAGTGACATTGTGATGATTTAAAATTTAGACATTTGCCTTTTTCATTCTGGATTTGTAATTATTTGTTCTCATTGTGACAAAGTATGTGACAATACCTTTATTAAATGCTTCAGAGAACTGACCGTGGCGTTCGAGAATTTTGAAATATATTTAGTGTACCTCATTTAAATTCATATATGTATATATATGTTTTAATTTGTGATTCGATATTGTCCAACACGTCAATAGAAGGAAGGTAGGCTTATCTGACATAGAAGAAATTTTCATTAACAGTTTTATATCAGGTTATCGGCAATAATCATGAAAGGAGTGAAGATACTACAAAAATATCTTAGTGCTAACGATGTCATATTTTTGCGTTAAGATTGATGAAGCTCTCATGTGGTTACAAGAAAGAGGAATTTACAGTCGAGGAAGATTTGGAGCTTTCAAATATCATCTTGGAGATTTGGATCATTGCTTCATACAGGGTGTTGAAGCAGTTGATCACATTTTGAAGGGAGATCTCGAACGATGTTTGTGGTCGTCTGCGAACGACATCAATCGTCGAGGAAAAAGCAAAATCGAATTTCCGTTGTATAATAATGGTATTTCTGGATTCAAGGACGGCGACAGAATAACAGCTGGAGACGTGAGAAATGCGATTACCCGGGAGCCTGGTAGTTCAACTTCGTCGTTTACATCTACCACTTCACCCTCGAGTTCTAGATCGCTTTCTTCTTCACATCATGGAGACGGAGGTCATTCCGGCGATTCTAGTGAGGATTCGAGTTAATGATGGTAATTGAACATTCGAAATATATGTATATATAATTTTATAGGATATATTTTCATGCCTTCGCTCTGAACAAGACTTAAAACAAGCAGACACTATAAATTATTTTCAGAATTGCATTTGTTCGATTTGACGTAAACTTTTGGTTTTCTTTAATCCAGAAAAACCGTAATTTAACTCGAGCTGATGGGGTGCTGTAGGATTAGCAACCCCATCTCAAGCTTCCTGAGTTAATCTTTTTGGCCAAACTTTGCCTCCCTTTTCTCTTAACAATCTCAACCTCTCACTATTATCAGCAGCTCATATGATCGGATTTTAATCGAAAGACTCTTTTCAGATGCTGACAACCCTTTGCAAGCGTCAATAATATTGCAGAATAGCAGATATGCGTTTATGTACAAAATATATGTGTACCACTGCACGTTTTTATTGAATTTTTATTTGTTTTAAAGTTTATCAATGAATTTTAGTGTTTGATTTTCATGTGGCTGGGAGTTTTCTCTGTACGATGAGCAGAAATGTTTTTTACATTTAGATCGACAAAAATAACCAGTGCCTTCTATATATATAATATATATCAAACACTTAAGAATGCTTGTTATGGTGACAATGATAAATGCAAGCGTAATGAATGCTCATGTTTGAACTTCCAACAGCGGATTCAAACAACCGGTTACTGATTTTCATATAATTTAGTTGGTATTAAAAGAAAATATCACAACGCAGAGCAAATGGAAGTAGGGGACTATTTGGAGAGACTATTATGTTTATAACAAGTGGATGTACATTGTGCATTTATGGTGGCATAGTACAAAATGGAAGGAAATAAGGAAGCCCGATTTCAAAGATGTATAGGCCTTGAATAGAAGTTTCACCTGCCCATATAAGAAAAGCTATAAAGCCAGAGCTTTTATTCTTTGCTATATATTTGTCTGCATTAGCTGGCAACGCGACTTTGCTTAAGAATTTGTATGCGCTATTCTACATGCTACTTACCGTACAAATACACATATTGTCAAGACTATTCACACTACAGTAACATATTATTTTATTTATATATTTGTAAAGCACTGCATGGCATATATAGAATAAAACATGAATATTGTGATTAACATTATTTAAGGATGATTGAGATCTGCGGAAACGCTCAATTTGTGTTGGTTTGGAAACTGGCATATACGCAGAATAATAATCAAATGTGACTAGGAACATAGGTAGGTTCTCTCAAATATATATTAAATACAACCGGGACACAGTAAAAGATTCGTCGCAGGTGCTCAATCATCTGGACCAGAATGAAATTGGTTGAACAGGCCAGTAACTTGATATGTGGCTAATAGTAATTACAGCTAGCCTTTGTGCAGAGCGGATGCCATCGTACAACCGGCAAAAAGTGACCAGAGGAAAGTTTCAATAATTGCACTAACCCAAACTAAGGCGCCATTTTCAATACATACGGCAAATTGAAACATATGGTAAAAAATATAGTATTTTCTGGAGTGAATAATGTACCAGAATATACGATTGCATGTAGGCTATGCAACCACGTGGCAGTCACCCAAGCCGTACTTGCTGTTCGCATATAACCAGGAGTGAGATGGGTTTTCTAAACAGGTTCTCTGCTTCATTGTGAATTTCCTGGTTCATGTAGAGATCGGGACTTGATGACACTTTTTGATCGAAACTCACGGAACTATACCTATTGCAACTATGATCACGCGTAAAGTTAGTAATCTGTTCGATAAAGATAAGCCTCACAGAATCCTCTGTAACACCGGAAGTTAAAATCCTTAACGCGGTATCCAAATAACAATGTTTCAATATGTGAATCAGATTAACCAGCTTTTCTTAATATCAAACTATAGTAGTAACCTAAAACTCACGCTTGCTTAAAACTCTTCGTGTAATTAGTATTAAGATTTTGACGTAAATACGTAAAGTCAGCGTATATTTTATGTACCGGTGAGTTCATTTGAATTCAAACAATGCATTGTTATCGTTGTGTTTTAAAGCATGATTAATTTAACGAACCCGCAAGTAATAATAATTATAAATACAAATTAATTTCCGTACAAAAAGGTGCACAGGAGTTCACTTGTTTTATAATTGTTAGCAGCGGTCTGGTTATGACAATCTTTCCGCCCGATCATCACTCTCCAGGTGAATAATTATTTGTTATGTATTTATAGTATATTTATTGCGTCATTATAGGTTGATATTTCATTCAAAAGTCTTGCATATAGACATATTTTTTTTCATGCGAGGATTTCTCTTCCAGTGATTATGTTATGTAAAGAAGTTTAGCAATAGGGAAAGCATGGCGTGTACTTTCAATGGATATAAAGCTTGTTGTATTTGGTATGTTAGATTGTCAGTTATATGAAGAATTTGAATCGAACATACTGCTTTGAAAGAAGCGAGGAGAATATTGCGAAACCTTAACACGCTGAAGACACAGCAAACATTAAAAACGGGTTCTTACATCCACAGCGTTTTTTTTATAATCGCATATTAAAAAATATCATTCAGCATTATGTATAGACGTCCAGCATGTGACTAACAACAACTTTTTTAAAACATCCAACAATCTTGGATACAGATACTAATTTGGATACAGAAAGCATATTTAGGATAATCAAACATAAATATTAATTTAATATATTTTAGGCGGTAAAGTTATAGTTTACTTTTCATTTTATATTAAATTATAACTATTTGTTTGTAATATAGATATATATCTCTACATCAAGTTAACTAGTTTATATTTGTGAATAAAAAATACCTTCCAAATGATTTTGTATAGCATTTTCATCTTGCTGTGCATGTCGGCATGGACTATTTCAGGCTTCAACCTAGATATGAATGTGGGTTATTTTACGTCTGATAGCGGACGACTTTACAACGAATCAAACCCACCTGACCCTACAAATTTGAATCATAATGTAACATCGAAATTTTTCGGTTATACAATGGCTTTCTATCAAGAAAGTACAGAAGGAAAAATAGCGTGAGTATAAAACTAAACGGTACTCCCGAAGTATGTGAACCAAGATGACGGACACCGGAACGTAGAATGTGTCCCAGGTTAAAGTTAGGCCATATTTTTGGGTACAAATACTACGGTGATCACTTGGCTAGTCCGAACTCGTAATAGAACTAAAATAAGGAAAATTGGAATTAAATTATGGCCTAACCCTAATTTGATACACATACTACGTTCCGGTGTCCGCCATCTCGGTGCACATACTTCGGGAGCGCCAACTAAACTAAGCTTTGATTTGTAGAAACACCTAATATTTAAAAGAGTATGAAGTACGTTAATTTGTAAGGAGGAATGATACGACAAACGCAATAGACACTTTAGGTTAAGCCAAAGAAATCAATATATAAATATATCAAAAATTCATACTAACCCAAAGTGAAATAAACTGATCAAACGAAAAAACAATAATGAAATTGTTAACATCTGTTGAATTAGTTTTTATAGGAACTAAAAGATATCCCAACTTCCTATCAATCTTATTGTAAAAACAATTTTTTCTCTGAAAATTTGTTCAGACATGGTAGTATCTGATCCGATAGCATGGTGCAGGTAAGGTTGTGGACTGCGGTACATAAACATGTTAAATTAAGTGCATGCGGTAGGAAGCGTGGAAGTTATAAAGTTTTACATCTGTTGCGTCCAAACAGCTAGCAGTTGAAGCTACATGTTATAGTGAAATTCGGTCAACTAACAAAAAGTTTCCAAACCACCTCTTCATATGTAATATTACCAGGAGAGGGTGAATTTGAATTTAATCCATATATATTCATAATTCCGACAGGCTTATTATTGGTTCACCTGGAAGTAAAGTTGATCAGACTGACTCACAAACAAACAGCACTGGTAAGTTATTGAAAATATCCTTTCAAAATGAAATTTAATTTCCGGGGTCATGCAAGCTTCAGTTGATTGAGAAATCATTTTTTTAAGTACCGATAATAGCTTTTTTTCGAAATACAATATATGAAGATATTCAGTTATTTTACTTGAGCAAGCAACCAAAATTTGAGTTGTAAACATTTTCACGTTCACTGATTGACGTTTGATAAATAACGTTCACATACAATACTGTTTGCGACAATTTATAGATATTTTGAGACGGATTTGAGCTGACACCAAATTCACAGGTAAAGATATGTCTACATGCACACTTTCTTGATCTCATCTCATAGAATGAAAAAACGCCAAAGAATCGCCAAAGAAACACAATGTGTTTGCAGTTAAACTTTCGTTTTCCTGAGAAGTGGTTTGTCACACGGCGCTACTTTCGATTATTGTCAGTCATCAGTAATTGTTGTAATCGATGACGACATAAGTTCATTTGTTTATTTTTATTCAAATTTATAAATTCGAACTGTCTTCCTATATATAATGGTGAATCATCACATACGTACATGTTGAAGGCATCCTCAAAATTGTCTTTGTCACACCAAGCTTCTATATTTATTGGAATGCTTTTTTCTTTCTGTCCCAAAACGGAAAATTTCAACCGGCTTTACTCCATGATTTCCCCGTTCACTTTTTATTTTATTTAAAAAAAAATATATATTTTGATAGGGGGCAAAAATATTTCAATCAAATGAATAGCCTGATTTTATGAATACCGGTGTTGTTAATTAATCACGAAAAGAATGAAATATAAAAATGAGGAAATATGAATTCTACGTAGTCTGCTACGTAGGACTACCAACCATTCTATATATAAAGATCATAGACATTTGTCCGCGGAGACCACACCTCGATAAATCAGCCCTTCATTTTTGCCGAGCTTGCATGAAATTCTCTCAAATTTTGGCTAATCAGGGATAGTATTGTTACGCAATAGATAGTGAAAAAAATAACTTTCCATTATTATTGTCACTAATCTCAATTGGTTGTCCAATTTTGTATTTGCATATTAAAAAACTCATTCTCGCCAGTGTGACGTCTAATTAAAAAAAGCAATTCCAATTTATATTGTATGGGTACTTTGACATCTTAATTTCCCAGAAAAAGAACGCTTATCATAGAAATTAGATTTTATTATGGTTCGGAAGCAAGTAATCCACAAGCAAAAATGTTTTACTTCTTATGCAACAATACGATGATAGTATCTTACATCCTTGTATTGCGTTTATATTATTATTCATTGGTATGATGAATCGGACGTTGGTGCTAACGTTCTTGCGTTCTTGCATTATTTCCAAATAGGTGTTGTGAAGAATTCACGAATAACCAGTCGTTCGTTTTAGTAATAGTTGATTGTTTTTATGGAGCTTCACGATGGCAATATATTGTAAAACACGTGATTTGCTATGTAAACCTGATTGAGCCAATATTACATATTGATTTCAGTATATATATTCTTACATACAGAAGCTGCAGCAAGTGTTCATTTATGTGGATTTTCGACTTCTTTATTTTTTGATGAATCATCCAGTGAGTGCAATATGTCCTATCCCAGTGGAACATTATCAGAAGATGGATTTGGACAAGTGGTTGCAATTTCTCAAGATGGAAATATGAAGGTATATGATGCAATGATGCGGACTCGCACTCGAGATTTGTGTCTAGGTTCACACTGAGGAAAAACCATAACCATAAAGAATGTATAATATTAACAGAAATATCTTTGTTTGTTACTCCGTGCGTTTTGGCAATATTTTTTCAAAAATTTGTACAAAGAGACCACATATTAAATTGCAGAACTTCTAAAACAAAGTTCGATTCCATGCGCATAAACAGTGTTTCCAAACATATTAAATAAGACCGCCATCAGAATCACAACTAAATTTAGAATATCAATAGTGAATAATAATCAAACACGTCATATATGTGGTGTTAGAAGGAGTCGAATATAATATCCATTCAGACATATCTTTGAAATTCCAAATATGTCTACATTCAGGCATGCTCACCTACGAAAAAACAAGTATGTGACAACAATTACTATTCTCCTGGATTTTGTTACGTATCTTCTGATTCCGGATCATCCTGGACAAAAGATGCGCAGACTGATCAACTACGTAAAACTTACATAATCTGTTTTTTTTGGGAATGGTGTAAATTAAATCCGTGAAAAATTCCAAAATAAAAACTAGAAAACATCTTAAAAATTGGAAAACCCTGTATTTTTTCGATCAGAATTGATATCTAAACTTTAAAATCCGCTAAACATGTTTTAAAAATTCCTTAACTAAATTTGTTTGCATATTTTTTTTGCAATGTATGACAACCTGACATTTCAGGTTGTCCAGCCGGGCACGTTGACGTTTTGTTCGTGATCGATGGATCAAGGAGTGTAGAGGACGCCAATTTTCAAATCGTAATTGCCTGGGTGAAGAATGTCACAAAAAAACTCGATTTAGAAAGCGGGCATACCAGTGTTGGCGTTGTTCAGTATTCTGCCTACGACCCGGGGTGTGTAATTTGTAATCAGCAAAACTATATATATATAGGTATATACTAAAAACCCATTAATAAAAAATTTGACAAAGATGAAAAGTAATCGATAAATAACAACAGTTGTTTTCTGATTAAACCTAAACGTTTGTTATTCATACCATATAAATTAAAATAGTATTATTTTGCGCTGTTTCAGACAACCAATAAACGATCAAACATACATAAAGACGGAAATCGAAATAGGACAGGAAACTAATCAGACTTCCTTCGAGGTATGATTCAATTTTAACTGATTCAGTTTCAGAGAAATTTTCTACTAAAATATGAATTTATTAAGAAAATTTGATCAGATAAATTGCGTTGAAAGATAATAAAATATGTTTACGATAGGTACCATATCTGCAGATCACAAAATTGATAATATTTTCAATGTACTGTTTCAGGCAGCAGTTGGCAATATTTCATATTACCAATATACAACACCTACAGGTTATGCATTGAGAAAAGTGATGTTTGATTTCAATGGAACCAAAAATTACGGCAGTCATAACAATAAACAAGTAATGATTCTACTCACTGATGGAAAGTAAGATATATCAAACACAAGATTAAATATTTATTACATTAATCAAAATCAAATTGCTACAAACATTTGGAACACCTCCTCCGACCCGCCTTCTTTCCTATGTTGATTTTTTCGATTCCCGTTCCCCAGAAATTACTCTCAAGTTAGCCTACAATAAATGTCCCACGCGCCACAGTATAGAAACTTGTATTTAGTATAAAATTACAATTTTTCTCATATTTTACCCCACCTTCAAATGGAAACTTCAACATAAATGTCGCTTTTCAGAGCTAATGCGGCAGATCAAGAATTTATTCCAGAAGCCGCCGCTGCGCTGCGTGATATGGGAGTGATAATTTTTAGTGTGGGGGTTGGAGATGCGCAACCAACCGAATTGCAGGTAAAAATAAAGTATATATTGTTTTTATGATAATCAGTTTTCTATAGCACATATTTATTTGTGATATGAACACTTGTAAACAACGTAAAACTTAATTCTACTAATTTTATTTTAATTTAATAAAGCACCGAGATAGCATGTCGGCGGTGTGGCCCATTGTGCTGAGCCATTCCTGCGTGGGTTTGCAAGCTCGAATCCCATGCGAGGCAAATTGTGTGCGAGAGGATTGCTGGACTCCTCGCCGTTTACGTAACCGCTGGTCGGTTACGGCTTTCTCCACCATCAAGTCCATGCATTTGAAAACAAGAACAAACTGGTAACCGAACCGTGGCCGTGGTTCGCCATATGATGAAGCTCTTATCGGATTTCCTCACCTCTGGGATGAATATGTAAATCCTTTCCCCTCCTATCCAATATAAACAAATATTTCAGATCATTGCCAACGGGGCTGAAGGCAACAACGAAAGAGTAGAACTGCTGACTAACTTTGAAGATTTGGATAGTATTGTAGATGAGTTGGGAACAGAAATAAGAGCGGTCAATCCCGAAGGTAACGTGATACAAAAACATGATATGATTTTTCTTATCATATATCGCCAATACTTTTTATACAATACTTTATATATATATTAGTTAAACATCAAATGGGATTTGTCAAAATCAAAATACTTCCGTAGCGCACTCCCCGCTGTAATTGGAGCATGGTAAACCGTAGTAGTATATATTTACGGGTAAACTATGCGGTAGAAAAATTTAGCTTATGTGACCCAGAATGGTATCAGCACTACTAATACTACACTCACCTACCTATTCATATGGTGGTCACGAGAGGGATATTGAGCTGATCATAATTCCACGACTTGCGAAATGAGAAAACATTAGTTTATTTTTACGTTAGGTGGAGCTGCGGATTTGTACAATCAGACCGGTTTTTCAATCGCTTATAGCAAGAAAAATGGGGTGAGTTACTTGACCTATAACGAACCAATGACAGAGTGGCTAAGAGTGAAAACAAACAATTTGAAATAAATTATTACAACAAATTTAAACTATAAATTGTTTGAAAACTTCCATTTTCATTGGCGTAATTCGTTTTGTAGATTTGAGGGAATCAGTTTGAGCGGTATTTTGCTTCGTATACTCATTTGTTTTCTGTATAAATGTAGCCTAACTTAGAGTGTGTCTAGATTCTAATTGAATTAATAAAATGAACCGTGCTGCCCATATGTTCATAAAATCAAATTACAATCGTGCCATCAAAGTGTTGGTCCACACTTTTTGAAAATAAAAACTGTATAAATAAACTCACATTTCATGATTTTCATGCCTGTTTTTATGTTTGTGTGAGTGTGAAATGGTGTGACTGGTGTGTGTACAAATTCTTTTATCGACTATCGAAATGAAGACGCATCCGATTTTTCGGCGGATTCTGAAGGTTGATCGGTATCATTGCATATTTAGCGTCGTTCCTTTCTCTCTGAAAGTAGGAATTCGAACAGGACATTTCACAAATTAAGAAGTGGAAAGTTATCATGAACTCATTTTTTTAAAGTGCAATTGTGTTTATGTGTTATATCGTGTGGATAAAAAGTGATGTTTTTATTAATAAAAAAAAAAAAAAAAAATTATTATTTATGAAAATAAAAACGTGGCGACTGTAACCAAAATTATACTTAGATTTTGTCATCAATCGATCTTAATGCATATATTTGCCTGAAAAAATCCCCTTCAATACAAAGTTTGTTTTGAATTCGGCGGAGTTGAAAATATCGGCCGTATATAATGAATCGCGGGAGGTATAGATCAGTTGGCTGTTTGGCAAAGATGCAGTTTCGCAGAGACTCTTTGGCATTCATCATTCATGGTTTATGTGAGTATTTTATTAATAAACTAATATCTGGTACCGGTACCAGTGTAAGTAATTATGGGCAAGGTAGCCAAGCCACTTTTATTCAGATGCCCTCTTCTTCTCGCAGTACAATTACCGATGAAACAGCCGCTAGGTGCTGAGGCGGAGTCGAAATCGTACCCAGGGCCAGGTTGGCTAAGCTCCTTCGTTGGTCGGTTGCTGTATTGAGCTCATCTTTTGTGATGATGTCTCGATCATTTAATAATCAGAACCAGAATTGAACGCAATGCTATAATATTACTATGCTATAATATTAATAATCAGAACCAGAATTGAACGCAATGCTATAATATTACTATTTTGCACTGCTAGACACAAAATATGGTTAGAAAGGAATGCTGATATTTTTCAGAATACTAACCCAAACGTAAACAATGTAATCATGAGAATTAAGAAGTCTCTTATAGCAAGAAGAAATATAGAAAAGTTTAGGCAGCATCCTAATTTTACAAGAGATCTTGAAATCATTTATAATAGCTTGTGAATTTTTAACACTGTGATATATCTGTATATAGTATCAAAACTAACAGATATTCTTTTTTTATAATTAATACTAAAAAATATAAATAATGGTCAATCATTATGGATTATGGAAACTACATGACGGACGGATATCAATGGGATACTATGGACAATACAATCAATGGAATGTAATGAAATGTTTTGTTATTTATGTATACCTGATTATTGTTATTCATTTATTATATTATGATTTTTATTTATTGCATAATCCACATTGCGGAATCATGAAAAAAAAAAAATAATAATCAGATCTTTGCTAATTGTCATTTTTGTTTTTATGTAACTATTGTACATTTATGACTATAATATTTGATTATATCAATAGTATGTATTTGAAAAAATTGGATGATACTAATGCTGAATGGAACAAACAATGACGATGTGTAATGTGATGAACCTTATTGTATTCTTGTGTTAACACATATTAAAAAAAAAAAAAATAATCAGATCAGATTCGGAAATATTCGATTCGAAAATAAAATATTCGAAACTTACATCCCTAGACTCATGGCTAGTCTACTCCCTGACTCCTGTAATTCCAAGTACAGAAGGGCTCAAAAAGCTTAGCGCTGTTCTGAATATTAGAGTCGATAATGACAAAATTTCAAAAAAGTTTTGCTACCTCGCTTGTTTTGAATTGTTCTTGAAATTTCCCCCAGGATAAATATGTAAATCCTATCCTAGCAATTCTTAATGCTATTTTACTTTTTTGCCCGACTAGAGATTAGTGTTGCAAGTGAAGAAAGCTTATTTTTAACCAGCATTGTTCCTAGTGTGTATACCGACCATTACTGCATTGTCTGGATATGTACTTTTCATCAATTTGTAGTTATTTTAAAAGCAACTCACACTGTCCTGTGTGATGTAAATTGAAGTTTTTTTGTGTGAATCTGACTGATAAAGAATATAGCCCTTGCGTTGTTGTAACAATTAGGTTATTACAGAATTAATTTATTCACATACTGTTCTTTAAGAAACTCCAATCAAAAAAATAGCCCGGATATTTTGTGGAAAAGTTGTCACAAGATGTCAGAACCTATGGAGCAGTCGGACGAATATGACTCAAATACATCAGATTATCCATCGAGATGGCTTCATTTACGTAAAGTTTTGGAACGTGGTGGGCCATTCTGCCATCCTGATTTTGATCCCTGTCCAGACACTTTGAATTTTATGAAAGCAAATTGCAAAATTTTGGTTATTGGTGCTGGAGGTCTCGGATGTGAACTTCTCAAGGATCTTGCGTACAGTGGATTTTTGAATATCGAAGTTATTGATATGGATACGATTGATGTTTCAAACCTAAACAGACAGTTCCTTTTCAGAGAAAAAGATGTTGGGAAACCCAAAGCCAATGTAGCTGCTGAATTTATTAATAAACGCATTCCAGGTTGTGTAGTAGTTCCTCATTACTGTAGAATAGAAGATTTTGATGCTGATTTTTATCGGATGTTTCATATTGTAGTCTGTGGTTTGGACTCCATTGTAGCAAGAAGGTTAGACTCTTGATTTATTGTTTTACAGTATTAGGACACTTGATTTTGCAAGCGAATAAGTAGTTAGCTGAATTAAAAAATCATCAACTCAAATGCGTCAGTAGTGTACTGATTTACTACTGTAGTATAATAAATATACAGGGTGGGTGTAAAAAATAGTAACATTTCTTTGTCCCACTCTGTATATTGTGAAACACGTGCTAGGGAATATATTGTAACAGTTTGTGTAATTGATTTTCAGTTTTGATTTGAAGCCTTATTACAAAATGTAACTTAGATAACAGTATAAGCACAGGCGCGTTTGAAGTTTATTTATTTTGCAGCAAAGAAACTTTGGTATGAGTTCTTGCTTTGTGAGTTGTTCAATAATGTTAATCTGATTTTTCACAGATGGATTAATGGAATGTTTCTGAGTCTACTTGAATTTAATGATCAAGGAGAGCTAGATCAAACGACTATGGTTCCAATTGTAGATGGAGGAACAGAGGGGTTCAAGGGCAATGTAAGGGTTATACTTCCTGGGATGACTCCATGCATCGAATGCACTCTGGACTTATACCCTCCTCAAGTAAGACCATTATATTTGGATATAAATTTTATGTATTTTCTCTTGGCAACAGTGTGTCAATGCTTTATTTTTTTTTAGTTTTGTGTAGTTGTATGAGACAGAACTTGAATATGTGTCTAAAACCTAATTGAAAAACTTGATTGAATTGTGATATTTTGTCAATTTGGGGTAAATTTCTATTTCGAATAAAACTCAGAAGCAGCAGCAGAATTTATTTATTCATCCGGAATTATTTTATTGTGAATAGTAGAATAACTTTTCTCTGATTAAACTGAATTATAATTTAATTCCAGAATATAATTCAAACAGAAAATCACAAAAATGTTGACTTTTTCCATAATTATAATTTATATACATTTACATATAATAAAATTGTACGAGTAATTTGAATCATTTTATGAAAACTTGAAACTAATGTCTTGGTCGCACTAAATCCATAAGTATGCTTTAATAATTGAATCCTAGACATATTCCTATGTATGATGGGTTTACTTGGTGTATATTTATTTGAAGGTGAATTTCCCAATGTGCACTATTGCTCACACTCCGCGGCTTCCTGAGCATTGTATAGAGTATGTTAAAATCTTGTTATGGCCACAAGAAAAACCATTTGGACTCGATGTTCAAATTGATGGTGATGATCCAGTCCATATCAAATGGATTTTCAACAAAGCAGTTGAAAGGGGAAAAGATTACGGAATCGAAGGAGTAACATACAGATTAACTCAAGGTGTAATAAAGCGTATTATTCCGGCTGTGGCGTCCACTAATGCAGTGATTGCAGCAGCATGCACTTTAGAAGTTTTGAAGCTTGCCTCAAGTTGCTGCATGCCATTAAATAACTATATGATCTTTAATGACGCCGAGGGAATATACACATATGCATACGAAGCTGAGAAAAAAGAGGATTGTATAGTGTGCAGCCTACGGCCACAGAAGCTAAAGTTTCGAAAATCTGACAAGCTGCAAGATGTTCTTGACTATTTGAAGGTGTGTTTTTTGTTTAAGTTGATAAGATACTTAGTAACTCTATCAATAAGATGGCTATTCATAGCAATTTAGAATGGATTAAAAGCTTAGTTCAGATCAATGTTTTTGTCTTGGTGTGAAGTAAACTCCCCAAATACAGTGCTTGTCACTTTGACATGAAATAGATCTTCCGTCAATAAAAAACATTCCGAGAACTTCCTAATTGCTTGCTATACTGATTTACAGGAGGATTCTGCTTTACAAATGAGAGCTCCCGGTCTCACTACAAGTGTTGGTGGAAAGAATAAAACTCTTTATATGAGTACGGTCAAATCTATCGAAGTTGCCACAAAACCAAACCTACAGAAGACATTGGATGAACTCGACATTCAAAATGGACAAGAAATTGTAGTTGCAGATGCAACTTCACCGAACCCATTAATTTTTAAAATGCAGTATGACGAAAAATGAACCTATCTAGTATAATTATAGTTCTATTATTAGATTTTGATTGGTTTATAAAGTTCCTTTTAATTTGCTTAACTGAGTTTGCTTTCCTGCTGCTAGTCGGCGCTGTGATTGAAAACTTTGCACTGTCGATTTTGTTGTGAATTAGAAACGATGATGTGAAACAGGTATTTTACATATCTAAGAGAATTTAACTCACGAAGGTAGAAGATCATAAGCAAACTGATTCTCATCAATTACCGCATTCTCATTTTTCTTCCATCTGCAATCTCGGAATAAATTATGTAGTCTTAATGAAGATAATTGTGAGGATCAGAGGAGTATAGTTTTTCTTCTACATGCAATATGGTCCAACTTCACTTCACTGGATGCAATAAACAGCTTTATTTATTTACTGGGTCCGATTTCGCTTGACTGAATCTGAAAATGCAATGAACAGCTTGATTTATTTACTGGAGACGCTCCGCAAAACTTTCAAGTTCAGGTCATGCTTCGTGTACTGAGATAATTTACCGTTAGGTGGAAGTGGTTTTTTCAATGAGTTGTTTGTTCTGCAGAAGACTTTCCTAAATCGCACAACTTGTTTTAACTAACTCTTGTAATTTCTTAGACTTACTTGCATATATTTTGGACTAGAAAATGGGGACATTTTACCTTGCATGAAAATAATAATGCATACGAGTGAGTACTCGCATTAAGCAGTTTTCCATGTCATTTTAGTATGTATACTTCAATAAAATTATAAATCGTGTCAATTTGTAGTGTTTGTGTACCACAGCAAAGTTAGTTCTTATCTGGATAGGCCTGCAATAAGGTCACCTAGTCAGTCCCAGAAAGGTAATGCGAATCAACAGACAACTCAATGCAGTATTTTGAACCATGAATGGAGGAAGACCATACTCGTCTACACCAAAACTACTTTCACCTGCGGCTCCTAGTTTTCGAAGCTCTGGCTTCCGTGAATCAAGTGGTCACAGCAGATTTTGTTAAAGGCAAACTGTGGGGATTCAATGGAAGGTAGAGCATAAAGCCAAATATTTCTCAATAATTACACATCAGTTCACAAATTGCAAGGCGCGAGCAGTAAATTAGGTGATTCAAATCTGTCTATAAACCAGGGCTGGGTCAATGCACGCTGGCTCAAAATCACACAAGTATATTCAAACTAATTCATTCAGCTTGTTCTTATTAAGAACTAAACTATTGCATCATAAGTGATTTTATGAGCTTTGGTTGCCTTTTTGATGCAAAAGGTTGCCGACCCGTGACCTACGGTACATCATACACAATCATATATATGTCAGTGAGAATATTTATTGAACAATAAAGTGTCGAAATATGAAAAATAAGTTATTTAAGTAAGTCCAAACGAGAGAAATGCATCATTATAGCAACTCGTTGCAACACCACGTCTACTGACTTCACTTCATAGTCTCTGATACCATTGAATTGCAGTCTGATCATTCACCATGAATCAACAAGTTCCTTCATACTGTTCAATTTTTTAACAGAATCTTGAATCTTCTGACCCCTGACAATTTAAACATTATTCCATTTAGTATAACCGTAGAAACCTATCATATTAATGTTAGGAATTTTTATATAGTAATACGAAGGGGGTATATCATCAAATAGTGATGTATGTGCATGGTGAGTATATATTTGGAATATAAGTGACAAGTGCTCTTTTCTTAGTCAATGCATGTCCACAATTTTGATATCAATTCATTTACCTGTATTTTACTGAATAACTGTTTATAAACATGTTAACAATTTTTTCACAAAAAGTTCCTCAGTTATGCCATTGTTGAACCGTATATATATTCACCATGTAACTTCAATGGAGGTGAGACAAGGTAGGACAAAGTATGTTTTTCACTATGAGAAGGGACCTCAAAAAAGGAGATATTGTGTCTTTGAAACGACCAAAGCAACTTGGTGAATGGTAAAAAAATAACTTCAAGAGAACAAAAGATCAACATACTCTTCCAACAAAATATCTTTGAATTTTTGTACTTGTACAGAACTTCCAACGGATGGAGTTCTTTGCCTTCTTGTGCTGTTTAATTTTTCATCCTCAAAGTGCTGTTTGTTTTGATAGTCGTGTTTGGTCTTAACTTGTTTGATCCTGTTTTCCAAGTGTTTCATTCTATCTGATATATTTCTTAATTCTTTTGACATTTCAATTTCAGCCTGTAAAAGTTTGTCATTTTCCAACTTTAATTTCCATTCACCATTACTAATAATACAAAATGATGTTAATATTAATTTGAAGTTCGATTTCATATATTCTGAAACATCCTTGGCGATATAAAGTGAAATGGAATAGGCTTTCACAATCATTATGTTACTAAACACAACTAAACCAGTTGTAATTGTTAGACACATTTATGGACCATACCTTTGACAAAACTGGAACCTTGGACTGAGTTTGTTTTAGAACCCTAGCTAGTCTTTCTGACAATATTTCTTGCTGATCAACACAATCTTCAAACTTTTCCGCAAGTTGTTCAGCAGTTTTCGTCAAATCCGACCTGAAATGTTGCAACATGGTAATTCTGAAGACTTGAATAGTAAAAAGAATTAAGGGCCAGACGGTCTGCCCTGGTTACCTTTATATTTTGTTACTGTATATTGCATTATATTCAGCATTTAAAATAATTTGTTATACCAAGCATTACACAGGTTTTAGCACAAAAAATACATGCGTACATTACCAAATGAAAAATGGGACATTTAAGCCTGATTGATAGAATACACTTGTCAACAAATGTAGTAAAATTCTCTATATCAAAAATATAAATAATTAAGAATTTCTTATACAATCTTAATACCATTCATTAAATTCTGTGAGCCATTTTGTTTACTATTAGTTGTACGCATAATTTGCACAAATTCGGTATTACAATAGCAATAAATATAATATGACAAGAAAGGTTTACGCTACTTTGCACTACAGAATAATTCCCAACTGAAATTATTAGACGAAGGGAATATAACGGAGTCAGTTGTGCAAAATTCTGTGTTCTAAAGTCGCATAAAATTTTGGTCTATCACCTTCATCTATTCATTTTCGTAACAAATTTATTCTGTATTGCAAAGTATCAAAACTATTTTCTGTATACCTTTTTTGTTTGAGCTTATCCAGATCATTCAATTGTTGTTGCTTCTGCTGTGCTAGTAACCGTGCTCGTTTCATGATAGCATCTTGAGCAATTTTTTGTTTCAAAATATATTCTTTCCTCAGTATTTGAGTTACTCTACCTATGAGACGACTAGCTTCAGTGTCCATTACCGTATCCCTTGAAGATGCCTCATACCTGTCAAAATAATGAGTTTCTGGTATAAAATGTTATTTCATCGCAGTAAGATAATAATTTATACAATAAAAATACAAATGGCCATACACCAGCTCACCTCAAAATAGGTTGAGAAGAATCTCTTTGGAGTATAGACCTGAAAACATGATGAACATATAGGTCTGATTCACATTAAAATCTATACAAATGTAAATTTACGTGCATGAAGTAAAATCATGATTAAAATCAACATACCTTATATGATCTTGGAAATCCATCAGATTCATCGTTGAAGTCTGTATGGATGAATCATTGTCTGAAGTAAGTGGAACTATAGTGTCGTCATCATATGAAGGCAGTGGAGGTGGTGTTGGCTTGAAAATAGTTCTGAACACAACTTGAATTAAGTAAAAGGACATATGCAGACCATTGGAATTTATCAACAAAAACCTTAAATCTAACGCCAACAGCAAGAATCCACTCAGCAAATTAGAATAGGAATAAAGACAATATACTATACGTACAATAAAGGAACAGCCATACAATGATTATCAGCAGTTAGGCAAAGTAGAGAAGGCCCAAATAGTGGATTTGTTGCAAATGTGAAACCTTTTAATAAACAAGGAGCACTTGATGGAGTTGGTTTAGTACAGACTATATGTTCGACAATGCATGGTTGATCCTGAAAAAAAAACAAGAATATCATAAAGTAATAATAGCAAGAGCAGCAAAAAATCTAAAATTAAACTCAACGCTTGTTTTTTACATTAAGTTGAGCAAAGCAAACTTAACAATTATTCTCAGTGATCAGAGACTATAGCTTGAAATTATGAAAAAAAGACTCACTTGAGCTATTTCATTCAAGTTATCTTTATCCTCGTCAGCAGCTTCAAAAAACTCTGTTAATTTATCAATCCATGGCAAAACAACAGCATGAACACCCACTCTAGTGCAGCAATGGTAACGACAATATAACAATGGATCTGTAAAATGAAGAAACATGAATTTGGTTCAGAAATTCGAAGTCTGGGAATGTTTACCGTTGACGCCGAATCGGTTTCTTTTGCCGATATTCCAAAGAAACCAGAATTTCAAATAGAGTTTGAAAATACGACTCTGGCTCAGTTCACAGCCCCGTTTTGTGCTAATATATATTAAATTAAAAACTAAGACAGTACTTTTGCCCAAAAAAATGTGTAGTCTCAATAATCAACTGATTTAAAATATGAAGCTACATGGTATCACTAACACACCCTCAGGAATCAGTTTGAGTGGCATCTCTCCTGTATGAGGGGAGTAGTATACCCGCTCTCAAAAAACAAAAAGACTTCAAACACCAGCCTGATTTTATCCATAAATGAGTTAAGACTTCAATTATGTTTTTAATGCCTAGTATGGCATGTCAACCGTTGAGCCAAAGGCATATAAAGTCACATTCACAACAGTTAAAGAGTTTGGCCACTAGAAGTAAGATCTAAATCTGTGGTGAGTCGAGTAGGCCTTTGTACCAAAAATCTTCATTTTTTACCTTTATACTGAAAGTCTATTTCAACTTAGATTGAGAAGGCAATCCATCAAGAAGCAGATACAAGTGATTACACCATTTATATTTATTTCAATATCAAACAACAAATATGCAAAATAAAAAAATTAGGAATCCTAGAAATACAATAATGCAGAGATACACAAGAATAGTGTAAAAAATAACATTAATAATGAATAGCAAAGCACCGAATTAAAACTGAGAGATGACGACCTTCAAAGCACCCTTCCCACGTTTTAAAAATTTTCTTTGATCGAGATGCCGGTGATGCCATGTACAAAGTAGCATTGTATTGTTTCTCAATCCCGTCACTGCATTGCAGGCTCCTACCAAATCACTACAAAATGACAACAAAGATAGTTATTGACAATGGACTAACATTAACCACCAATATTTCTAGACCATAAAAATCAGCAAGAAAAAAAATATAAACTACTGTTTCCATTTGCTTTATCAACAAGGAAAAATAATTTTCTTGTGATATGAGCAGCGTTTGATAATAAGAAACTACTATCGACTTTGAAATTTTCACTTTGAATATCTCTTCCTGATAGTGTGTTTTAATTAATAAAGCCCTCATAAATATACAAATAAGTCATCTGAAGGCAATAACTAACAATAAAGAATAGGACCTGTATACAACTCTGAAAGACCTCTCTCCATGCCTAACAACACTTTCTATATCTCCATATTTCTGTAGCTCCCTAAGAAACTCGTAAAAAGTGTATCTTGATGCAACATTTAAAAAGATCTGAAGACAAGCATTGCAAGATTTCAAGTTTAAACAAACAAACAACTAGCAATACTAACATTACTAAGTTACCAATATGACCAATACCAATTAATGCAAGAAATTCTTGCAATATCTCAGGGAAAATACTGAATATTTCTGAAGCGAAAATATACCCAAATTGCATTTAAATTATTTATATTTCAATTTCTCTTCATTTGGATTCTATCTTCAAGTTTAAATGACCGTGATTCAAATTCAAGTTGAATATAAAAAATGAAAAAAACCTTGACTGTAGATAATGGTGCCTGAACTGCAGAATTTGATTCCAAAGACGATTTCACTGCCTTTTCCAACCTGTCCTCTGTATGAACAAACAATTCAAAAAACTAAATAATTGAGGCAAACTAATAAATGGTAAGAAGACAAACTAAAAAGACAACAAAGGCTACCATCAACCAACCTTTTTTATGAAGATAAAGCTGACTGGGTTTTGGACTAAAATATGTTATGCATGGAGGTTCATGATGTTCAACATGTTCTTTATAACAAGGCATATCCCTGAGCTGCATCAATTCTGAGCTCTGTTAAAATTGCATTTGAGTTTATTTTTCCATTCAGTTAAGATCTTGGCTCAATTACTCCCACAGAGGAAAATAATTGAAACCTGCCAACTTCTTTAAAATAGAATATATTCCTTGCGACTGAATATCCACTCATGTTCACATGATGATTAAATGTAACATAGTTCGCTTAGTTACCTTTATTCTCCTGTTGTGCATTTCCTCGTATAGTTGTCTTGAAACAGGATTTGGTAAATGCGAAATCATCCGGCACACTTTGTTAAATTCATATATCATTGAAGAAGGCCTTTTCTCTTTTGCTGACATCTTCAAATGAACTGCAATATTCTTTGAATAGGTATTATCTACATAACTCTGTATGACATTCCGGGTCGTCGGTACCTCAGTTTTGAATTTGGGATCATCAATAAAAGAATTTTGAGGTGGATGGACTGGAGTGCTTCTTACTGGGTTCCGAAAGTTAACTTTTCTCGTAGAAACTGGCTTCAGGTGCATTCCATGGGAAAGGTCAAGACATAGATTTTTGATGCTGTTTTCTGATACTAATTGTCCTTTCCTAACACATGAAGCAGCATGATTTACTTCATTATCTTCTGAAATGTCCAATTTAGGCTTCAAGTCTCCTAAAATATCCTGAATTTTTCTGTGATCCTTTTTTGCTTTCTGTGATATAGATGACTTACTGTCTGCAGTCGGCATCATGCTACAATTTGATCCATACGGAGCAACAACTTGCAAAGCATTATTTATTGTGCCTGGCATTTTCAGAAGCAACCTAATACAACTTGCATCCGCAACAAACAATGTTCCACAATACTAAGGGCATATTTTCAAATTGTTTATTTCCTGACTAGAATGCTGCATTATGATCAAACAATGGATAACTACATAACGTCAGAATAAAATCAATTGTAATATCACATAGGCCAGACAATAGGTATTTTCTTGATGTTTGTAGTTATTTTGATTTTTGCGTAACATTGAGCCTATAATTTTCAGTCATAAAATACCAAATGCAGGCCAAAATGCTATAACTGACTATGATCCAGTGCCGAGCAATCTTTCCAATTGCAACACCAGCATGTACAAGTACAACTGCTTTAACCTTCCAAATTATTATAACTAACTGGGATATGGTGGCTAGGACGGCTAGGTCTTAGGACAGGGGTCTCCAACACGCAGCCCGCCAGCCAGTTTTTTGCGGCCCACGTCATGGTTGGGAATTTTCCACAAAAAACTGAATTAATTCGATGTCAACTTTTAGTAGGTTTTATCGTGTCATTTATCATCATGAGTTCGGTCCGACAAACTGTAAAAAGTGAAGCAAAATTCCCCCCTTTTGTCCACGTTCATGTTTTATTTTATTGGTATAATGCAATAACTTCATGTTGCATGTTCATTGTGACGAAATAAACGAGTTTCGGTCAGTCCAAGGTGCCCGAAGAGAGGTTTGCAAAGCTAATTGCACTGCACATTCACTTTGCATACCTGCGATTTTTGGCAGTTCTTATATTTGCGTGCAGTTTTTTTCGACTATCAAAGTTAGCAAGTCAGTTCTCTGCACACGACTAACGTACGAGCATTTGCATGTTGTCTTAAGACTAGCATACCAACGCATAATAAGGCCAAACATCGAGACCGAATATCCAGCACAAGTGAATGAATATGTTTCATGTCTCGTTTGCTGTAAGATTCAAGTGTAATTTCAACACAATACATTCAGATACTCATTTTTGTACCTAATTTCTTGGTTTGAGGCCAGCGTGGTCAATAAATTTCAAAAAGTGGCCCGCGACATGTTTTGAGTTGAAGACCCCTGCCTTGGGACAAACCCAATTTAAATCATCAACTACTCGTGTATCTAAAATTTGGATTTCTCTGCAGTAAGGTTGAACCAAAGATAAACCAAGTCAGTTTTGTGTCATGTTTACTAACCACTCTATATATATAATATACCCAGCTAAAACAATAATATTCAACACGATTCTCCAGATACATACGCCAAAAGCATTTAATCTGACAGGTAGTAAAGTAAAGTTAGGTGGTAAAAACAGAAAAATATTTAAGAATACTACACTGTTGGTGAGCCATTTCATTTGAACACAAACTTTTTTGAAAGAGAAAATTTGTCACTAACCGGAATGTAAGGTAACAGTATGATTTTCTGATTCAAAGTCTTCTCCATCTTCTTCACCTTTTGGTCCCAGATCGATTTCTACAGTTTCATAAACAAACAATGTTGGAGCAGGAAATTCAGCAGATAGTCCTTTGGATTGAACAGAAAGAACTGAGGCAGGCCATGAAGCAGTTGACTAAAATTGTAAGATATTTAATTTTAACATATAAGATAACAAGCTAGCAAATGGTGAAACAGAACATAGGTTGAACGTGATGCTCCAAACATATTTATGACCATTCCCTGGAAATGACATATTCATTTTTCAAACATATGAAGAAACAGGCTACACTGGATGATGGACAAAGCAAAACTTTGTTGTAATTATGAGTCATGACTTATTAGGTACGATGTACGGTATAAAGCAGACGTCTGTCAAACTGTAATTATGAACATGAAGTGATCATTTATGAAAACAGGGTAGAGTTCTCTAACCCCAAACTAATTAAACGTAGATACAAAAATAAATGCTATACAATATAATATTCTTGAGTTGAAACGCAGATGATAGGTGCTTGGAGGCAATGGGTGTCTGGTATCGATGGTAAAAATCAAACAACATGGAAACACAATTGTACCTGTGTGTCTGTAAAATCATCATCAGAATCGTAGTTTGTTGCAAGGGCGACACAATGATGAATTTTACCACTTGCCGTTGCAATAGCAATGACTGTGGGATTGTGATGAAGAACAAGTATCGAACAAGCATCAACACCATAATTGTCTTCTGCAGGGGGTTGCATAGTCAGAGGCCCATGCATTAACCCTTTTCTATACCTGTAATACAATAGTACAATGTAATGTTAAATCATACAAATTGCCACGGTTGTGAGCATATTCAATTACCGGCATTTGCTCAGATCATCAATGTACATTTGTTAAAAACATCCATAGTCAGTTTCATCAGAATCACCCGAACTTAGATTATTTTTTATAAAATTTCACAGCTAGTGTTGATAAATATGAGTCATTCGTATAAACTCATCTTGGAAAAACATTTCAATCACAAGCACTGCATAAAAAAAAAATTTTTGTTAACATTTCACCAAAAGCTCCTTTATTTGAAATAAAAATCAAGTTTTCCCATGAGCTTTCTATCCTATAAAATTTATCCTTAAACTTATCGAATTTTTTTACACAAGATTGTTAACCAAACCTGTTGTCAGTCACAGATGTTAATAACAACAGCACATCTCCATCGCCTTGTAATAAATATATAGGATAAAGAAGAACAGTAGGTGGTTCATCTTTGTCAGCTCGTCTGGCTTGTAAAATTTTCTTTCTTTTCTCTTGCACTTCCACAGGAGGAGCAAATGAGAATGAAACCGCAGTCTCACCAATGGCAGAACTTATTGAGAATCTAGAGTCAAAAAAGAGCAATAAAAATATTCCATTGCAGTCTCAAAGAAGAGTCGTAAACTAATGTAGTTGTTATGATTTGTATCAAAAAATGGCAGAATCTAACTATCAATGTTTGAGCAAATACTTTATTCAAGATTTATTCAATAGTATATCACAGAACTCAAACTTACGCTGAAGAGACTAGAGAAAACCTAGAAGATCCGATGTTGCTGTGACCTAGTTTGTGAACTTGTGTGGGTGTTTGGTTATCTGCTGTGACATCATAAATACGCACTGTATTATCCGATAATAGCACAACAAGATGAGAGTGATTTGGAGATCCAGGATGCCATGAGGCTTGCCGCAACTGCACCATTATACATGTGGTGAAGAACCTTTCAGCAACTGGGAAACATCTGCCGAAAGAGAAGATGAAAAAAGTACAGCTTGAAACTAGCAACGATCCAATACTGTTTTCAGTGTTTTTTGGTTAGATAATTCTGTTTACAGAAGAAATTAAGTTAATCGAAAGCCGAAGGGCTGCACTGAAAGGATATATAATATTTGGTGTACTTAACAATAAATACCAACTCAGTCACACAAATCTATTTTGTCCATTTTTCAAGTAATAAATTTAATAATGTCACCTTAAAAGAAGATGGACATGTGGTAGATATGAGATGTAAAACAAGAAAATAGTTTCAACCATAATTTTTTGAAGTTCAGAAGCAAGTGAAGACCTATATAAACCAGGGCAAATAAAGACCATCTCTGGTAGGAAAAACTTCAGAAGTATTTTACTTGCAAAACTGGGTGTAATTCTCCTCATCTGGATTTTTCCATTTCTGCGGCAAACATAAGACTGATATTCCTCTTGAACCAATCAGAGCTACATAAGTCCCAGATTCATTAAATTGAATGCTTCGTACTTCAAACATCGGTGGAGGTGAGCACGAGAATTTCTGGAAAAATCAGATAAAAAAAAACACTTACATGCGAGAAGTAATATTTCAACAAAGGTTTTGTAATTTGTGAAAATTTATAAATTAATGCTTCGTAAAGAGTGGTTATAATATCATTGTTATAAAATTAGGTGTGGTAGTTCAGTAGTTATTCATGTCGACAGTTCAGATAAATGAGTGAATAACTCAGAAGAATCAGGGCAAGGAGAAAGCGACAGCTTGTGAAAAGTAAAACCAGAGTATAAAGTTTGAATGATCTAATGTTGTAAGAACATTGCATTGTCTTCCAATGCATTTTCAACATTACTCTTTTGTTTAGTATTATATTCAAAACTGGGTTACATCACTTACATGTTTATAATGTTACACATTCCATAGCAATGTACGAGAAAACCTTCAAGCCAAGTACCATACCTTGTAAATTCAGTAACCCGCTTGTACCAATGTTATTTTTTGGGACAGTTATAAGACTCTGGGCAAATGGTTAGAGAAAGCATATCAAGTAGGATTCAGTTGTTATGATCCATGATATTTTGAGACACCCCTTTGAGCAGAGCACATGGTATGACCGACAGTCTCATTAAATAAACATCACAGTCAAAAAGTATCATATTTACCTGAACACCTGGCTCTTCAATATCTAATGACATCCTCAAGTTGGTAACATAAAAGCAGCTCTCTTTATTACTCCATACATAGAGGAATCCATCTTGCACATGCATTAATTGGTCAGCTCTATGTGATATGTTTTCAACTTCAGCATTTTCTTCAACCAATGTTTTGAAAATCGGATGATTCTCGATCACCTCTTTGAAGTCAGCACTCATGTTTTCATATAAGAATTAGGAATATTGATTAAGACTGAAGAAATATAAAATATATCTGACAGGACAGTCAATTTTCAAAATAACAATGTTCGACAGAATTGGATCAGGGTTGATAAAATAGCCTATATTGAGTATATAAGAAATCAGCAAATTAAGAATCATTATTTGGCATACAAAAATAAATAAATCTGAAGAAGTGTAGCAGAAGAAGTAAGAACTATGAACGACCAGGACCAAGTGATGAATTATGGCTAGAATTGAGCTTCTTAATGATGTATCATGTCCCAACATTTTTTAAAACAAATGATCTCTATATTTTGTCATAGACGTTGAAGACAATAAAACATCACACCACTGAGATATGCAAAATTATCTGTTTTACTTGCAGTTATGCAATATAACACTTGATGACACCACAACAATTTTGACCGGACCCAGTACACTAGATTCTGAAATCTGTAGTCAATTCAGAACTATGACAATTATTTATGACATGTTCATCAAATGGTACAACGGTAGACAAGTTTAAAAACAGTCATGATAATCTAAAACAATTAAGATTTCAAATCTTTACATTTTATTTTGAATCATGCCTTGATATCAAAAAAAGAGATCGTGGAACCCCAAACCATAGTAAAATCACTCATTCTTAATCCTCAGTTCTTCAGGTATGAACCCAGCATCATTTTCAATGCATGTAACACAAAAGCGTTTTTTATGAAACAGGCTACATTTATCATCGACACAAACAGTTGCATTGCAAAGAGAACAGTGACCTCCCAGTACTAACACTTCTCTTGTCTGAACAAAAGGATTGTCCATTATATAGACATCTTCATGGAAAGTGAGCTTTCTCACACGAGAAGGTCTTTTTCCAAAATAACGGTATGGAGCTTCTAGTCCACAAATAGAGCAAACAAAGCTAGGTAAGACTTTGTCAGTTTCCTTCTTTTGTTTAACATCCAATGATTCTTGCATCACATTACTGTAATAATTAGACTTAATTTTCTATTTTAACATTAAACATATTTAAAACCTGCATGAAACAATAACAGTCCGTTACTCAAAATTTAAACTTGACGGAAAGTTGATGGCTACTAACAGACATCATTTGGTGATCGACCAAACCGTAAATGGGGTCTAACAATATGCATATTCATTCAAGATCTTCTTTGAATCATTTTAAAACATGAAATTTAAAAAATGTACCAAATTTTACTGATGTTTTCATTAAATCCACATAAATTGAGATGGAAATGGTGCCAAATTCTTAAGGAACACACTTTTTAATATATTAGTAATTTTTTCAAATGATTATGATGATTATGATCAGATCGTTCCAAGTCAATATGAAAACAATAACTTGTATTATTTGGTAATGGATTTTGAATAATTTTTGGTCAGCAATATAATTCTCTTGACATTCATAAAAACTGTTAGAGTTCATTCAGTTCAAAATGACAATAATTTTTTCAACCAATAATGCAATTCTAATTAGACAGAATGTATCATGCTATTTTATACTACAATGTTTATTCATTGCCAGCCATATCAACATCATCCTCAATAGTTAAATCCTCCAACATCTCCTGTAATGTAATCTTCGGCATGCTCTCATCATCTGTATCAGTTGGTACATGAGAGCGATCAACATAAACATCCACATTTTTCCTGAACTCTTTATCTTCCTCTAAATCTTCCATAAATCCAACAAAAGATTCATCATCCGAAGCGGTATTTGTAGCCAGTCTTCGGAGTTTCCAATTTCTGCGGCGTCTTCTCCTCTGTTTGTCACCAAATACTTTTTTAACAAGTATAACATCAGGTACATCTTGTTCCTTCATTTTATCCAATTCCACATTGCTCTGATTTGAATTTCTCAAATCGTATCCCAGAACCGTGTCACCAGGGTTTAATAAATGACCAAGATGTGTGACAGTATGAACATAATCCTCATTTATTCCTAATTCGCTTGCTTTCACAACCCAACAATCTGCCAAAAGATGTTTGTGAGATTTTGCACCCTCACCAGACTTTTGCTGTCTATTACGAATAGGTTCGATTTCCATTACTATATATTGTATGAGATTTTTAGAAGAACTACAGGAGTAAAAAGGGTTTCGCCAGTAAGCTGTCCCATTGACCTCGCATAACTGTAGTGTTTTGAAATCGATCAAATGAATACAATTTGTTACACGAATACAGAGAGCAAGTTGATCCATATTTCCCAGTTGTTGAGCAAGCTTTTTAGGTAAACAGACAATATCATCTTTACAGACTGGAGGGATTTCAACAGAAAAAGTAGTTTTATAGTTATAGGTACTTGTATGGACATCATGCGAAATTAACTGCTGTGCTGACTGGTAACGACAAGGCAACATGCTCATAAGAAAATCAGTAAATTTTCTGGCATCTTGTTTAGATGAATAGAAGAAATCAAGCCCATTTGGATTTTCAGATAGCTTCGTACATGTAGAGTGCATTTTATGTTTCAGAATAATTTGTTCCAAATAATAAAATGTCTTCTTATGCGTTGTCTTTTGTCTAGCTTGTACAACAGAATTCCAGAAATCTTTTGCTTCTATCCTATGGCAGTCATTGCACATATGATTATGAATAACAAATTCGACGACAAAAGTTTGCTGTAAGAATGTGCCACCATCAACTTCTTTTTGAATAGCAATTTTAACTTTAATTCGTTTAGAATGGGGTTCAGTCCAAACAAATGCAGCATCCACCAAACGTACTTTTGACAGCGTTGACTTGAGCCGTTTTAAACAAATTGCGAGTAGTTCTCGAGATTCAAGAGCTGCCTTTGTCCAAGCATTGGGAGGAGAATGATATCTTTCACAATTCCTGCACATTAGCAAATTTCCAGACTTTGGTATACCATCAGTAATATCAACACGAGAACGAAGGCAGTCGACACATGTATTACTTGGATTGGGTTGTATGGGAATGCCGCAATCACAACACAATATTGTGTCCATTGTTTGGGTTGAGGGCATTTCACTCATTGTTTCCATTTTCAGGTTCAAATTAAATTACTTATATTTGATCATATGTGATTCCTAAAGAAAATGTGTTACTGGTAATTCAGATAATAGATATTGCCAGGAATGACTAAAAGTCTACGGAATATTTCAAAAATAATATTTTCAAATACTTATATTATTTCCTACCTCTCACTATATATTTTCTAAATCATGCCCAACAATTTACATGTTTATAAACTTGAGATGTGCATACATATGTAAATATGTCAGACTTCGGTAAGATTAAGTTCATACATAATAACTTCAAGTCAATAAGAAGTTCAATTAAAAATTTAAATTTATTTACAAATATTAGTACATATCTCATCTACTCCCTAATTAAGTTTAGTCTGCTAAATTTTTTGGTTAATATTACACCAAAACCAGAAAACCATATGAGAATGTACAAAATAAAAGTTGCTTCAAAAACAAACACCACTAACAAACCTCATCCATGTGAAATGAACACATAGTAAAATAGTGTTCAAAGGAATTATCTGTCATAGCCTAACTGCAGAACTGCATTAGCTGGGTTACAACAGGTCATTACTTTTTACAGTTTTATAGCACTGCGTTGGACCTAAAATTAAACAAACTTACAGACATACTGTTACTATACCATTATACCAAAAAACACATTAACATTATTATGCATATAATTAGAAAATGCATGCATTTTTATTTCTTCAAATGGATCCACAATGTAGATTATTCAATAAGTAAATAATATATAAATTAAATATATGTTAAGACATCTTGTGTACTAAAAGTGAAGAAACATATATATATCAGTAATATCAAAATAATTCCATCAGATGTAATATTCCATATAATCCAGGGAGTTCCAATAATTCATTCGTTGATTTCGTAATACAAATTACATCGTTTATTTTTAATTATTTAGCATAAAAAAACTTAATTTTAGAATCCGTCACAAGTTATTACATATCATGGCAAGTTCTTTTATATAACAAAATTCCTTTCTCCCTTTTTCTATATTTCTTCTCATTATAAGTGAGTTCCTAATTTTCATACCGTAATAACATTATTTATGCTTAGGTTATGATTTTGAAATATCACAGCATTACACTCCAACCAAATTTTATATCTTGCTGTACAAAATTACAATATATTAGAGTTACGTTGTATAATGGATAAATTTGAATAACAGTGATCATTTAAGTCCAATAAAATGCAAGTTTTATAAATATTTTTTATCACACAGTTTCTCATTTTTAATGCCACAGAAAAGATATAATCATAGACATTCTGTTTAAAAACAATTCCAAAACAAATGAGACACAAATTCAGAATCTTATTTACATAACACACAAATATTATCCCCAGAAATATGTCTTATTCTTGGCTTAACTTTGATTGATAAAATGTCCCACATTAATTTATAATTGAAAATCTTTACATTATTGGCCAAAATTTTAGAATGTATATTTGAACAAGCCCCTATAAAATTACCATCTCTCAAAAAAACAATTCTATCTTCACCCTTCGAATTATTAACAATTTTATTATATAAATGTCTATGCTTTTCTTGAATTAAATCAGTTTCAGTGATGTTGTACCGTAAAAGCAGGTAACTTCCGATGGTTTGTAACTTCGGATGAAATTTTTAATCGTTTATATCTTGACTAAATTACTTCATCTTGTGCTTCTGGCAGTTCTATGGAGAGTCCTTATATATCTAAATCTGATATCGAATGGAATCGCTCAATAATATTTATTTTTTTACACAAAAAATCACATTTTAGCCAGAATGTTGATTATAGTTCCATAGTATTTCTGAGAGAAAAAACATGGGATACACTATTATCAATAGGCAATTTGAAATATATCTTAATAGAGCACATTTTTCAGCCACCCTAACAAACAAGCCATGTGTTATTTGTAAATTGGACCCCATGTTTCAGTCGGTCTGTACTGTATTACAGTATTGATATTCAAACAATTTTCTTATTTCCACTTTTTATGGATTGATTAATTTGATTTATTATCAAATCATGACATATAAAAACTTCATGCCGAGTCATTGTGAACGGCAATTTTGACGTGAATTTTTGTCTATTACCGGTACCGGTACCGTATTTTCTAATTCTACATAAGAGGGATAAGTTTGACATCGGGTGTGATTACCAAATTACTTATCTATGGTTATCGATATCCGTCACTACAATTTTTAACCAATCGTTAAAAATTAAACTCTCGTTTGTGGGTCAACTAAACATGACCGGCGAGTCCACGTTAATTAAACACGCCTCCATGCCAGACTCTGTTTGCCACTGTCTAACTTTTCCTCGGTGATTGGACAATATTTTATGGGCGCGTCTCTTACGGGGAACCTGATTGGATGATATCATTGATGATTTAGTCAACCGGTTGCGAAATCGCTAAAGTATACGGGATGCTTGGAAATTCGAATGCAGCATAGTTACATCATAATGTTCAACCTACGATGATCAAATGCTGTCCTGTGTCAGTGTTGTTGTTATCTAAACAAAATTCGGTTTATGCGTTCGTTTTACATAGAGCAGAAAAGGTTCCAGATTTAGACTGCTCGCAGTAATTTGATGATTTACGAGACCGTTGATTGTGAATTCAAATGCTACGATACGGTACGTAATTCAGTAATTAGTTAAGTGATTAGTGTAGCACCAGAGCTTTATCCGTAACGTATATTCATCCACAATCTGGGAATTCTATTGCCATAAACAGTTGAAGAGTTAACTTTTGATAACTGTGAGTGTGTTAGTCAAGTGTCAAGATTGTATATGCATACTGCAGTACTGACATACACACATTAGTATTAATTTTTTCCGACCCCATAATCGGCATAAAAGGCGGGGATATAATTGATAACAAATAAATACAGAAATAGAATTAGGAGAGCAATGAAAACCTTAAGTCTGCAAGTGTCAGGGTTTTGCCAAAATGAAGTGTCATGCATGTTCACTCATCTAAAATTATCAAACTAATTTACACACACACATTCCCATGCACAACCACAGAGTAATAACTCACAATGAAGTTAGGAAATCAGGAAAAACTTAAAATAAATCACATAATAAAATAAAAGTATATAAAAAATAAAAATTATTTGCCATGCCATATTAATAATTTTATAACAGTTGCTAAATTGAATATCGATTTTGTAAATAAGAGTGATTAATAAATAAAATATTTATAAATGAAATGTTGTCACGATATTATATTTGAGTCAAATGCGAAATTGTCCAATCAAAGTTGAGTGCATGAGAAGGTGGGCAGGACCACTGTTAGACTTCATTTGAATTTGTGGCCAATCAAATATTGCTGTCTTGGGAATAATTTATCATACTGGAATAAGCTTACATAAATCATGAATTAGTGCAGGGTAAAGCCAAATCAAATCTAATTACTAAATTATGATCTATTCAATTACAGATTTTTCCATTTAGCTTTAAAGTACTTTTCTAACTCCTTAGCTATCGGTGCAATAGCTGCTAGTTAATAAATACAGAAGCAATGTCAACTGAAACGCAATTAGACACAGATCCTTGTATTCTGACAAGGCATATAAATGAAAGTGGTAGAAAAGCTGGCGGAACTGGTGAATTGTCACAATTATTGAATAGCATTTGTACTGCTGTGAAAGCTATCTCTGCAGCTGTAAGAAGGGCTGGAATTGCAAACTTGTAAGTATTGGTATTTCTGTGTTTTCAAGAATTCTTATGTATTTGTAAACAGATGAACTTGTGATAAATAAATTTCATGTCCTTGTATTTCACAGATATGGCATATCAGGTACGGAAAATGCAACTGGTGATCAACAGAAAAAGCTTGATGTACTTGCTAATGATTTGATGGTGAATTTGCTCAGGTCATCTTACAGTACATGTCTGATGGTCTCCGAGGAAAACGATAATGTGGTTGAAGTTGATTTAAAAAAGCATGTAAGGACTGAAATTTATGACCTTGCCTAGTGCCTACTGTTTCTGAAAACTAGATTAATACTACCAAAGTATAAATTTTAATCAACATCTTTTACAGGGAAAATATATTGTGACATTTGATCCTCTGGATGGCTCATCAAATATAGATTGCCTGGTATCCATCGGAACAATATTTGGTATATTCAAAAAGGTGAGTAGAACAAGATTCATATTTTGGTCGGAGGATAATATCAAAGTGGTTTGGAAGACTTATGGTTATGTGACATTATAATAATAATGAATATGTTCAGTTCATCAAGTAATGAGAGTAACAACCCCAATCAACAGGTATTCATTCTCAAGCTTCTGGTGTTACGGAGCCCGTGCAGTGGTTAAGTAGTATTAACGGAGCCCCGCATTTAATTTATAAAAAACGCGTTTTCATTTACTGATTAATGTCCCTGAGTAAACAAAAACTACTTTATTTAATGACTATGATGTACCGGTACTTACTGCTTTGTATTTAAAAAATATTCAGTATTTTAATAAGCAAATGAATAGCTTGCGTAGCCCCTGGGTTTCTCTCACGGAGCACTTTGAGAACCTATGGTCAATAATACTGTGTAAACTATTCCCATTTCTTAATTTGCTTTTAGGCTTCTGATGGACCACCTACTGCCGCTGATGCTCTTCAGCCTGGAAATAATTTGGTGGCAGCTGGTTATGCACTTTATGGAAGTGCTACTGTCATTGTGATTGCAACAGAGCTATCAGTGGACATGTTCATGTTGGATCCTGTAAGATTCGTACAATTTAATCATCTTGTGTGTTTGTTTAAAACTCTTGCCTGTAGTGTTTGGTAAGGTGTGCCATGAAATGGGTATTTACTTTTTCAATATATTAGGTTAAAAAAACATGCAAAACTGATTTTCTGTTTTAATTTAGAGTATTGGTGAATTCATATTAACACAAAAAGATATCAAAATCAAAAAGAAAGGAAAATATTTTAGCATCAATGAAGGATATACGAAGTACTGGGATCCTGCTATAAAGGAATATGTTGACAGGAAGAAGTTTCCACAAGTAACAATTTTTATTATGTTATAAATTATGACTTTTTCATCAAAGTATTATAACTATTTGTTTACTTACAGGATGGTGGTAAACCGTACAATGCTCGCTACATTGGTTCAATGGTAGCAGATGTACACAGGACTCTGGTTTATGGTGGCGTATTTGCTTATCCAGCACACAGCCAGAGCCCAAACGGAAAGGTAATATTTACAATTGAGATTTACATACTCTGTTTCAGCTCTTTTATATGTTGTGTGTGCTTTTCAGCTACGTCTTCTGTATGAGGCTGGACCCATGGCTTATGTACTGGAGAGAGCTGGGGGAAAGGCAACTACTGGACACCAACGTATTATGGATATAGTCCCAGAAAACATTCATCAAAGAGTCCCAGTTTTCTTGGGGTCACCTGATGACGTTGATGAATACTTGGAAATTGTGAAAAAACACAAAAATTATGTCGCTAATGAAAAATAATTTGATACAGTATTCATAAAAAATGCTCTTTAATTTTTCTTTACCTCTACAAACCTGACATGTGTGATAGTAGCATAGTTACATATGATGATAAAACAGGAGTGAATATTTGCCTTGAATAGTGCCTTAATTTCATTCAAGCAGTAATTGTGCGCTTACGACTTATATATTTCCTATTAGCCATTCAATAAATATCCAACCTACCATAGGTGTTAGAAATTGCATCTTCGGCTACAAGTTGTTTTAATTTAGAGTATTGGTATCTTTTTTTGCGGCGGAAATTTACAGTGAAAGACTTGTTCCACTTTGAAGTATTATTGGTGAGTCCGCTGCAAATCCACATTCGACGAAATGATAATAGAACTCATTAACTACAAGGCCACATGTCAAGGAACAAGCAGCAGTTGGTTTAGCAAATATTTGGGCAAGATAAGACCTGGACTCCTATCTGACAAAGTTCACAGAGATGAAGCCATATAAATGTGGCTTGATGCTTCATCCCAGTTGATGTGAGATACTTACTGAATATTAACCTGCACACCCACTATTAAGCACAATTAGAGAATGGCAAAGAATTAAGCAGGGTGAATGTTTGGGGATCGATTTCTCGGCTCGATTCGCCTGTGGAGCACCTCTCCTGACATACCCTAAAATTCATATTGTCCGTCAATAGTTGTATTAGCATTAGAGTGTGTAGGAATCTCATACTTGCTTACCAGTAGCAACAGACTTATTTACTTACATAAGTGGTGGGGTTTGGGAGAACACGACAACAAAATATCGTGATAGTCAGCGACAATGTTCTTGTTTTAGATGTTGGACAACCGCATTGCAGATGACTAGTATTATGTATGACATTTTAGAAGTCTCATATTAAGATTTATATCAAGCTTTTATGTTAAAGTAGCCTAGATATTGACAGACATACATTTTCTGAAATGAAGGAAGCTGTTGTTAATGAGGACCTGTTCTTAAAATTTCAAATCCCGCCACTGATCTTTACGCACTCTCAAGCACAAGAATAATATACAATTTATGATTTTATTTAATCGTCAGATTTCAACTGCACTCTAGTTTCACTTCCCCCTAGCACGAAAGTTGCAGTCAGAGGAACTTTCATTCATTTCTTGACCATATCAGTCACATAATGTGTCAAAATCCATCTGTAGTTTTTTGACACCCAGATAGAATCTCTATCAAACCTCAAAGTTCTATCTTGTTTGATTATCGATATTCTCAGTCAAGGACACAACTAAATTTTTATATGATGTGGACATCTCAGTTTAAAGTTGTGCGACTTGCAAAAACAGATCCCTCCGCCATCGAACTCCAAAGTCCACTTCTGTCCGGATTAGTAGAGCCAAGCATACTGCTATTAGCTTCATATGGGTTTGGTGCTTTGAATCTGAAGTCACTAGTTATGCTGTTTATATCAGGAATATAGATAGGTATATAGCTAACACTTCCGTTTGACCAGCACTGTAAAACCGATACATAGATAAATAAGTATATGTTTCTGGAAAACAGGAATTATGATGCAAAATTAACCACTCACCACTGTTAAACAGGCACCCATGTAAAAATTGGGTTTAAAAGCGATGAAAACTGGACTGACACCCTCTTTGCCTTGAAGGAAGCCCCTACATAATATAAGTAACAGATCAGATGCGTCCTTGAAAATTACAAAGCAAGCTGAAGCACATACGTACACCAACATAGTACTTGCTATAAAAATGCTACAGAGAAAATCAAGTACAACATTCTGGGAGAAATATATTAGGATAAAAATGATGAGTGAAATCTAGTCTTACTTTGCTGTGATACTGAACGCTGGGTCTTCTGAAGTGCTGAATAATGCTATGAGATGTTGACGTGGATCATCTTTATGAAACATAATTGCAACCCTTTGACCAGTCTCATCCCACACCATTGAATGAATGCAGTTTGCTCTAAAAATTAGGTAGCCATTGCCAATAAAGTATTCACTCTGCATTAGTTTTGCGGATATGATAAGCAAAGACAAAAAATTTTACAAACTTAGTTGGTTCCTGCGATTGCCTTTCGCTGTCACTGTCAGCACTTTCATCAAAATATTTCAAGTCAAGAACGACTGTGGCATGAGCAGATGCAGATGGCGAATCGATACTTTGTGAGTTTGAAAATTTAACACAGTAGATATGTGAATCACCAGTCAATGCAAAAAGCAATGTCGTTCCTTTTGGGTTCCAGCAGGCACACTGAAATAATTGAATTTCAATTATCAAATCATTTTGACAAACCGAGATTGCTTTGCTCCTAAAAGGTCTACTCGGCACAATTGGTAATAAAAATCTACCTGAACTCGCCCAGCTAAGTTTGACCATCTCTCATTAGTCCACAATCCTGTTTCAAAAATACGGAATGAGGAAGAAGGTGTGGCAGCAAGTACTTTGCTCCCATCAGGAGACCACAAGACTCTTGATACCCCTCCACAAGTGGTTACATGTTGAATAACTTGATATTCAGCCATGCTAGTATTCCACACCTAGATACATGAAAAGCAAATACAAATTAGATTGATCGAGTTAATCAAAAAATATTATTGAAAAATAATTACCACTATTGCTGTGTTTAGTGCAGAAACTGCTACAAGCACGTCATCACCGGTAGGGCTCCAAGCCAATGAAGTAACAGGACTGTGTCCACTATAAGAAAGTACTTGTACAGCTCCAGCAGACGGTCTGAAATGAAATGAGCTCTTTTCTTAAAAGCGCATAACCAAGCTGACATTATGAGATACTGTTGGGGCACTTAACCTGATAAAGTCCATGAAAGTAGCTATATGTTGTCGGCATGATTGTGCGAGCTAATGACTATTATTAAATCACCAACCGAAGATGAAGCTAAAATTTGATTGCAATTGCAGGGAATAATAAGATGCTAAGAAAATACAAGTGATATTACAAGAATAACCTTACTCAAATCTTTGTTCTACAATTCAGTTTTTACAAAAATAATGACTGAATGCTTATGGAGTAATGATTGAACTTGCTAAAGCGCTTGCCAACATAGTTGAATATTTGGCGCTACAAAAGTATGTGTACCAATATGGAGGTAACTAATTCTGTTTGCCTACTTTACATCAAGTTTTGTAAAGGGATGGAAGCCTATGGGCAGGGGATATATTCACTTAGCTAACAAAAACAGTCCCCGAACTCGTAATAGAACTAAAATAAAGAAAATCTATATAAAAGTATGCCCTAACCTGGTACACATACTACAGATGTACCGAATATTTTATACTTGGATAAAGTGAATATATTGAGACAGGAAAAGCACAAAGATTTTAAGAATACTTCATGAATAACAAATATCATAGAATCACCTGGTTGAAAAAGATGAAGGCTCCACTGTCCATATTAGAATTGCTGTCTGGGAACCAACTGCCAATATTGATGCTGACAAAGGCTTCCATTCTACACAGGTTACATACTTTTGCAGCTTATGTTTGAGAATGGGAACAAGTGGTCTATAACGTTAATCAACTATTAAATCTTCAAGCAATGTCTGTAAAATGCAGTTAGTTATTCTTATTCCACAGTAGGTTACCTGCAGTTGCAGTATGGGGATAAGCCAAACATGGGCTTTGAGCTAAGCACTTCACCAAAATTGCATTCATTTATGCGATTATGTCTCTCTGAAAAACGCTAAACTTACATATTTGTGTAGTGAATTTTAATGGTGTCATCCAGAAGAGCTATTGCGAGCTTGTGTGCTTTCGGGTGCCATGACAAAAATCGTATTGGACTAGTAGACCTAAAAATATTGAATTCAAAGTAACACATTTTAAAAACTGCATTCAATAATACAAACTAAATTATGATATTAGTTCAAAGTCAAAGTGCTATAGAGTAACAGAAGTTCCTGGATAAAATTAAATTTTGATAATATTCAAAGCTAGCATTTTAATAAATGCAACATTGTTATGCCATATGAGTTCATGATCCTTTCGTTTGCGCTAAGTGTAATAAATTCTATTTCAATTCAAAAAAATGACATGCGTATATAAAATTACCATTCTCTATTCATTGAAAATTCTGCAATAAGAGCTTCCTGTGAGAGCTGCAAAATCAAGAATAAATATCAAAGTTTTAAATATGTGCATAAATATTATCTTCTACAGTAGTTTCATCGCAATTGTCTCAATATATCTAAATAAAACTGGCAGTAATGATTGCATATTACCAGGGCTATACATATAGCCAGGGATTCCATCGATCTGGAACCCAAAATAAGGACGACTGGAAAAATTTCTGCATTGTGAGCAGAAATAGCTGGCTTTCCTATGGGCTCCAGGTTAACGTCACAATGTGCGAAGCACTCACCCTTCGAGCTTCGTTTAACTTTGAATTACTTCCCGTACTCACAAAAAAACGTTCTTACGTTTGCTCATTTTTTAATTTAGGCTAAAATAACCACCACGACGACAAAACCCAAGGATCGCCACACAAACAAATGAGTAACAATGCTTCATGGCTATCTGTGCCTTGCTTCTTTGTGTTCCAAATAAGATTGTGTTGCTTTTATGATGCCACAATAAAGCTTTGGCGATAAGACAAACATCTCGAAGCTTCCTTTATGAAGTTCAAATAAGACAGAATAAAGACATGCAAGCCAAAAATAAGGAAAAACCTTAGAAATAAGGACGGTATGGAATCCCTGCATATAGCAGTAGTGTGGCGCATAGTACAAAGTGTTGGGAATATGCTCACCACCACACCTCTAATTACCTGACGTGAGATAAGAGGTTCGAAACTTGAGGGGTCAAATTATGTGCAACTGCAAGAGGATTGCTGGACTCCTCGCCACCGACCACCGTAGGGTATAAACGTAACTGCCGATCGGTCACGGCTTCCTCCATCATCAAGTTCATGATTCTGAAACAAATAACTGGCTATCTAATCCCATACTCGACATGGACTGGTAATAGACGAGAGGCCGTGATTCACCATATGATTAAACCAACTTATCAGCTCTCCTAAATCTGAATCTTAAATATCTACATCTTATCCGATCCTAATTAGTAGTTACACATTACTAACCTTCAAATGAGGAAATAAGGTGAAATTCATTCCACGAATCCATCTCATTCCAATAAGAAGATATTGACAAATATTTTGAACAAGTGGATAAACTAAAAAAAAAATTCATACAAAATGAATATTGGATTCTTGCAGCATGTTGGACCAAAGCCACCAAAACCTATCGAAGAGCGAAATAAAATAGACATTGCTATAAGATGAACTGAAAATTCCCAAGTCAATCTTTGAAAAAAAACATCGTACCAATCTGATTTGATTCCTCACTGCATATTTCACCCAACACACCAGCTACTCCAAGATTGTACCTGAAAAATTTGACGCAAATAGATTCAAATATTCAAGACCAAAAAATTTTTTTATCCCAAAAAATTTTTCTGATAACTGCGGTAGAATTTACTACCGCATGGCTCTTTCCCTGAATAAATGAAATCGAACTGTTTCAAGTCTAGTGTCCATCAACATTTGCTGGCGCATTACCAGGGGCGATGAGCGGCAAACCTCCCTCTCCCCTTATGAAATGTAAAAAAGCATTTTTTTGTATTATACATAAAAGCTTTTCAGACTCCCAAGTCCCAAGACTCTTGGAAACATACATTTTCCGCTAGCTGTTAAGGCCGAACTCAGCAATTAGAAATTTCAGTTCCCCCCCTTTGAAAATTTCTGGCTACGCCCATGTGCACCGTCAAATTTTCCTATAATATGATACCCTAGTCCAACAGTGCACAACCTGCGGCCGTCGCGAAAAAAAAATGCGGCCGTCCACATACAAAATCCTATGAAAAAAAAGTTCAAAATATAGGATTTGGCGGCTATGCTGGCAAATTGCAAAAAAGTCACTGCAAAAAAGTCAGACGACACGATGCGTCACAATCTAGATGGTGTATTTGCTGCCAGTTACCTGACTTTGCAAGTTTATCTGCCCACATGCAAGACCAAAGGAGTCATTAAATTGCTACAATTCTTTGCAAACTTTTATAGAATAAATTCATAAAAATATTTGACATTTTATTATACTTTTGGGGACAAGAAAATGGGGGCGACCGCCCCTCCCCGATTTTCGATTTTTCCCAAAATTGTGCCACCATTATGCAACTTGCAGAATATATCTGCTTTTAAAATGCGAATATTATACTTCCAAGTAGTCCTACATACTTCATAATTGGGCAGAGTGCACCTCGCACGGGTCAAATACGCGATTATGACGTCATGAAGCCAAAAAATTTCGCTAGCCTTCGGCGCGCTATTAACCTCCTGGCGGTCGTATTGTATAAAAATAAATGCAATGTGGCCGCCAATAGCAAAAAGGTTGTGCACCCCTGCCCTAGTCAGTAGTCTCTAATGATTTACCATGCGGTCTTAAACCTTTGTGCAGTAGTTTCTTTTTGTTCTAAAAATGCAGATTTGGCAGTTTCACCAACAATAGCAGGTGTCCTACGTAAACTTTCAGAACTAATTATGATGGAGGGGAAAGTAGATACCTGAAAAAAAAATTCAATACAACAGCCCGTGTGTTGTAGAATGAAACATCAATAAATACAGAGATACATTTGTTACAACTGAAAAATCTTGGTATAGGATATTTTCATATCAAACACATATCAGCATTTTTGAAAAAATTATAGGATGAAAGACTATGTTGAATTTCCAAAAATAATATAGTTCAAATAGGATTATTACAATATCACTTACAACTTTGACAAATACTACACAAATTACCTGACCTTCCATGTATGAATCTATTATTGACTGATCTGTCACATATATAATGTGCCCGTTCCTCTCACAAACAGCGATTTCTCCATCATCTGGTGGTATTAGTGACTGTGACACGCTACACATCCTTTCGTTGAGTTCAATTCCCAAATTTTAAATGTAAGAATAACATTTGTATCAAACGAATAGTCTTTATAATCTGTAACACATAAATGAAATCAATGTTGAAGCTCATTTTTTGAATGTTATTGTTTAGCACAGAATTTGATTCTGAGCCTTGAATCCACATAGGTTTTCTATTTAATATAGTTTAATGAAATATTCCAAAAATTTTTGAGCGGCCCACCCTTCAGCACTTATTTACAACGACATTTTTCCATGCCTTACCTTATTTCGGTCGCACTACTTTACTGCTCTATGGTAATTTTTAAATAAGGACTGCATTATACATGCAATTATAGAAGAAATATTTCTGGATGGAGATCAAAACATTAAAATATGAACATACTGAAATTTGCTTTATGATGAAAAATATATGAAACACATGAATAATCGGATAGATGATGCTTATTCCAGTATTCTCCAAACCACCACACTTAGGCATCAATGTAAAAATATTAATAAGGCAGATTTTGTTTGAATATTCGAACAAAAGATTGCCAATAGGGAACTTTGATCCTCATATCAGAATACACGGCTATTTCGAATTAACTCTGAGCTGATTAAACGGGTATTTATTTTAAGCTCACGGCGGTGTGGCTCAACGGGCTAAGCGTTAGGAATACGCTCGCCACCGCACCTCTAATTACTCTGCTTGGGTTCGCAGGTTCGAATCCCATGCAGGGATGGTTATGTGCGAGAGGATTGCTGGACTCCTCGCCGTCGTTGGGTGGTTCACGTAACTGCTGGTCGGTTACGGCTTCCTCCACCACCAAGTCCATGCTTCCGAAAACAAACAATACAGTAAAACTAATCCCATACCCGACTTGGAATGGTAACCGGACGAGAGGCCGTGGTTCGCCATATGGATAAGCCGTCTTATCGGCTTTCCTCTCCCCCGGGATAAATATGTAAATCCTATCCTATCCTATTTTATTTTCAGCAATTACAGAATTAAAGCCAAGCAACTTTCATCGAAGGTTCGTTACACTTCACTTAGCTGCGTTCAGTTTCTGTAACAACTACACGTATATACAAAATAGACATATAAATAACAGTTTCAGAAACGAACTTTCTCACTTGAATTTATTCTTCAATGCAGCCGAGGCGGAACAAAAATCCCATGCAAGCAACTTTGAATTCAGGGTAATTTTACCACAGAATTTTACATTTATTTCATACTCCCTCTCTTGGAGCCATCGATGCGTAAATTTTTTCGCCGTTGAAATTTGTGGTAATCGTTATCATTACTCTAATTTCTGTTAGTAATTGAATCTAATTGTAATATTTGAACAATAAATTATTTTATTTCATCTAAGTTTCAACTTTCAATGAAAAATATTGAAGTTTTATTCTTGCTCTATGACGTCATTAACTTACCAACCGAAACTCAGAGAATCAACTGGAAGCACGTTGGATTTGGGCGCAGTTGGTTGTCAGTGCTTTATAGTTTGCTTCTTCGTATCTTTGGATTATATCGTTCAGGATGTCAGCTCCCGTTTTAGTTCTGAGTAAGTATGTGGAACGTGGTTGATTGTTCATTTTATTTATCATATGATCTCTAGTAATTGGTGATTTGGTGGGAAAGCAATGCTTTTGTTTGAGATTTGCGAAAACCGTCAGGTGGGGACATGGTAAAGCTGTAAAGTCTGTAAGTGGTTAGTTACCACACACACCAAAACTCAAATTTTATAAAATAATAACTTCACAGGCTTTTCATTCTGGGTTGTTGCCAACATACACATATTACTGTGTCCTGGTATCTTAAACATATCAGTATTTGGGGCAAACACTGTCACTTAACCAATATATTCTATCTGTCGAACCTAGCTGCCTGGTACTACTGTTTATTAGATCACTTCATCTCTTTCATTTTCTAAAAATAATATTATACAAGTCAGCAAGAAGACTAACTTGGGGTTTTTATTAACTTCTTTCAGATCAGAATTCAAAAAGAGAATCTGGTAAAAAAGTTCAACTTGGAAATGTTAATGCCGCAAAAACAATAGCAGATGTCATTCGAACATGCCTCGGTCCAAGATCAATGATGAAGGTTGCTGTTGATAAATTTATATAAAAATTACTAATTATTTCATCAAAAATTATTCAACTCGAAATTACTGTAAAGACAAAAAATAAAAGTTAGTTGGCAAATGAACTAAAATCCAATAAGTTGGACCAAAAGTAGTTTGCATTTTCCTGAGATGATTTTGTAATGCTACGCACTCAGATATTCAACTACTCAAGATTGTATACATGTATTCAAACTGTAAGCTGGAAACACAATATTATGTTGTTTAATTCACCAATGCATTTTATTAATCTATATCAGTGTTTCTCAAACTTTTTAAGCCACGCCCCCTTTTTAGAATTTGTCAAGACGCCGTGCCCCACCTCAAAAGTACAAGCTACAAATAACAGATAGTAAGGCGAAATTATGTTTTGTTCAAAAAGCACGGTGAAATTACGAGGATGAAACATAAAAAATGAAATAAATGAAATTTTGAAATGTAAATATTCACAATAAATGAAATTAAACAAATATTTTTACTTTTTAATTAGCTTTACGCACCCTCAAAAAATTGTCTACACCCCTTGTGGGGCGCGCCCCACCGTTTGAGAACCACTGATTTATATATTAGATTACCTGTCTATATATAAATTCCTTTGTTTTGAAAAATAGTTGCTCCTGTCATATCAGGGGCTGCGTGTGCAGAGCCTTGCTTTGAGTGAAGGTGCGAAAAAGTGGTAGAAAAGTCTTACCTGGATAATTTACCGACTTACTGGGATCTCAAAATAATTTTATATTTTTTAAACATAGATGTTGATGGATCCGCAAGGTGGAATTGTGATGACGAATGACGGAAATGCTATTTTGAGAGAAATTCAGGTGAAACTAAAATGTGACATTACCATATTCATTCTTGTATTCAAATTGGATGCAATCATTTTGAGACTAATCTTGGATTCCTACTGATATTTTGTATATAAATTGATACCAAATATGAAATGATTAAAATAGATTATCAAGAAAATAGAGCATATGGCAGTTACAATCGTAAAATATGCTACAATGAATGTATATGTCTTTAATTTGCGCTCTGAAACATTTTGATATTAGTTACTGCAAATTTTTTATCATACTAAATGATTTCTATCGTTTTTATTATTCAAGTAGAACTTTCCAGACATCTGTAATGGTTCCAAATCTTGTTAAATCCTAATTGTTTAAAGACTTTGTTAAATGTCGAACACTATAAAAAAACTAAGAAATTTTGTTCGATTTGTAATCTTAGGTACAACATCCAGCTGCAAAATCTATGATTGAAATCAGCAGAACACAAGATGAAGAAGTTGGTGATGGAACTACCTCTGTCATTATTCTTGGTTCGTGATACCATCCGTTTTATATTTAAAATGATAATGGGTAAACAGAAGCTGTGTACTGAAAATTTTTGGTTCGATTGAATAGGTTTTAATATAATCTTCCATCAAATGTTATTGGGTTATTACTACCTGTAAAAAGATTGGGATATTGTTCGTTCAAAAGGGGGTAATCGTAGTTACTTTGATTGGCCTTTGTTTACTGTTATTCAACTCATGTCATACCGCATGCTTATTACTTTTTCCTTTTTTGAGTTGATTAGAAACAGGTTTAAGAGAGAGATTCAGACTTTATGCCTTCTTTCTGTTCATTCTTATTAGCTATTATCAAGATTTAAGGCTCATTATTTAGTAATATATATCCTATTCATATTACATAAAGAAGAATTATGATTACTTAGGTGCAGGTGCATATTGTTCCTGCTCTTTTTGTTTAACCAAAGTTTACTTATCTTCAAAACACCAAATTTTTATTTTGTCCCAGCTGGTGAAATGATGGCAGCGGCTGAACAATTCTTGGAGCAAAAAATGCATCCTACTGTTATTATTGCTGCTTATAGACAAGCTTTGGAGGATATGCAAGAGGCATTGAATGAGTTGAGGTAAGTTACTAGTTAGTACTTTGATGCAAATTCCAGAATTCAAGGTTATTGGTGCAGTTTTACTATAAATATAATTATAGTGAAGTCAGATGAGAAATTTTCTTTTTATTAAGAGTCTTTATGGTAGTATATTTGTATCAAAAGTCTATTTAAAATGGGAGCACGCAATATTTCCCCCAAATTTACTGGAATTCACAAACATTGTCTGTATTGGGTATTACCTCATGTTGGTGAAAATAATATATTCAACTCACTATAACACAATACAGATTTTGTTAAGGTTTGAAGATGATTGTAAAATGGACTGACTTAGGAAATTTAGTTTTCGGAAACCTGTAATGAAATAAGCTTTCATGTCAAATAAAGTGTAATGACAGGTGGTGAAACCATCCCAAGTCCTAAATATACTCATTTGAATAGAATAGGCAATACAATAAGATCTACCTGGAATGGTTTTAGCAGTAATGTGAAGTGTTCATCATTTTTTTATTATTCTAGTGTAACTGTCGATGTCAGTGATCCGAAAGTAATGAAAAAAATAATTGCAAGTACGATCGGAACCAAGTTCATCAGTAAATGGACAGACCTTGCATGTGACATGGCAATAAAAGCAGTAGCTACAGTTGCGATTGAAGACAAAAATTCGGGTCAAAAAGAGATTGATATCAAGCGATATGCTAAAGTTGAAAAGGTGACTTTATGTTGTTCTTTATAAACATATGTCAATTTGCGAATATGTATCATTGTAAAGCTGCATTTCTAATACAAGAGCTCAATTGTCTAAGATGGCCAATGCAATGGCAAAATAAATTCTAGCCCAAAAACGTCAAGAGAGTTGTACCGAAAGTCATATAAAGGTGTAGCTGTTATCAGTTATAATTACCAAGATAATGAAAATATCTTACCTTAAATAATAAAATCCTTGTAGCGACTTCCATCTTTAAATATTGAAAACAGAAGTCAATTAGCTGGGAAGAAAACCAATTTCTCCGAATAAAAACAATAACCCCAATAGGGCACAACAACAATCTTGCAAAATAATAAAAGGTTCGTTATTTATTGACAGGCTTACCACATGTCCCGGTTTAGCCGTGACTGATTTTGACAAGCTGTCTGGACCGTAGACTCAAATGTCCCGGTCATACAGTATGACAGTCATGAATATTTTTTTTATTTATTAACCATACAATTTTTTTATGTTAGTCCATTTATTTCTTCAATAATTCTGTGTTTTCCAATAATTCCAATCTAGCATCTAACGTTAGCTGTACTGTCGTAAATTATTCAAAATACAGAAACGAAAGTGCACGTTTTCCAATAATTTGAATATTATTAAGCCTCAGAATCGAACCAAGATTTGTCCAATCTGCACTGTCCCGAACTTTTGATTCATATATATGGTCAACCTACCTATTGATTGCCAAATTATATTAGCATTAAATTTTTTCGCAGTGGCAACTGATTTGTGCCATCTTTATTATTACTGACTTATGGCCAATAGTAGTGATCTGTGACAGAGATGGTCAGATGTATTAACTATTTTATATGACAGGTGCCAGGTGGTACTATTGAAGAATCCTGTGTACTTCAAGGTGTCATGCTAAACAAAGATGTCACCCATCCCAGAATGAAACGCCGCATTGAGAATCCCAGAATTTTGCTTCTTGATTGTCCTCTCGAATACACAAAGGGAGAGAGTCAGGTAAAAAGAAATACTTCTACTAAAGCTTAACCTTAACATTGCTGAATGACAATGAAAGCATGGAGTCCACAATTTTTTAATCCTTCAATGAGATGTAAAAGGGGTTTTGGTACTATATTATTCAACATCAACACTATAGTGTTTAAAATTTCATTTGTGCGCTCCTTTTGAACTGTTTTTTTATATAAATAAATTTTGAATATTAAATTAAACTATATTAAATTGACATAAAAAGTGTATATTATTTTTATTTTCAAAAGTTTTATATTTCATTATTACTTATCGATTTTAATCGGTATTTGTATGTCTGTTTGTCTGTGAGATGCATGCGATATCTCACGAAAGCGAGATTGAATCTTCTCCAGATTTTGCATGTGCATTCATCTTATCTCGGACCAGAAGCCTATTGATTTTGGGCGAATTATGTCGTATAATTAGCGAGTTATCAATCAATTATTGATATAGTGATCTAGATTTTTGTAAAGCGAGAGAATTTTGAGACCCGCCGAGTGTGTGTGTGCGATGCGCAGTGCGCAAGTTACAAGAGCGGATGAATCGAAACTGCAGTTTCTGTTTTGGGGGATCCCCTAACTATCGATCGATAAGTCTTCGGTTTCCAACCGATATTCTCGTTTTGATAGTCTTAAAGTTGGCTGGTAGATCCGTCAACATTGGCTGTGTTAATATGATTTTAATTTTTATTCAAAACGGATGTCAAAATCTTCTAGTTATTTATATATATTTGGAAACAAACTATCAATTTACCAAGCATTTTTAAGTTATTGTACAGCCGCAGATTATTATTTATTAACGAATAATTTTTCTTCACAGACTGACATAGAACTTACAAAAGAAAATGATTTTAATAAAATCTTACAATTAGAAGAAGAATACATACGCCGGGTCACTTCAGAAATTATTGCATTTAAACCTGATTTGGTTTTCACAGAGAAAGGAATATCTGGTGAGATCAACCTGAAATTATGGATACAGTTTTCGTTAATTATTATGCCATATCACAGGAACAAAAAGGCTCCATTTTGTAAACCCCAAACAAATATATACTATTATTTAGTTAGCGCTAAGATCAAAAAAGATTACAGCAATAATAATAATACAGCAAATCAGTAATAATACAATCTGATGTATGATGTTCAAGAGAGTTGTTTTCAAACTATAGGTGAATTAAATCAACTGGAAACATTTACAGCAAACTGATGCTTTTTCTAATCAGTCTTCTGCCCATTCAGAAAATTAGAATTTGAAATAGATCTTATGGAAGAATTAATATTTCAATATCAATTTTTCCAGTAACAATGCTTGCTATTCGTAATCTATTTTTTGATAATATTTATCTGAAGATATTGACCAATTTTTTTCAAATCTATTCTTTACCAAAACTATTTCTTTTAGACTTGGCTCAACATTTCTTGGTAAAGGCAAACATTACAGCGATTCGTAGAGTCAGAAAATCTGACAACAATCGTATTGGTCGTGCAAGTGGTGCCACTGTGTGTTCTAGAACAGATGAAATTAGAGAAGAAGATATCGGTACTGGAGCCGGTTTGTTTGAGATTCGCAAATTCGGGGATGAATATTTTACTTTCATTACTGAATGCAAGGATCCGAAGGTATTTTTTGGTCAAAGAAATCAAATCTGTGTTTGTATGTTGTGATACGCTTTAACGGATGGCCAATTTTACTGAATAAATTATTAATTCTGTCATCAAAAACCGGTTTATTGAATGATTTGAGGTAGAATTCCAAATTTGTATGCTTTTTAATTGGTAATAGCTTGTTTAATGTTTTTTCCTTCCATTTTTGCATTTGAATATATAAATTTGTTATTGGTTATTTGCATCCAAAATCAAAGAATAGAAAAAAAATATTTCTGAAGGATCTCGCTGCTTTTTACCATTAAAACATTTTTCGAAAGTATAAATTTGTTTTCATGTTCCTACAGGCTTGCACTATTCTACTGAGAGGTGCAAGTAAGGATATTTTGATGGAAGTCGAAAGAAATCTACAAGACGCAATGCAGGTTGTTAGGAATGTCATGGTCGATCCTAAACTTGTTCCTGGAGGAGGAGCAATTGAAATGGCTGTTTCTCATGTGAGATCATTTTAAAATTATTCGACGTGTTTGTTATTTGGATGAATTTACATTGGAATTGCTCAATTTATTTCTTAATAAGTGTCTTGCATTCTATTTATTTTCCAGCAATTAACTTAATGTCCAAGAGTAAATAAGACAGGTTGGTAAATCCTAATTTTCCTACGAGGAAATAGTCTTCAAAGCCTTAGAAATCTAAGGGATTGTGGCATTAACAATGATAAAAACTCTGCATCGAAAGTTGCTAATTCGATAACCCGACATTCCCTTCTTATTATCCCATCATATTATACTATTCAATATAAATTTCCCCATGTTGTAGAAGCTTGTTTCTGGCGGAATATTATCGCCATGCGTATAAATATATGTATGTATATATGTATTGTTTATCTGTTATTTATAACTCAAATTTGTATTCATTTTGACATATATCTGTGCTATTCTCATCTTTCGTAAGGTGTTGAACATTTTGTTTGTTTCAGAAATTGGTTGAAAAGGCTAAAACCATGACTGGTGTAGAACAATGGCCATATAGAGCGGTAGCACAATCTCTTGAAGTTATACCAAGAACGCTGATTCAGAACTGTGGAGCTAGCACAATTCGGAAAATTACTCCATTACGGGTGAGTTATTTTTTCATACAAGAGTCACAACCAGTGTTGGTGCATCTTACAGGAGAATATTTTATGTGTCATCTCAAAGCACAAAAGTCTGTTCACAAATTCAAGTTGAAAAATTCCCGGACAACTATCTTAATATGCAAAAGGTCCCTCTTCCCCATTTACTTCCTACTTTGGACATGTAAGAGGCAGTTGCCACGAGAATGCTTGAATGAGAATATATTAGGATGATGAATAAAGTAGTACTATATCTATTCATCATTTAAAACTCTGCCTTCAAGGCATAAGGGGGTTTCATATATTTTCTGTGTATCTGGTAATTGCCTGTGGGCGGAGTGCGAAATAGTATAGTTGTAGCCCTGTTAATAAGGCGCTCCAGAGGTGTGTGTACCAATATGGAGGTAACTAATTTTGTTCAAGTTGTGTAAAGGAACTGAAACGTGTGGGCAGGGGTATATTCACTAAGCTAACACAGACAGTCCCCGAACTCGTAATAGAACTAAAATAAAGAAAATCGGAATAAAATTACCGCCTAACCTCACCTGGTACACACACTTCGGGAGTACCTTTAATAGTAATATATCACACTTCAACTTTTTCAAATGTCACTAAGTTATATTTCTACATTATGAGATATTTGTCTTATTCAGTGAACCTATTTGTCTGGTTAAAAATAACGTATTCTGGGATTTTTGTCTTATTAATTTAAATATTTTATTCTGTTATAGGCAAAACACACAGTTGCTGGCAATCATACTTGGGGTGTGAACGGAGAGACTGGTGATGTTGTTGACATGAATGAGTTTCAAATATGGGAGGCTCTTTCAGTAAAACTGCAAACTTATAAGACTGCAATGGAGGTTTGTATTTGAGACAACTGGGATTATTAAAACACAAACTGCACCAATTGCTTTCAAATTCACAAGCCTACGAAATCTGTTATTTCACCTAAAACTTTGATGTTTATTTTCAATCGTGTGAACACAAATTTGAAATTTGACCCACCTGTCCAGTTATCGAAGCATTGTTCTCTTTTTATTCCCCTCCGCAGTTTTCAGGCTTCATAGAAGCAATTAGCAATACAGCATTGTATTTTACAATAAAAATCTTAACCTGTTTTCATTTATGCAGACGGCTATGCTATTGCTTCGAATTGATGACATTGTTTCCGGAACAAAGAAGCAGGAACAGTAGCAAGAATCACTGAAATCGTGCAGGGATTTGAATTTATCTGCCTCCTATCTGCAGATCAGTGTTCACATCAACTAGTGGATTTTTTCGTGCTTTTGCTGCAAAGTACTGTTCCTAGGTTTTTCATAAATGTAGCATGCTTCAAATAAAATTTGTACTATGGAATTCTTATGTTTGGTGATTTATAGTGTACTTCGTGAAGTTGTTATTAAATGTAAATTTGAGGCTGTTTTGAATACTGGGTCGAGTTTCTTGGTTGAATTACTTAGGTGAGGATGTTGTTGAATGGCGCACAGAGGATCATGACTTTTTCTTGGACCTCCAGAAGTATGCGCACAACCTGGACATAGCATGTGTGTACCGGTTAGGATTCAGGTTGTGCACATACTTCTGCAGCATCCTTTTTTTTCGTTTATTTTGCCTCTAACGGTGACCGATCGGCAATAAGTCAACTATGGTGCACCGATTGGATTTTTGACGTCTCCCGGGACATCCTTCTTCGCGTAGCAGGGTTTTTGGGCATGGTTGAAGACACTGGCTCGTTTTCGCGATCTTGCACGCAATTTTTCGTTTTGTAGTTTTATTTTTCAGAATTTAGGTATAAATCTGATAGCTCATCTGTCATTTTGTCTTCCGAGAAGTTTCATCCATCAAACATTATTCTCGGAAAAGCTGTGATAGGCTCTGGATAGGTAAAATTATCTATCTGTAACTTGGCCGATAATTGAACGTTATGAATTTAATAAAGACAATGTAAGCGAGAAAATACTCTCAAAATAAACGTCGACGATGTTTAAGAATCGAAAGAATTTTTCTGAGGCTCGTCGGTTGGCATAATTGCTGATCGCGCCGCTGATTACTCTGTATTGTTCCCACACCGGATGAGAGGCCGTTGTTCGGCATACGATTGAGCTCTCTTATCCGCATTCCTCTTCCTAGGGATAAATACGCAAATCTTGTCCTATGTCAAGGGTCGGAAAACCATCCATTGCCGGTATAGAACTGAGAAAAGACTATACTGTCTGTTGCTATCAATTCCAATTTCAGCCCCGATTTAACATTTTAAAGACAAAAAATTTAACTTTTTCTCCTCTCCACTTCCAGTTGAAACAGCGGTTATGCGGTCCTCTGAATCTGCTCTACACATACCAATTCTCTCCAACACATTATTTTAGAATGTAAACAAAAAATGACAGCTTCTTTTTTAAATTTACATTTAATTTACAGAATAACATAAACATAAAGTAAGGCAAAATGTCTACCAGTAGACGGAGTTGTTACGCTATTTCCAAGAGATTGCAGAAGTATATTGTGGATATACGGCTAACTGACCTCTTACCAAAGAGTTTTGGAGTCGAATAATAATGTATTTATCACCTATTCTATCTTACATAGCCTATATATAAAACATTCAAGGGCCAAGCTCATGGGGCCCGCCACCATGATATCAAGAAAAATCTTCTGCTCAGATATTTTTGAATCAGATGTCCACAATTTGTGAAGTTGAACAAATTGTTAATTTCAAGACCACGTATATTTTTACACTTATTATATGGTAACAAAAAAAATCATACAATAAAATAGTTCAATAAAACGAGAGGAGAAGCAAATAAATTACATAGTTCAGTTGGAGTCTCCAGTTATCACAATGGAACGATATTCTTCGTCGAGTCTTTACACTGGTCTTAGTTTATCATTGACACCAATCACAACTGTTTTCGGAGAATGCGATTGCCTGCGAGTCATTAGGAATATAATGGCTCGTAGACTGCATAGGATAGCTTTAAATGCCGTTGACGGCATTTGGTTCTTGGCAGGATAATTCGTCATTGTGAAGACTAGTTGAACTGTATTCTCTGGCAACGGGTCTGGCTTTCACCAATTGAGGAACTTTCACCGTGACTGTCTTTGTGTCAGAATATTCATTAATAGCAGCTTTTCCCCTATAGTAAAAAATTAATTAATATAATAAGCCGACAATTTAGGTACATAGTTGAGGGGGTCTTTTGTAGAAAGCTCCGCCCCTAATGCAAAAATGTGAGATCTGAGAAAACACTAACTGGATGGTTACTATTTTTTTTGAGCGGTGGCGGCGATGTTGTTTTTTGGGTGGGGGCTTTCTACAAAAGATCCCAAAAAGATAATGTTAAGGATGGTATTTTCTGTCGTGATATGATCATATTGTACTTGTGACAGTAATAACACAATACTCACATTTCTTTTCCTTTCCCGGAAATTTTACATCCGCCGAATGGTGTCTGGGCAGCAAACGCATTGAAGCAATTGATCCTACAAAAAAATATTTATAATTAATTTAAAATAAATTTGTATATACCGATAATCCTGGAGACGCAACCTTTCCAATAGTACGTTGATCAATGATGTTGCCGTCTACCTACCAAACTGTCCCGTTTTCTAGTTCGTTTGCTACTTCAAATGCGGTCGTTATATCATTTGTGAATACGCCAGCAACTAGACCGTAAGGAGTGTCATTGGCTCTCTGAATAACCTCGTTCAGTGTGCTGAATTTGAAAATGCATTGCACTGGTCCAAAAATCTAAACATGAATAAAAATACCACAATTAATATAAAGACAATGGAAATTTTGATGTCGAGTTTTACTGAAACGCCAAGCGATTAAAAACTGACCAATATCCAAAAATAGAAAATATAACAAAAAACTAGTTTGTGAATGGAATGTTATTCCCTCTACATCGCTATAATTCAAATCACAACTTTAAGATTATGTGGCTTTTGCCCCATGTCATTTATTACATTTTCGCCAGCGGTTTGAGAAACAATAAGGTAGTTTTCGAAAAAAAAGGAAAAAAAGTGAAACAAAACGTGATTGTAATTATTTTTATCAACTTCATCAAGGTTTAAATATAATGATTTTAAGGTTTGAATGTAAATGAAATATAATAATTTTTTATTATGATACCAATCACTGAAATATAACAAAACGATTCATATATGTACATTTCGTGTCTAATAAACAAGAAATGTCAAGAAAGGAGTGAAGAGACAAGAAGTTACCTCTTCTTTTGCTATGGTCATATGATCTTTGACGTCTGAAAACACTGTCGGTTGTATGTAAAGACCTTTTTCTCCGTGTCTGTAGCCACCACACTCAAGTTTTGCACCTTCTTTTATGCCCGTTTGAATCAAATTCAAAATTCTATCAAAGTGATCTTGGCTTATCTGTAAACCAAAATATATGTTTGTCTTTAAATTTATTGCACCAAATCTAGAGTTCTATACGGAAATTAGCACAATAGATAAACAAATCGCACTCATTTATATATGATATAATCTATTAACTACGATATGTAAAAACCCCGTTATTCTAAATCTGAACCGTCACTTGCGATAATGTCGAGTGCAGTTGAGAGCTAATGAATTGTTGCAATGTATATTCTACTATCAACAGTATGCACTGCTGCATTTTTGTCAAGTTCGAAACAACCAATTAAATTTCATGTCGGAAGGTGGCAGTGGCGACATGCCGCGACGGTGGCCGTGAAATGCGATCAGTCACGAGGAAACCGAAGGCTGTGAGGTGTGTAGTCGAGCGGTACGTGCTGCTGGCTATGCGTTGTCGCTGCGTTGGTTAATTGAAAACTGAGATGGTGTCGTGTTTATACGCTGAATGTTTCCTACTTGCAGTTTTCTTTCCTCTGTTGCAAGTAGGCGCTAAGAACAAAGGTGGGCTTTATTCGTTTGATGTAAGAGATATTCATAACCAAGTGACTTCGCTTGAACAATATAGAGGAAAGGTAGGTAAATTGTTTGTTTGGGTGATGCATATTTTTCCAGGGGCGCGGATACCTTAATCTTTATTTTGTTGCATTCAAGATATCGCTTGTTGTTAACGTCGCAAGTGAATGCGGTTACACAGACGAACATTATCGACATTTGACAGAAATATATAACGAGCTGACCATCGAGAAGAACGAACCGTTTACGGTACTTGCCTTTCCATGCAACCAATTTGGAAATCAAGAACCAGATAACAATGAGGAAATATTGAAATTTGCGCAGACGAACTATGCAGCGACGTTTCCCATATTTGGCAAAACAAATGTGGCCGGACGCAATCCTGATCCAATTTATGGGTATATAAAAGGTAAGTCGGCTTGTAATCCTAAACACACATTGGGAATGATTTTTGTGTCAACTTCTTTTCCTCATATGCTTCGCTAATAACGTGAAAAAGGTACACGCGATTTAGAAAATATTCTTCTTTTAGATAGCTTTCATTCCGAACCAACTTGGAATTTTTGGAAATATCTCATTGATGAAAAAGGCGCCGTTATCAATGGATGGGGTCCCAGAGTGACCGTTAAAGATATAAAAGAAAATATAGTTGGGGCGATAAAGAAACTGAAGACGAAGAGTCACGGGGAATTATGATATATATATAAAGTTGAGGCATATACCGTTTCACTTGTCTGCAGTACCACACCCCTTTTCCGTGTGTTAGGGGAAGAAGCTATCGGAATGGAGCTTTTTTTTGCTTGTTCAGTAGCAATTTTGTTTTGAGTTTTTGTTAATGTTTTCGTAAAATTTAGAAACCACTTTATACTTTATTGTCCGTATACAACATCAGGGGAAATTGACAAGGATGTTCAGCTCAATATTTTGGGAAGGTCTTAGGTCAGTAAACGCTTATACCTGTGGTCCTTGTTCGCAAAACAGTTCGAACGGTGACGTGACAACTCGCCGACTAGCTCTTGCCACACTCTTTGCCACGAACTCTTCATAAATATCTTCATGAACGAAAGTCCGTGACCCTGCTGTGCACATTTGTCCTTGATTCATGAACACTGCCTGATGAGCTTGTTCTACGGCAACATCCACTAAACACGAAAAAACAAAAGTATATATTATATATAGTATGGCGTGTTGTACCAACCAATGTGGTCGGACATCTATTGAATTCTCAGTTATCACCATTCCTATGATGAAAAAACGATAAATGCTACGCGGTATATTCTAAAGCTATCCAATTTACAAGAGTTGCCATGTAAAAGGACCAGCTTCGATCTGCTAAATATACTTGTGCAACAGTTTTATATTACAGATCGGTGAACAGTGATTTCGTTTTCCCGAAGTGGAATTGATAAAACACAATTATGTGACTTCTTTTCACCTTCTCACATTTTCGATCAAGTCTGGGGCGTGGGTAAATTGGAGGCCCAATGATCAAAATTGCAATTTTTTTTATTACTCTTACCGTCGGCGTCTGGAAGAATGATGTTTGGATTATTTCCAGATAATTCGAGGCTGACTTTCTTCAAATTGCTCTTCGTGGCAGCTTCTTCAATAAGTCTCCCCACCTGTCAACATAATGGCAATCATGCAATCGTCTGTTTATCTCTCATAGCAGACATATCTGATTTCGTAATAGCGACGAAAGATATCCGGACAATTTCATTATTGTGGTGAACTGATAGGCAGGTCTCGTTGTTATCTGAAATCCTTTTCTAAATCGGTAACGTTACTCATATTTTTGATAGGGGAAGTAGGTGGTACGATTATTTACGCATTTAAAAAAGGTTGTGTATCTATTTTTCAATTTCCTTAAACATGTAGTAAAATACTGTATTCCAAATTAATAGCACATTTGGGGCTCGTATTTACAGTCTGCTAACGACCTATCCCCATTTTGTCATTAAGTCAGTCAATGTGTTTTTGGTTCCCAACCATCGATTTTAATTGTCTTGTCCAAATACCTTCACTGATCCGGTGAATGAAACTTTGTTGACGTCTTTGTGTGCTGCAATCGCCGCGCCTGTTTTTCCTGCTCCGGGCACAACATTGATTACTCCAGCGGGAAACCCAGCCTCTTGAGCCAACGACGCGACAAATAGAGTGGATAGCGGTGTGTATTCTGATGGTTTTACGACGACGGTGTTACCGCAACAAAGAGCAGGTCCAAGTTTCATTGCCAGTGATATTAATGGCATGTTCCACTGCAAAAGAGTGATGTTTTATGAAGCTGACCACGGTACACTAACACTAGTTGCTTAACCAGGGAAGAAGATAGATCTTTAGAGAGCGAATTGCTGTACTTACCGGTACAATTAATCCACATACTCCCAACGGCAGCACTTTTGTGTAACTGAGATATTCGCCATCCATTGGCAATGTTTTACCGTGGATTTTGTCTGTCCAACCGGCATAGTAGCGTATAATCTTCGAAATGCCCAGTGTGTCCATGAAAAACGTATGCGTATACGGTTTTCCGCTATCCATGCTCTCTAGACACTGAAAATAATGAGGTATTTCATGATATAAAAAAAATTCAAAGCAAATATGCATTCCTTCACGAGTCTCATTCTATACTTACAGCTAAATAGTATTTGTTTTCGTCTATCTTGTCGGCTAGTTTATTCATCAATGCGCCCCTGTCGGAGGCATCCATTCTCCTCCAAGAAGCAGCAGCGAACGCACGCTTTGCAGCTTGTACAGCCTTATCAACATCAGCCTATAAATTATCATTGAAGTGAGATTGAGTGAAAACGTGGCGTTTTATTCATATTAACAATGATATAATTGAGTATGTACTACGTACTTTGCACATTGGCATAAAATGCAAGCATTACGATAACTTTTTAAAACTTCGTTACTCTAAGTTGTTGCACTTACATCACTTGCGAGGGAAACATCGGCTGTGATTTTTTCAGTTGAGGGACACTTCGTGGGGAAAGTTTTGCCGCCTTCGGAGTCCACCCACTCGTTGTTGATAAACAGCTGTATAGATAATAAAATCGTTATGTCATGAAAGAGCAAACTCAGTTAACGACAACGCATAAAATAAATTGAAATTGTTGGCGGGAGGTATATCACTTTTCACTTTATTAGCGCACGATATCTTTAAAAATCCCCTCCTACTCTTTTATCAGAGTTGACGAAAGGTGGGTGGACGATTTCGTATATTATGCTAACTTACCATGCCAATATTATTACATTATGAAGATTACGAACAATAAGATAATCGCGATCTCAATGACAAATGTGGTTCTGGACTCTCTCAGAGTACATGGTATTTTCGTTAAGCGTATGATCGCACCAAGTTCTTTAATTAATCAAATACCACGGAAAAACAACATATTTGAGGATTGCTAACACGTCATATTTCAGATATTACGCGGTAAATGCTACATGTTATGCGGCAGTAAGTTGTGTAAGAACGCGATACTATCTTCAAAATTGACAATAATTGCTGTTATGACACACCTTTCTTTGCTTCAGAAATAGACTTTTTTTGATATAATGTTGCAAATTTGTAATGCAATCTGCCTTTTCATCGTATTTTCATGAAGTATGATATTGTTCACTAGTGGCTTTTGTGGGGTTTTATTTCCTAGCTGGTGTAACTATAATTTATGTCAGATTGTGAGAAGTCAATCAATAACTGGCGTAATAATACAGGGATTCAAGCTGGGTCTTGTTTTCATCCCTCGATAAATTTAAATATGTTTCAAACTCTTTCTGTTTGCTATTTGTGGAACACGCTACAACGACCAGATTTCTCAGCCAAATATAATTGACAATTTGTGATCATCTCATGGGATAATTTACCACATAAATGGGGTACCTACGTATCACAGGGTCACCTCAAAATTTCGAAACATTTGGGCCGATTCAGGTTTTAAACTATTTTGTGGATCACGTGATCCGGGCCTTTCATGATGTATAAGAATAGTTAGGTATTTATTTTTTTTCTAGTCGTTAGAAGACGAGCTACATCCGTTTTTATACTTCGCCAAACAGCAACCAATTTCATAAAGCAAGTTTTTTTCGCTAATAATGCATTCGTCGGGCTGTTTCTTTACTGAGATATGGATATCCTTACATAACACTTCATGGCGTATTATGCGTTGTTAAACACCGATAGTGATCAATATTCCGTAACTTACCAAGAATTTAATATATAAGTATATCGCAACAACAAAGTCAATATAAAGTATCGCGATATCTTAATACTGCGGCGTATGAATAACTGCGCATAGATTCTTCTGATATCTCACTGATATTGTCTTTTTTCATAAAAAAACATAGAAATAATAACAAATATCTAGCTCTTTAATGAAATTTTGAAGACCCCAAGTGACGTCACTCTTCCGCGAATTAGTTGTCTCGCACGCAATATTGCAGGAATCGCGTGTTAATATCAAGATATTCCGATTATACACATAAACACAAGTATTAAATCTGAACCAGACTTATTATACGCGACACGTTATCGTCGATTTCATCGTAAACATCTAAATGTCGTCTAATCATGATTGAAAAATATCTTAAGCGGTACCGCCCAACTTGTCCCATGCTATTTGCTTGATTTTTATTGGCGTGAAGATACAATCTGATCGCATTGTAGGTTTCCATGTAATTGTCAAGGTATGGAATGCTTATCTCCCATACGGATAAAGCAATGGATATATGCGAAAAGGCAAAACAATTTTTCATTTTTCCAAGCTATCGAGAATTGGTTTCGTTTCGTGAATTGGTCAGAGTGTTGACAAAAAAAAATATTCAATCATTCTGTTTACTTTAACAATTTGAATAAAAATTACAGAAAATTGGATTTGAGTTTTCGTCATGTTTTGAATCAGACCTGTTTAAATTTATGACTCCTGTAAGAGACAGTTCCGTCGCGTTGGGGAGTAAATGTTACTTAATGGCACTGATTCACCGTTTTAGTCGGCCGATTTTAACAGTCACGACGAACGAACCTTATTTTTCGTTCCAGGTGTAGAAAACCTAAATCCTTGCAATAAAACACGGCTTTATTACATCTTATATACTGACCATCCCAAACAATTATTTTTACAATCTCAATAAACCATACGACTTGGCGCACGATTTGTGTACATTATTTATATATATATATATATATAAGAAAATAACGATTTTTTTTGTATTGGTATTTTCAGAAAATTTATATTAAACTTCGACTATTATTTAGTACTAAATATCACAAGTTTTTCTATAATATAATAACAAGCTGACAGCTTGACATCGACTCACGATATACTTCAATCAGAATTTTCTGCAATAACTTTGTTTGAATTCGCCTGAAGCAATTATGTATACTTATTTGAATACTGCAAATTTAAGGAGAATCAAGCGTATCGAATAGTTATGTAAGGGGGTAGCGTAACTAGTATCAGTTAGTACTAATGTCGTAATTTAGCTTCCAGTAGAGCTGGGCATTCTAAAATACCTATCAGAATTGCATTTCGAACATACGGCTTCAATAAACAAAGAATTAGGAAATCACCTCGACCTTTGGCGGACGAAACAAAAAACAAGATGGCGGCGATTCGAAATTTTCGTCCGAACCGATTCGAATATTTCACAATTCAACTCGAAAAATTTACAATTTCATTCGAATATTTGGTTTAAAATGTTTCACACTAGTCTTTACATTCCCCAATTCACCAGGCAAGCCGATTATTGATGGATTCGAAATTACTATTATAACGTTATTCTCTATTTTACGTTGTTGATACTTGGTAGATTTCGGGTAATCGCTTCTTTCGTGATTTATGATGTCGCTTTTAATGGTAATTGTTAAAAATTACTTAGAATATATTGGTCCTAAAATAAAGTGGAATGAGCCAAAGTTCCCCATTTGCTGCCACAAACATGAGCATTTCTGCTTACTTAATAGTGTGACGTCATGCACAAATACAGACCGTAGGAATACTTCGTAATACCACGCGATTCCAATAAATGTGATAATGATGTTTGCTTACATTGCTATTGGTGAAATATATATTGGGAATCGAATTGGGGGGTTATAGATTTCGAATGTGGTACAAATAACATGCAAAAGAGGCGCATTTCCCTTGTCATAAATGGCGACTATCAAGATAACCAACATTGTGTCTGTCACTGTAATTGTTAAAAACATCAAAGTGAACAAATAACTTTTTAACAATTCTTTGAACAGCTATTACGTTGGTAAAAGCATGCGTCATAAACTGGGGAATACGTGTTGTATTAGTCTATAAACCATCAAATGGAGAATACTAAAAAATCTATATTCACATAAACATGTGGGATTTTTAGCATGACATAAATGGATAGCTAAGTACAGGCTAACTTGCTGAATATTATTTAAAACTTGTTAAAAATATTACCATACCTTAGTATATTTCACTTCTGGACTTGGGTTCGGTGGTGGGATTGGCCACGGTACGCATGCAGCGGCGGGGTCTTTTCCTCCGCACTGGGAGTTCGAAGATTCTTGCAATGGATCAGCGACACTTTCAACAGCTTTTTGTTCGATGACTGAAGTACTCATGGTGTATATTCTTTTTTTCACTGTATTTTAAATCTACGGGATATAAGAGGTATATACTGGTATTTTCAAAATAAAAAGTAAATTATAAGATGATATCAGTTTATGGTAAAAACATTGAGGATATTTTTCCGAAAATATCATGGCAGTATTTATCCGAAACTACAGAACTATCGTCATATCGAAGAAGAGCAACAGCAATCAAGATCAAATATTGAATTATGTTTCTCAGAGTGCTCCCTTTTAACATATATATACAATATAACACCGTCCCTAGTGTCTGTATGGACAGTGAACCCCCTTAATATAGCCGTTGTGCAAACATTGAAAATTTACAACAGCGGCTGGCATAAAGTTTTGTAGAACTTAGGATAACAATGTACTTTTCTCCTTATCGCTATTAATTGTCAAACATAGAACAGTTTTTATAAAACGAAAGAAATTAGCATGAACTTTAACGTAATAAAAACGTTCATGGTCGAAGTTTTCGAACGCTCTTCTGTAATGCAACCCAGCATAATATAATTTGATTCAACACCATGCGTACGAATTCTGATCACCCATAGACTTATAATATATATATATACTCTGATTAGATGATCAAAATTCTAAACTAACTGATTTCATCAATGGTTATATGATTTTTTTACATAAATACGCTATGTTAGCGTTGTTCAAGACATCTGAGAAATTATTTACAATATAAACTGATATATATTTGAAAAAATGTGCACAGACACGTATTGACAAAAAAGATAAGCTAACTCCGTTTACTGTTGTTCTTATGAATATAGTCTACAGTACAATATATCTTAATTCTCAATGCTCCTGATCTCTCCAAATCTGGTCCTGGGAAATTCACCCCACTTCCTCGCCAAGCTCTCAACATTGAGCATCTTCGGGATGTCGTCCGTTTTTATAGGCACCGACCACCGATTTTTTCCCGACGACAAATGGAAATTTGTTTTCGTCATATACTTGCGCTGAGTTATTATTCAGCAAAATATCACGCAAAAACTGATAACGCGATCGAAGCGTGCGAGTCAAAAGGATTAATGCTGATGTGTATTTAACCTCGTTCGTGTGACATCCGTATCCGACAGTGAGAAGTGTGAATTAAAAAATTTGTATATTGATATCTGATAATTTTACCAATTAATTTTTGAAGGTGACAGTTCCTGCTGCGACTGTTATTTTGGTCACTGATACCAATTGGAATAATTAGCCCCGAATAAATAAATTTAATTCAACATTTGGTTTACTAAATGTGGAATATGGAATGAATACTTTGAGTTGACGTTTATTCAAGTTAGTAACGTCTAAGTTGATGTTTATGAAAATAGCTCACTATCTTATTTTAGTTAAATCACTGGGTTCTGTAGAAATTCATTGCAAAACTGCTAAATGATAAATCGGGGTTGTATGACAACCTTAGGTAATTCGATCCAGCTTATTAATTTAGGGCAAATTTGTAAGTACTTTTTCTGCACATTACCCACAAAAAACAGCTTTTTTTTAATAAAAAATGTCTTTTCAAGATTGTGGAGATAATAACGTATTTTCCAATGAAATCTTATCGACACTTTGTCACATTATATCCGCCAGATCGGCGGGATAAACGATTCACGTGAAACCGCGCGATGACAATAAGACTCCCTTATAATATTGAAGCGGAATTTGTTATTTTTGATTTAATGTAAGTAAATATTTTTCTCAGTCGAAAACGTATTCTGGCTATATACATATGTATATATAAATTAATGGTTATACCTATATTAAATTAATCAAACTAAACATACGTTTATGAAGTTTGATTGGATAGTACACGTTTAACTATTCTATTCTAAAACACTAGGTAATAGACCTTACCAGGAAATAGGCACAAGAAATGCAAAATGAATAATAAAAACAGACCATGAATCTCCCCTGTCTGATATTACATTTTAGACATTTCACTTTCTCGTTATCGAAGACACATGTTAATACATAATTTGGTTCTCCGGTAGCGTGTGTACCAGGTTAGAGTTAGGCCATAATTTTATTAATTTTCCTTATTTTAGTTCTATTTCGAGTTCGGGGACTGTCTGCGTTAGCCAAGTGAATATACCCCCTGCCCATAGGCTTCAGACCCTTTACGCAACTTGATGTAAAGTAGGCGAACAAAATTAGTTACCTCCTTATTGGTACACATACTTCTGGAGCGCCTATAATTGTACATACTGCCAAACCAGATGCAACTGAATTGGGAAAGGAACGTTGTATTATTCTTCCTCTTTTGCTACGCCTTTGTTTGTCAAAAGTGTTGATATCACGATCAATCGCAAGCTCGTACTGTAATGTCACAAAAGCTATTGTATTAATTTTTATTGTTGCTTTTCATGCGAAATCAAATATTACGGAACGTGTGTCAGTCACGATTCGCGGTTTTTCTTTATTGCTTTAATTTTACTCCCCTGCTAAAATACGAGTGTCGCCACATTCGTTTTAAGAAGATATTTCACTATTTTTTGTCGTTTTACGTCTGTGGTGTGCAATATACATATGAGATTGCCAACTAACTACTTATTATTGTCCGCAATCTCCAGTGTATTACTAAAATGCTCAGCGATTTTTCTTTTTTTGTTGGTAATCATTCGTCACAAAGTTATTTAATTAAGCACAACAAAACATATGAAATTTATCTGTTTAAACTTCTCGATTACGAAAATTTTGGCATCACGTGAATATCAATTTTGGTTTATGCTTGCGAAGTCCCCGCTGAACAATGAAACTTAACCACAGCTCCGTTTAAACAAATTTTGTTTTGAGGTACTTTTCAAAAAATTCTAAATATGGAGTACGTACGTCGACAAATTTTAAGCATGAAAACGACTAGTTCTAACTCTTGGAATCAAAAATCTCATCAAAACGTGTTATAACCGTATGCGTTTTTCGCTGTTTGTCTTTAACACAGAATTACGCTTTGTGCTACCAGTAAATATAATATTAGGCATAATCACTCTATCTGACTCATATAACACTCAGGACTTTGTTAGAAAAGTTTCGCGGTACTCTCCCGTTACGCCCTTCCTGCCGTATGCATTGGAACCAAGTGCTTTTCCTGCCTGTCGTCTTCGACACAGGATTACCCGTAGAACTACTAACAAATATATTATGAGACAAACTCATTCAATCAGAATCATAAAACACTCTGAATTACGTTGGCAATATTCTCAAGCACTTCTAACTAACTGGAGGAATCGGCTACTCGATAATAAGCCATTTTCTGATGATGCAATTGATGATGTCCCACTAACAATAACTCTATTCATTGTTATTATTGAATTTAGCAACAAAGTGGAAGACAACCAATTTAACATCTTAAATTAAGCGTTATGTGGTCGCATAAATTTAGCCTGAAATGGATTCTCCATATTACACAGATCGTATTGTGACGTCACGTGAAGAAAATTTTTTATTTCAGCATTTTACCTCTGTGACACTGTGAGCGAGCTTTGTTTCTCGTTTCTTAAATTCAATTTCTCCCAAATTGAGGTTTCTTTTTTCGAGCATTGAGGCATGGGTGTTTCAATAACTTATTATTGTCGCAGATTTTTCGTTTTGAACGTTTTACTGAAGCCAATAGCATACAATAGAAATTGAGGTCCGCCAACGTGACATAGTGTTATACAAAATATATTATTTGCATTTTTCAGATACCATATAAGTAAATTATCAATATTTTTGAATAGCCGGTATTGTTTTTTTCTTTTTCAGTGGAATAGTATTATTATTTGTAGTATTGTATTAATATAAGGGTTCCTAGTTTGGGGGGGGGGGGGGGCTAAATTATTGATTTTACTTGAGAATGGTATCCCCGAGAATAATCCAAATATATCTAAATCCAACTAAACGAAAAACTGAGCTATATGTCTGCCCACACCCTCGCGAAACGGGTGTTATGACGTCACGTTTACTTGTACCGTGACGTTTTATTATTGCAACTTTGGACTTCTTAATGTTTTCAAATTCAAGTTCTTACCAAATATACTCGCTTATAAGTGAAAATTTATGGTTATGTAGATTTAAAAAAATTCTTCTGTGACTCAACTTAATATGACGTCATAAATCATTAAAATGAACATGACGCCGCAATGAATTTCCGCATTGTATAAAATACAAAATATGACATGGAATTAGCGTATTGTTTTTCGTTGTAAATATCGCGGACAAATGACCACAAAATTACTAATGATGTTCACAGTAAATATTACGAACAACGAATATTGCTAAGTTACATAAGTAATATTTTATCGACAATTTAAAATGCTGTTTATACTAGTGTTATATATATACGGTATAAAAAGATTTGATATCTGAAAAATTGGAATTCCTCTCTCCTGTCTCTATTACGAAAGGACATTACGCCCTCCTGGAAGACAGAATGGCATTGTATTAAGTCACTATTATAGCATGTGGTATTGAACGTTATATTTGGTTTAAACCGGCATACAAAATAACGCAGTATGTATGATTCTTATTCATTTCATTAATTCACAAATTTCCTGTTACAGTATAAAGCAATAAATAAATTCCAACGTATCTTTTCTAATATTACATATTGCAACATTTAATATGGCTCGCAACCTTGATACACAAAATCTTTCTCTACTTTTTTCAACCTCCTTTAAATATAATTCATATTTTATTCCACTTCCACTAAGTTAGAGAGCTGCATGCTTTAGCTTCTAATGCAAAAATTCTGAATAATTTCAACAGATCACAACCTAAATTATACTCACAATCGAAATTAGGTCTTGATATTACACGTCAGTTAATACGAAGGAAAGATTCCGATAGGGAACACGCTATACTCAGCTATTTATATTACACAGGTCTTGTCTGTGATAAGAAACCATACCTCAAACAATTCCCTGCGTACTTCTTGACATTGTCATTTTGCGTTTTTATTTGTTTGTGTCACGGAATGTATTACAGAAGACGCGATATAGCATTCTTGTGGTTTTATGAAATGATTTACAATTTTGATTAGATCGATAGGACCTGTTATGTACATTATAAATATAAAC